TTCACAATTACTTTTCTATTACAACTTGAAGAATTGTTTATGCCAAGGCCTTATTTGAGTGTCCCCTCAACCTAAAAAATACTGTTAAAATTTTGCGGGATTAAATGCATGAAGCTCAGAAGAGAGTTGTAATAATAAATTCGGACCACTGCTCCTTCCGTAAAGTATCCTCATAAAACTGACTGCGAATATAATATTCTGTATGCAAATGATATTGCACTTCGCTTGAAGTCATGCGGAAATATATCATTGGAAAACTAGCGAATTTTGAGCTCAGTTCAGGGGTTGAGAGAACTCTGTGGCCGCGCTAAGTCTGAGTTCAGTTACCTAGTACAAGTGGACTTTTACTGTCCGAGATCGAAAGTTGGTGAAAAGATGACGAGGAATCACCAATAAAATTAGCTTAAAATATCAAATGGGTATGCCAAAGTCGACTAAAGTAGTTTATTCGAGTAGAAATGTCTGGCACTTAGCTTGAATTGCGCGGCTACATTTTTGGGATGGAGTCAGCGAACCGAAGCCTCATTCTTAATCGTAAAATTGGGATTGAATTCGTCTCGGGGAATCGGAAAATTAGGAGAATGGAGCTTTCAAATTTGCCGCAACAATTATGGTCAATTCATTTCTCTTGTCTAATCTGAAAAGGAAAATATTTTTGGGCAAACGTAGTGTAGTAAGGTCGTTCGTCAAAGCATGGCTGGCAGCAGACCTTACCACGGAGTGAATGTAATAATATTTCGTTCCTCCTCCATCGACCTAAATTTTTTCATGCAAATGTATATACGAAAGGTTCAAGTCGAAAGAAAGCAAGAAACAAAATATTAAATAATATTAAATTATATTAAAATTAAGAGAAGAGATTAATTTCGAGTCGGAACGTGTTCGGTCGCTACCACTCTCGATTCTCGTGTCACTGAGACAAACTCTTTTTCACTCACGTTTTTGGACGGCATCCGGGTTTGTTTATGTAGTTATAATATATGATAATGACCTAAAGGGTAATCGAGGTCAGTCACATGAGGTATTCATATTCATTATCTTCATATGATGTAGAATTTTTAAATAGCGCATCATCCATGCGGCTATGCTCTGATGCACTTTATAACACTTTGCAGGGAACTTTAGCCAAACTGCATAGAGCAGTTTGCAATTTTTGAAATTTATTGAAATATGGCTGGAGCACATAACCGCACAGCAGTCTGGAGCTCTACAACCTGAGCTATTAAACCAGGCGGTGATGTCGGCCCTTCATTAATAATAAAAATCAGGAGCCCATTAATTGGCTACCGTGAAAATACTGTAAAGAAATTCTCAATGGAAATTTGATGCCTGAGTTTAATTTCCTACACACTTCGGAAAAGATGGGCAAGCTTTTACGCCAACTAACAGGACGCCCACGCGAAATGTTAAGCAACATTAAGTGAGACCAGTGAGTCATAGAAAAAACACATTTATTGTCAATCAAAGGAAGGGATTGAGCAACATTGAAACACTGAGAAAAAGGAAAAAAAGGTTGCTGATCGGTTTTGCTCAGAGAGCATCATTTGTATTTTAGTGGCGTTCATCTTCGCAATTACCCTCCCCTCCCCCGCGAGATAAAATTCATTTTCGTCAATCGCATAAGTTCACGCTTCTCCTGCCTCGTACTCTCGGACGCTTTGCGAACTCTCCGCCTTTCAACCGGTAACGAACATGAGCGTAAGGGAACATGGAAAGAAGATGTGCTGTTTGCTTCCCGGCTTCGTTTTCTGAACACATTTTGCCATATAAGTAGACACCGCAAAACTTTCTCCTATATGGCATCAGTTGGATATAAAGGAGTATCCATTTCCGCCTAATTTGGCTTGGCAAGTAATTGATCTCGAATAGTGAGAGACTACAATAATCTATTCTTTTGAGGGTATGTATATCCGGTTAAAAAAAAAAAGACAAGTTTATCCTTACGGGAAGCAGTTGGATGCAAAGTCGTACCCTTTTTTCACCTAATTTGGTGGCATAGCAGCTACAGTTATGGTTACGAGTTTATTTTAGCTAGATATGCGCAAACATAGAATTTTATCTGCATCGAAGGGAAGTCGTTTTTGTAAGTTTTGTGTAAATTTATCGTGGCAGTGGTCATGTCCGAACCATTCGCTAGTCACTTGAACAAACGAGAATATATCTCCAGTTCGACGGATTTTAATCAAAACAAACAAAGATAAAAATATTTCGAAATTCAATTATTACTGCGTTTGTTCTAATTCATCCTAGGTAACTTTGCAGTGAGAATCTTTGTTTTTTTCTTTTCTTTTGATAAGTATCACTATTTCTTTACAACTTAATTGCTCGTCGTAAAGCCATCTAGGATTCCGCCTTGGGCGATATGGGGCCATACAATCAAGCATAAAAATGAATGGAAGGGAAATCCGAATACGGGATACCCGACCCCAAGCCCCCTCACGCACTCAACCCAATCCCAATAGGGCTTCAATCGTCAGGTTGTTTTATCTCCATGTTTTTTATCACACCAATGTCGCGTGATGAAAAAGTTCACTTTTTAGAAAAGCTTGAGTAACTTTCTTTTTTTTTTACCTCCCTTGGATGATTTAAAATTCCTAGCCCTTTTTTTCTTTACATCCTAAATCTTTTCTATATCGCTCACTTTTCGTGAATTCCTAAGATCGGCCATAACTCTGCAATGCGTACACACTTAGAGAACTGTTCACACTTCCTGGATTTGACAATCGTTCAAACACCGTTAGATGTTAAAGATGACTGAGCATTGTCTTCTAAATGCGGAGGATTTTTGTGAAGTTATCCGTTTAATTCTCGTTGTAATCCGCTTCCAATTTGTATAATAATCAGAAAAGAGACAGTAAATTGAATGTATTTTAATACAATAAACGTCAAGAACGGATCACTGTCAGTATCTTAGCAACTGCGCAACTCCCCTCTCCTAACCAACAATAGTCAACTGATAATAAGTTAGGGTTAATGTTAGCTTAGGGGAGGGGTAGGTGGGCAGCTGCTTAGATGCCAACATTGATCTTAAGCAATTTGGTGTGTTCACATGTTAATCATGAAACTTTTTTATGGATATGGATGACGTAAAATTCCCTATTTGGCTGTTTGTTTGTAGCTCAGCCGATTCATTCGCATCCTGTTGTGATTGTTGATTGGCAAAGTGAAAAGTGCTTAAGTCAGGGTTCACAGATCATAGTACCAAGTTATAGATCTTCGGACATTCGCATGGGCGCCGTAAATATCGCGTGACCGTAGTACTGAAATAAACAAGTATTACATGTTTAAATATGAAAAGTGGCAAAATTCCAAGCTGAGATACGAACTATCACGAACGAAAATACTTAAAAATTCCAAAAACTGACTTATTTGGTAGTATCTTGTTATAGCTTCATGCAGAGTTTCCCCTTCACAACGACTTCCAATGTGAAATTTTGTGAAATTTTGTCAAGTCAAAGATTCGAGGAAACTTGGTTTTCAAACTAACCGGGCCTTAAAAATAAAAAAAAAAAAAAAAAAAAAAACACACACGAAAACAAAAGCAAACAAACAAGGTGAATTTATGCGTGACAAAACATGTGGTTAAATGGTTGTTCAGTCTCAGCTTTACATTTTCTTATCGTTAAAGCAGGTCGTTATATTATTTTGGATTGGTAATAATACAAGTGAATGAGCTATTTTAAATCTGATATACAGTAAAATCAGTAAACGCAAAGGTGCGAATGGCCTTGAACATCAGTTGCACTCATCTGGTGATTATTTGTAACCATCCTTGCTGCAAGTAGCTGAATTTAATCACCTGCAATCAGTGATACGTTAATCAACAGAGAGATGACGAGAATAGACTGTGTCATCAGCACCATGATAAAGTTGACCTATCGGCTAATTCTCATGACTAATTTATGGTAATTGTAAAGTAGTTCAAAAGGAGAGTTATTAATCAGACATTCTCGAGTATCAAAGGTTATTTGGCAGATTCACGTGACCCCCATCGGCTGTGACACTATCCGATGACGATTCGTGACGAGCACATGATCATTACGTCCTTATTCGGTTATTAATGTGACTCGCTAATCGACGGGAGGTTAGAGTTTGAGGTTCGCGAATGGAAAAGAAATTGAATCAACGACTGATTCGGTTCAATGCTGAAAATGGGCATAAATTGTGATAAGATTTTCTCGCAGGAGGAGTCGGAGTCAAATACCAGGCGAGTACCCTTTCCAGAAACGCGTATTATCAAATCATGAGTAGTTTCCATTACTACGAGCCACAAACAAACTGAAACAAATTGAGACTGAAGTAACTTGTCTGTTGCGTGACATCCCAATAGATAGCTGCGAAAGAAACTAGCTCATAGCGAATACAATGCATGTTTAAAACTAGTCAACAAGTGCTGAATCAGTCTGCACTTTGACCGGACAGTCTCAAAGGCTAGGCTAGAGTTTGACATTTGTTGTGAGTTTCATTTGAGAGAATGAGTGAAGCATCACGATCGAGTTACATTTTGTTCGGATAATCTCTTATTTTCGTGTTTGAGAGCACGTTGCCAACGTTTTAGGAAATGACGGACCTGGGGTGTGGTTGATATGCTTCTTTTTTTCTTTTTTTCTTAATATTCTTGAGGGGCATGTCCTACTTCTCAACCGCGGCGTTTTTTTTTTTATCATCCCACCATTCAAAGTATTCCTATCGAAATCGTTTTGACATTCGTTGAAGCCAACTGGAAAAGAGTTGAATTGCGAGTTAATTTAAGGTTTATTTGTTTAAATGAAATTGGATGCCTAAGTTTAAAGTACAAGTGAATTGGAAGGTCCAATATTCCTGTAATTCGTCATCTGTTTGTAAAAGAAAAGGCTACAAGTGATTGTTAAAAGCTTTAAAACGCGTCGTCATGTCTCATGTTAACAAATTTCGAAATAGAGTTTACAGTAACAGACTGGCGTAGGAGGTTTGACGTTCGGCACGTATTCAGAACCTACGTCATCGAGACAACACGTGATCCTGGTACGCCTCCAGTCTCCGACATAAGCGATGTAATTAGTAACGAGATCAGGATATGATCGGGCGCAAGATTCTTAGTTTGTAAAACTGCTCAAATCGAGCTAATATACATTTTCGTGCTCCAGACGATTTTGAATACAAAATGGTCGACATTGATGCCTTCGTTTTTGGGTCGAAAACCATTAGGGATATGCTCTCAAACGAAAATTTAGATAGTGGTATCGTGAGCGACTACAATTCAGATGAAGATGAAACCGTTTCTCTCGACGGAAATTTGGATTTTTCGAAGATATTGCATGAAAAGATGAGGTAGGAATTTGATAAATGAATTTTACTTATGCACAAATCGGCGGAATATTAAGCAGTTGTTGCTGTTTGTCAGCTTCCAGCTTTCTCGAGCTGCACCTCCTTGAAGCGTGAATTGTAACTCGAGACGAATTATTTAATCAAGCTCCTCAAAAACTCCTTTCAAAGCATCTCTCGTCTCGTCATATGTGTATTGCTGGAGCGCATATTGGCAATTTACAATTGAAAATTACAGCTTTAGGTTTATGTATTTCGAAGCAGACGGCTGATCAATTAAATCGATGTATTGTTAAAGTTTAACATACCGACAGACTCGTAAACGTATTGTTTGCCGTGTCTTTCACGCTATCGCGATCAAATCAAATATCAAATTCTTTAGTTAACAAGAATCCTTAGCAAATTTTACTCGAATCGAAACGCTAGATTCTATGTCGCAACGAAATTAAGGGACTAATTAGGTGAATCAGCGAAGGAAACCAGCACACGCTTCGCTGATTCACTCTTTGCTGTATGTAGGTCATGACCTTGTTTGTTCTGATTGTGATGACAACGTAACAAATCGTATATAAAATTACACTTCGCACTGACTGTAGTATCATTTTCACTGTGAGCTCTTCTCGCGAAGTTGTGCAATTTGTTTTTGAGCTTCGTTTCTGATTTGTCCGTATTGCCGAGTGCCCTGGAGGTGTGAATTGGACGAGAATCTGATAAACAATCACGGTTGAGAAAAACAGGGTAGGTCGTAATCTCTTTTTGAAGAAAGGTCAAGACGCTAACTGGTCTGAGGCAGCTCTTTGGTATAGAAACCTTTACTATGTCTTTCTTTTGGCAAACAATTTTTTTTATTCAGAATGAGATGAGAATTTTGATCGACAATTTCTATTAACAGTTTCGATGAAGCTAATTTTTGGAGCAGTTGGGTCGTCTGGCCCCAGTCAGCGCTGTCCCCTCGTAAACTTACATAACAATTTATAATAAGTTGAAAAAGTTAACCTGTCTCTGCCCTTTCGATTTCGCAATGACCTTTTTACTGGAAGGGTATTTCTAGCCTTCACTAGCTCTAAGAACTCACGCAGTTTAATTTTTTGAGGCGAAAATTCCAAAAAAGATGTGATTAATGTAAATTTTGTTACAGTTATTTTCTGCGTAACAAAGTCAAACACGTGCATTTACACGTGAATGCGTAGTTACATAACTAACATCCATTAGGGGTTTGTTTTTGTTTGGAAGTACTATTGTCAGTTGAGAGAAATGAGAAACTTTTGAATTAGCACTTGCTAGCAGATGTGGTAACGATGATGATGCTTTCTCTGGTTTTGGGTGTGGACAGATGCTGGCAGCATAATGTAGGGGAAATGACCTCCAGTAGGGTAGTTCATCTTTAATTGTGAGGGCACCCAAGTCAAAAGTGACCTTTAGCATAGTCTAGATACATCTGTAGTAATATATATATATTACATTCTGAAATTTATTTGGTTGATTTTCTCATTGTGCAATGGAGGAACTATGAAAAAGCTTTTTAGTTTCTTGCCTGTTAATTCTTTGTTGAATTAAAAAAACGAGAAAGGGTTTGTTTCTCAATCAGGAATGAAAGAAAATTTAGAAGATGGAGGGGAAAAAACCTTTAGAACAGTGTGGTTTACTTACCCAGACAGAGAGGGATTTTTAAAGAAGGCTGAACAGTGCACATCATGCTTAAATTTTCCAAGTTTATAAGCAACAACACACTAACCTCACCATTTGCAAAGCTTAAAAATAAAATGCAAATTGGAACAATTTGTGTGGCTGAAAAGGTTACTTTTGGTAATTGTGATTTTTTTCCATGCTATTAAAAAGGCAAGTAGTGTGGGTGTGAATTTGGGAAAAATCTTGACCACTTGCATGGAAACTGGCCATATATTTAAAGAAATGGGTAACTTCCTGCTAGTGAAGATTCAAACTTACCTGAATCTTTCTCTTCTTCGCCTTTTTAGAGAAATAATGGTCAGAGAAAGTGAAGTTGAGTGGAGCAGTAATTATTGCGACTTGCCATGCCACAGAATTGTCCAACCAAGCAAAAAATTTTATGCTGCGGCAACAGGCCCAGACGATGGTGCAAAGAACATCATTCTAGAGCTTAGCAGTAAACCAGAGTGTAAGAAAACCAAAAAAGCGAAAGATTGTGATCCATTTGGGGAATGGATAAAGGGGCACTCCCGCGCTTATGGAATTGGAACCTCACTGTATGATTGCAATCCAATCACAAAGTTATTTTCGGGAGATCCAGTAGCTGATGTCTTTGCAGTGATTGCTGGAGAAAACAGTTGCATTCTTGCTCTAGCTGATGGCGTAAACTGGGGAGAGAATTCAAGGTTAGCTGCAAGATGCGCTGTAGCTGGATGCCTCCATCATTTAAGCCAGCATTTGTACACAGCAACTACAACTCGAGGAATCATGTGCATGCTCTTTGAAGCATTTGAGAATGCACAGAAATGCATCATTAATAAGAATGCAACGATGACAACTCTTTGTGTGGCTGTTGTTTGTCAACTCAAAGAAATGGACAGATGGGGACTTTGTGTTGTCAATGTTGGGGACAGCCTTGCCTTTGTTCACAGAAAAAGCAAAGGTGTCCAAGAGGTCACTATTGGCTCCCATTATGACACCCAGGAGAGAGACATGCGTGATCCTGGTGGCTCTTTGGGTCCTGTGGATGGCTACAACCCCGATTTGAGAAATTTAACTTTCTCATTCACCTTTCTCGACGCAGGAGACATTGTCTTTCTTACTAGCGATGGTGTTTCTGATAACTTTGATCCTGTGATAGCTCAGTGTAATCACTGTACAAGTCCTGAACTAGTACGAACCCACAGCCTTGACTCCATGCTGCATGAAATCAATAGGAGTGCTAGGGATCAGGAAGTAATTTCGTCCCTGACTAGTAGCAGCAGAAGTGATCAGGACATTCCACAGCGCACGTATGATGCTCCCATTGCAAGGCACCAAAAGATGCTTGCTGACATGACAGAGGTAAACCAAGCACTTGTATTTATTATATTTCTAGGATAGTATGGGTACTTTACCTACACAGTGCATCTCTCCACTCAGGAGTGTAAATAGGTATCCAGTGAATTGTCAGGGAAACCTGATAAAATGCTGGGGAGGGGCGGAAGGGTAATTGGAAATGGACAAGCATCCCACCTGGGGGGGGGGAGAGGGAGGGGAGAGCAATACTCCTTGTCACCACATGTCATGGGAGGTAGAATTAATTTCCAGGTTCAATTGTCATGGTCTTGTCTTCTTTATAGCCAATATCATACACTAAGCTTCATTCTCATTAGGAGAAAGCATGAATTTTGAAAAGTTTAATTAAACAATGGCAACAGAAGAGAAAACAAAGTTGTCATATAGTTTTCATAGGAGAGAGACACCTTCATCTTGGCATGTCTCCTTACGTTTTCAATTTGAAATCCTTGGAAGATAGGTGCAGTGGAATAGCCTCTTGCATGTTATCATTTTACTTCAGTTCAAAAAAGTTGGTTGTCTTCACTTTTTATTGCACATTATGTCTTAATATGTTTTCACTTTTCCTTCTAGGTGATCCAGAAAGAAAGTCTCGAAGATCATATCTCAGCACGCCATGTCTGTGCCAAGCTCCTTTCACATGTTATAGTGTGCACTGACAAAAAGCGCAAATATCTGGAGCAAATCAGCAAAGATGATCAGCGCTTAACTACAACAGACAAGAGATATCGGCGAGCCAGAGATAAAGAAATTTCCCGGCATATGCGAGACCTGCCAGGGAAGCTAGATCACGCAGCGGTGGTCGCATTTGAAGTTGGCCACTTCTCAGCTGAGCCTGACCAGCCAGAGTCAGAACAACAGATTGATGGAAAACCTAAGCTGAGCATTATAAACTTTTTCCGTGGATGGAAGAAAAATGGAAGAAGAGTGTCAGAGGAAGATTATAACAATTCTATTGAATTAGTTGCCACAGATTCTTTTAAAGAGCTCTACTCCTTATTTGGTAGTTAGAGGATTCTCATATGACAGTCTTGTCCACACATCCTGTAACCGTTTTAAGCCATTCTGACTGAGAAGTTTAACTATGTTGGAGCTGACATGTGCAGCTGTTCAATTTTTTTTACCTTAGATATTTAGTGAAGTGAACTCTCTCAAACTACTTTAGAATGCGGAAAACTGACAGGACTTTTTCATCTAATTCTTCAATCATATGTGTTTCAAAATCATATGTGCACATTCTTATGTTTATAGAAAGTTTGTACATAACATTCCAAAATGTATTTAGTGCTTTAAAGCTTCTAGAATATTTGTATGAATCATTTAGTTAAACAGTTGAAGATTAGGGGTTGTTAAACATTAAGAAAAGATTTTGTAGTAATGCTACACTAAAATTATTAATGGGCTTTTTCATGTTAGCATCATTTTATTTATGCTTCTGGGATTAATTTCTGTCCCTTTCATAAATACATCTATTAATCTCAGTACACTGAAGTTGAAATTTCAAAAAAATTAAAACCCAGAAGAATTCTGAATTCTGTATTTTCTAATTTTTATATTGATTTATGGAGAAAAGCAGACACATAATAGATCTAAAATTAGATTTTATGACTAGTTAGGGAATAAATTGATAGTTTTTCTTTAGTTCTAATGCATCACAGGAGTACATTTTTTAAAAGATAGTACACATTTCTTGAGAGAAGTATCTGTCAGTGTATTATTGTGACTAAATATAGCATTTCTTTTTATAGAAATAAATTACAGGAGTGCCAGTTGCTATGTGCTGTTTACCAGATATTTTATTTGTCTTGCCTAGCAGGCAGGGATAACCTACATGACGGATTGGATTACCTTAACACTAACACAACACTCCCAAAAGTGTTTGACATGCAAATTCTCCTCACAATTTTTGTATATAATTCACTTAACTTGTGACGAGAATAGACACTTCAATCAGATTAAGAGAGCTATGTTGATGTAATAACAAATTCCTGAAACTGTTTGCATGGAAATGTACAGCAGCAGAACAGGAGAATTACAAATCATATCTTTGGAGTTAAAGTTTCAAGAAAATTCATGCATGGCCTTGACACTTGACATGTAATGTGATCAATCTACACTTGCAGTTTTCATTAGAATTATGGAAATCATTGCTCATCAACCAACAAAATGTGATTGCCACTGCAATTCCTTAAATTTGGATAAGAAGTTTGTTCTACTTAGTTTGAGCATTTTTATGTTGACATTTAGGGCTACAGGGTGTGGCAGAATTCTCATGACTGAGATTGACAAGTGCAAGCCATCTGGGCCAAAGTTGTACTTTGATGCACTCTAAGTTATATTCTTAAAAAAAAAAAAACAAACAATTTGCGTGTGTTCAGACTTCTGTTGTATTTATAAATAGAACAGATTGCCTTTTTTGAAAACAGAATTATAGTGAATTGTATATGTTCCTAGTTAAGGAGATCAGAGAAAAATGATTGTTATTATTCTGTTAAATCTTTTTAAAAAAGTAAAATAAAATCAATTTAAATTCCACGTCTTTATATCTATTTCAGCCGGTTTACTAGACAGTCTGCGAACTATTTTTAGCCAGGAGCCCATTATCGCGTTTTCGCACAGTAACTGAAAGAGTTAATTTTGAATAACCAAAGTTTCGATCATTTTTAAGGCAATTAGAATTCTATTCATAAGAGCCGACAAAATAAACATCAGAACGGTCCCTGGCTTAATTCCATTAACCCTTTACACCCTAAGATCAGTATTCATGTTCTCTATAATGTTGTCTATACATTTCCTTAGGTGCTGACAAGGAGAATTTGTTTAGCAATCAAAAGCCTCTTTAGTTGGTGATCATTTCCTTTATTCTCGTGATCTCAATGTGTTATTCAGGGATATTTTGTAAGGAGAAATTAGATGCTAATCACTTAGGGATCAAAGGGTTTATTAACTGTCAATTAAATGCTATTCATCCACGGTGAGAACAAGGAGGATAGAATTCCAGATATCGGTTGAACGTAGACTGCATGAACTCCCTATTTTTCGGCGAAGACCGTCGCGCGAGTTCAAGAAAAAATTCAGCGAAAAAAAAAAAATGTTTCGTGCAACTCACTCCTGAGTCGGCACGGTGCGCTAACATCAATTTTTTTTTACCCGCTAATTTCTATAACTGGAGCGACGGACTTCGCCGAAAGGAAGGCCTGCTCGTTGTAAAGGTTGGAAGTTTTAGGTTAGAAGTTACTTACAACTTAGCCGGGAAGTCAAAAGCGTGGAGTGGCATTAACTTTAATGCAGGTAATTTTCGAAGATAAAAGTTGCTTCTTGTGATTTCATCCAAAGATAAACATACGTTATAGCATATTTACAATTTTTGTTTTCGTTTCAGTATTATCCTCTCTCCGGGTCACGAAAGTTTCTGCTTGACGTGATGATTCGTGACAGGAAGTCGACACAGCAAAATCATTCTTTTGTCTTAAAGTTTCGTGTCGAGTTACAGGGATCTCGGCTGAGGCACGTAGTCACGAGAAGAATACAGAAGCAAACCTTAGTCTTCTCTGCGACAGACTGGAACGAAACGAACACGCGATTTAGGTGCGTTATCTTTCAGCTGAAATCAAAGATTTGCCTTACATCGCATACGAAAGTGGAGTAACGGATATTACAAGACAGCAGGTTTGGAATCTTTTGGAAATAGAGTTCGTGACTCGTAACCTAGGCTTCGTTCTGGCTTTATTTTAAAATTTCCCCTAAACCACGCATAGGTATCTTAGAAAAATATCTCTACATTGACTAGTTTTTACGTCTGTTTCTACAATCACTATAACGCATTAATTAAAATTGCTCACAACGCAAATATCAATGCGGAGATCATTTTCATTTTCAGTTAATTGTCAGCGTGATGCTATCAGTTTTATCTTCACTCCTCCAAATCTTCATGCTTTTTCCCAAACAGGCTCGATGATTTTTCCTGTAAAATGTATTTCCTTTTCTTTAATTTACACCGAATAATTTCCCCTGACTTCATTTACGTTTCTCAATTCGATCATATCATATGATTTAATGTCACTGCGCGTTTCAAGGTGACTCCACCTTGAATCTGTGTCATGGAAAAAGCTCCGGGCATGCAAATATCATTTTATCTAATGTAATTTTAGGGATTAATACTTTAAGTCATATTTTCACTTTTGACTGAGAGACGATATAAAATGGCAAGTGACACGGCATGATTAGAAAAACGAAATTTAATGCGAGTTGTTCCCAATAGAGCCGAGGATGAGTTTTCCGGATGCTCTATTACCAGCAGGTTGTTGCAGACTCGTTGACACTTGACTTTCATGAGGGGGATTTTGCGAAAATGAAAGTAAAATTTAATGATCTAATTAAAATGCCATACAGAAGGGAAGAAAAGAACTGCAAAGTACACTGCATGCTAAGAAAACTTTGTTTTGAATAAAAGCGAAATTTTCTAACAGGACAAAATCTATTTCAAAACTTGGAAAAATTTCACAAACGAACCCATGCCGCCGTGGGGGAGAGGGGAGAGGTTAGGGAGGGGAGGGAGGGGGGAGTCACACAGGGATGTTCGCCTCTTCCTTTGCAGATGAAATCCAAATACAGCACGTAAAAAGCCATAAAATATACAGCACTTAGCTTAAGGCCGTCACTACAGATTTTCAGACACAGGGTTCAATTTCAAATTGTGTCCTTGGATCTAATCTCAGCCTCCAGGCGTTCTCCTCCATTGAGGTCCTAGAGGTCCTCCCTGCTTTACCTGCCCCTGGGGGTGATCCCCCGTCTGAAATTTGAGGGGGTCCAGTAACTTCGTAATAAGCTTCGCTCACTGCAGAGTTTTTGTGACTCAGTGGTAGAGCATCGGAGAGCGGAATCCGAAGGTCTGAGGTTCGATTTCTCATTGGGGATTCAGAATTTTTTCTTTGTCCATCTAGAAATAGAATGAGAAAGATGTTAAATTCGTTTTATCAAGAGCTTTGGACAGAGAAAATAAAACAGAGTTGCAACTATGAAGCAAATCGTATATCCAGGCTTCGGATTTCTCGTTTGCATGCCCTAGGTAACTAAACTAAAGAGATGCCGTTAGTGATCGAAGCCAAGTACGCTTCCTCTAAAGATGAAATCCAAAATCCGTAACCAAAACAAAACTAGAGGAAGATCTTTTTTCGTCTTGTCACGAGCGTGGGACAAAGGAAAAAATTCTAGGTCCCCATAGGGAATCGAACCACAGACCTTTGGATTCCACGCTCCGATACTCTACCACTGAAACTCTACGAGGTCTATTACGAAGTTCATAGGACACGCGTCCTGCTTACAAACGATCAGCAATGTCGACAGAGTCATGTTTGTAAATAGAATAGAAGAGATAGTAAGCCGGTTCTAAGCCTAGTCCCACGCTCGTGACAAGATGAAAAACATCTTTCTCTAGAACGTTACATAATTGATTCCCTTCTCTTTCTTGTCTGTAACAGAAATGATATCATCGCCAAGTGTTGTGCATTGGAAGGGAATTACTGACCGTTCCGATCTGCCGAGCCACGTTGTGGTGCCAATGAGGAAAAACATTTGTGAAGCAGCCACAGGCCCAGATGAAGGTGTTAAACGCATTCTCCTTGAGACAGCAGATAGCTGCGAGCAAATATGGGAATTGAATACATCCAAGGAGCGCCAAAGAGCCTTTGGTGAAGGGAAGTCTCTGTATCACCATGATTCAGTCTCAGGCGGCCTTTTGGGGGATCCTGTGGCTGATGTTTATGCCGTGATTGCAAGAGAAAACAGCTGCATTCTTGCCTTAGCTGATGGCGTGAGTTGGGGTGAAAAGTCAAGACTGGCTGCTCGTTGCGCGGTGGCAGGCTGTCTGCAGTATCTAAAAACGCACCTTTGTACAGCGAATACGACTCTTGATATTATGGAGATTCTCTATAACTCGTTTAAAAGTGCGCATGAATTTATCCTCAAAAAGATGGATTGTTGACAACTCTTTGTGCAGCCGTTGTTTGTCAACTTAAAGACTCTGACAAATGGGGCCTCTGTGTGCTAAATGTTGGTGATAGTCTTGCATTCACCTATAATAAGGAAAGAGGCGTCCAAGAGGTTACTTTTGGTTCACACTGCGATATTGAAAGCAGAGACATGCGTTGTCCTGGAGGATCCTTGGGTCCCTGCGTTGGCAACAACCCAGACTTGCGTAATCTTACTTTCTCGTTTACAACTCTTGACACAGGAGATATTGTCTTCCTTACAAGCGATGGTGTTTCTGACAACTTTGATCCTGTAATTTCGCAGTGCAAGACTCCTTCTTTCGCGCACACCAATAGCCTTGACTCAACGCTGGACGAACCGGGAGTGAGTGAAAGGACCACAAATGCCTCCCCAGATGAGAGCGGAAGTGATCATGACCTACCGCGGGCTCAGTTATATGACCTTGCTATGGTGAAGAATATGACAGAGGTAAACGATCTTTTGTAACCGTTAAACTCCCAGAAGTGATTCATATGTAATTTCTCCCCACAATATCCAAACACTATCCACCCAAGCAGGTAATGAGATTACTCAAATGTATCAGGTAGAAGTCGTTATATTGATCTAAGACCAAATTCTCATAACTAATTTGCAAGAAAATGTCCGGCAGCTAGAGGGGAGAATTAACAATCAGATCTTGGGAATTAAAGGGTTAAGGAGACATTTCGATTGAATTTTGTGGAAACAACCTAGTCTAATTACAAAAGGTCGACCAGAAAGGAAAATACCACTAGAAACCGATTAGGACTCACTGCACACCGGTTTCCGTTTTCATTTGATAGGTTGAGAAGGTGACGCGAGTTTTCTAGTTCTATGCACTCATTATTTGATCTGACACGCTACTCTATCACCCGTGTTGTGTGACATCCCCGAGAACGGCTGCGAAGGACACTCGTCAATTTGCTATCATGGCGTTCTTTGTAAATGCAACATTGTAGGTGTGAAAGAAAGAAACGAGAAAGATCATCCGCAACGGGTAGTAACACTATTAGCAGTTTAATGATTCAAAAACTAGGTTTACCTTTAAAATACTTACAATACCACCCCCGAATCGAACATTATGGTTATGAGGAAAATGGAAATGATCACAAACGAAAGACGCCCTTGATTGTTAGACAAATTCTCCTTGTCAGTATCTCAGGAAAAGTATAGGGAACAGTTTGGAGAATGTACATACTGATGTTAGAGAGTAAAAGGGTTAACCTCCTATTATAAAGGTAACAGTGCTGTAAAAGGAAAGTTTCCCTTATGAAAGTATTGTTTGTTCTTCTTGTTTGCTCAGGTCATCCAAAAAGAAAGTCCCATAGACATTTCAGCTGTAGCAGTCTGTACTAGTCTCCTTTTGCATGTCTTGGGATGCACTCAAAAAAAGCGCCAGCACAGAGAACAAATTCAGGCCCGAGCGAATCACAATCCTAACGGAGGAGAAGACAGAATTCATCAAGGAAGCGAAAGAGAACCTTCGCGCCTTGACTGTGAACCACCAGGGAAGTTGGATCACGCCGCGGTCGTCGCATTCGAAGTTGGACTTTACCGAGGAAATAGACGAGGAAGTGTCTTTGACTTTTTCTTCGGAATCAAAGATGGCACGAGAAGAGCGTCCTCTTGAAACTTGATCGTCCGGGTCAGTGTAGTCTTGAGAAGGACTGTTGTCGGTAGTGATGACTGACGTCTAGGCAACCTGAGCGGAATTCACCAGCTAACGCTCGAAAATTCAGCCATAGAAACTCTTAAAGGTGGACAATTTACATCACCAACTCATTTTATAAAAAAAATGTATCTATTAATACCACCCACCGACGTAGCAACACAGTTTCTTTAGAAACTTTCACCCTTTATCCTAAAAGCGTGGTTTTGCGTCTTTTCATTTTATTTTAGAATAGCAAATGGTTTTCTCGGTACAAAATCCAGAAATGCGTTAGCTAAAATTTAGAAAGATAACATTATACTTTTTTTCTGTACTTTATCATGAGGTCTAATATATAACTAAATGGTAATATATGACGAACTTTTAATTTAGGAGATTACGAAAATTTGTGTGAAATGTTTACTTGCATAAAGCAGATGTTTTAAAAATTATTCTTAAATCACCATTATATGAGAAAATAAATTTAATGTAGATTTGCACGGTTAATAGTTTAAAATAAATAAAAAATAAAATCAAAACCAGCCATGTTTTTAAGGAAATGAAAGTATTTTGTTAATGACATGATTTTTGGGCCAATTTTATTACCATGCAATGCATTTAGGGGTGACAAGACTAGACTTGGGGGCAAGGCTTCTCAGCTTGGGAGCTGCATGATGTGAGGCAATATGGGAAGGAGGTCAGGTGACTCTTCACCTTGTCAATTTACCACTGTAAAATATGAGGAAAGCACCTCATCTCCTTCACAAATCTTACAAACAGACACCAATGCAATTATTCTAAGAAACGAGTTTTCACCAGCAATATTACCACTACTGTACCAAATATTTGGAAGATATTTCCACAGCTTTGGCGCAACACTTTGCAGAGGGATATCCACTTCTTGGTATGCCACATTTGCTGGCTTGTTTTTTGTCCTGTTATTGACGTACTGTCCAACAGCCAGTGGATTTTGAGGATCGTTTGTAAGCCAAGTGGTATCACATAGTAAATATGGGCCAATTTGATCTCTTCTAGCACTTGACCTTAGGGAGCAAGAGAATAACTCAAGAACTCAAGAGCAGATCAAGGAATTCTTTATATACACTCACAGTTACACAAGAAAATCAGACAGCTGAATACTAATATAAAAGCCTGTATATAGGCCCAAGTGGCCCATGGGGCCAGCGCTTAACTCTGGTTTTCTTAGCATGAAGCGGTTAGGAGTATTGCTACTCCCCCTTGGATGGGATGCTAGTCCATCGCAGGGTTACCCCCAGCACATTTGCTGGTACCCATTTGTACACCTGGGTGAAGAGAAGCACTGTGGGAGTAAAGTGTCTTGCCTAAGAACACAACACAATGAACCTGGCCAGGGCTCGAACCCAGACCACCCAATCAGGAGTCGAGCGCACTAACCATGAGGCCACCGCGCCTCCACGAATACTAATATGCCATCTTAAAATTGCAAGAATTTTGGTACAAGACTTGTAGCAAGTCTCAGGTATGATAGAAGTGAATGGAACCACTTGTTCCAGGACCTGTGAAGTTGCTTTTAAATGACATAATTGTCTCAGACATGACCTCTTCCATGCTGTTAATCATTGGAGCCAAGAGGGTAATTGCAAAGTATGGAGTTGGAGAAATGCATATAGCACAAAGAAAAATGCAAAATGACACAGCTGTTTCCCTAACAACTGCAACCTCTGCATTCCTTTCCCATGTTTTATGCGTCCACATTTTTTTAACTAACTTATATAAAGAAATCAGTTCTAAAAAGAATAAAAATGTTGCTGCAATTCATTTTTCATTGATTACCTGTAGATCATTTTAGATAATCCTTTATCATTGCCATCAATAAGTATTCCATCAATACAACGGAAGACAAAAGGATTTCCAACTGACTGAATTAAGATTGGTTCATAAGGCCAATAAATTGTCCCTGTTAATAAGAACAGCAAAATGATTCATCATTATGTTGTGAACTAATCATTCTCAGGAGTGACCATGACACAATTTCTCCTCCTAAAATCTCTACAAAATCAAGTAGACAAGTTATGAGAATAAAGAAGAAAATCAACTAGAACTGAGATTACTATGAGATCCAACACCAAATTCTCAAAACTAACTTTATTAGAAATTTATCATAGATAGTAAAGAGAATTACAACTAACATCTAGGGAGAAAAACATTGATGGCAGAGTATTTATTAGGTTTAGGAGATCCTAGAAGTTTTCAAAAGTAGTATAAATATTTACCTGGGTATAAAGCTACAAGACTCCCTACTGGGATGTCTCCTTTAGTGACAAAAACTCCTTTCCCAGCTCCAGGGATACTGCTCTCAAGTCTTTTAATCTCATAACCTAAGGTGTTATACATCACTCCTGATTGATGCCTGTCATTTGCAGACTGCGTCTCAAAATCATGAAGAGCATGAAGGACTGTCAAAAGGGACTCAATCACTTTGGTGTCTGGAACAGTCTTGTCCTGATCAGTGGAACCAACCTCTCGTACTGTTCTAGTTTCAAAACCAAACATAGACAGAAACAAACAAACAAGCAAACATCAACAAGCGTGATTAAGACTAGTATGTGTCGCAAGAAGAGTTCAGGACACTGAAGACTAAGAATCTACAGATTTATGATGAAAATTGTAATTCATGATAGAAGAACATGAAATTGACAAATGGTACATCCACCAAATATTTCCTGGTCCATGCAAACTAAAGTGATCTCATGGATTAATGTCCTTATCTGAGAAACTACACACCTACCCATCCCCTAACCCAACATCAACCCCAACTTTTTATCAGTTGACTGTTGCTGGGCTAACAAGGGGAGGGGTAGGTGAGCAGTTGCTCAAATATTGATCCAATCTGACAAGCAAGAGATAGTTCATGGGAGTTATATCTTAGACATATTTGCAAGAACCAAGTAAAGTGACTGACAACCATTGCAAAAGTAAACACACCCGGCCTAAACCGGGCGGGGCAAAGAAGAAGTAGCGTAACGTGTAGGGGAGAGGGATTGGGGCGGTGTCAAGTCACGGTAAAAATAATGTTTATATTCAATCATGTAAAATCACACCTTTTCCTTAAATTCAAGGCGATCCAAGGTACAAATCGATATCTGTAACTTCTCCATTTCTCAATCCATTTTCTAATCAGCATACTCATAACAAATCAGCTTCCACCGAAGCTAATGTCTGTATCTCGCTCTGAGTTGTTTGCCATCTTCTCTTCTGAGTTGTCCGCCATCTTCTCTTTTTGAGCGAGCAAAACTTTGGTCAGCGGGTAAATATTCGTCCCAGTCTTTTGTAGTCAACAACAGAAAATTGCACATGGCCGATCGGATGTGTGGCAATAAGCTTTGAGCTTGTTTGGGTTTGTTTTTCTTTACGGGAGAGCAAAATGCCGAAAGTAAAAGCAGCTAAGAAGAGCAGAGAACATGGGCAAAACAAGGTGTATCAACAAGGTACTTACGATGTCCAATGAAGTTGTTTTGCCAGTTTCTGGCGCTAGGTATTATTAAGGCAATGTATATATAATTTCTATCAAGTACAGAGTGCTGTAATCTTCAAAGGATTAGCTCAGTTATGATGTGATGTAACGTTGTGATTTTGTTTTCTTGCTCTCCAATCCAGCTCTACAGTTCAAAACGGAGCATGGGCAACATATTCTGAAAAACCCCTCGTTATAACCAGTCTGGTTGAAAAGGTATGCTTGACAAATCTTCTTTATTTCACACGTTTTTAAGTAAAAGCCTATTTTCCTCATCATAGAAACCTAAATAGGCAAACTGATTTCGTTAACACGCAGCTCTTTCATCATATCAACAGGGTAGAAGTTCAGTCCTTTGTATGCTATCATCGGTTGCTAATTAACGATCATTTACCCTGGTCTATCGATCAGCTGGGTAAAATAAGCTAAAACTGAAGGTTAAAAAGTTACTGAGCTTTAATTTTTGGCAAATTTTTCTTGAAAGGGATAGATTCAGGTGACTTTATACGATGGAACTTAGCCTCGTCCACTTCACTTTTTCTTGTCAAGGTATAATCCGTGTTGAAGAATACGTTCTAAATATAAATCTTTTTATAATTTTTTTCAGGCTGGCTTACGATCCACAGACACTGTTCTGGAAATCGGTCCCGGAACAGGGAACTTAACGGTTAAGTTATTAGAGCGAGTAAAAAAGGTAAGCCCCTTGAGCCGTGTTTGTTTATTGTTTACTGGAGAAAGATCACATATCTGTCTTGATTGAATGTTTTCTGCGAATTACAGTGTGAATGAGTTTCTCTTTTTGTGCAATCATGTGTAGGTTATTGCTTGTGAGGTGGATCCTCGCATGGTGGCTGAGCTTCAGAAAAGAGTGCAAGGAACGTAAGTTGAGCATATTCTATTTTAACGCATTAAACCTGAAGAGTGATCAGCTTCTAATTTCTCCTTACAATATCACCCCTGAATCAAGCATTAAGGTCACGAGAATCAAGGAAATGATCACCAACTTATAAGGCTCTTGATTTTTAAACAAATTCTCCTTGTCAAGGGCTTTAGGAAATGTATAGAGAACAGTATGGAGAATATAGATACTGATGTTCGGGTGTAGAGAGTTAATAGGTGACTGACACATAAAATAAAAACATTGAAGTTAAATATCCCTGGAAATTTATATCCAAAGAGCATTGGAACTTACAGAGTTAATCATGTTTATGTTTGAAATATAATTTACAGAGATTTACTGTGATTTCTGTCATTGACTTAACCCTTTCACTCCCTAGATCTAATTGGTAATTCTCCTTACCATCTGCCATACAGTTCTGATGATGCTAGTTCAGAGAATTTGGCATTGGATCAACTAATAATCCCATAATTGATATTCTTCTCTATTCTCATCACCTACCCACTTGATATTGTATTGATATTGTAAGGAGAAATTCTGTCTTGATCACTTGTGGAGTGAAAGGGTTAAGAAATATCAATTTTGAATTAAAAAATGCTGTCCTTGAATTAACACTGTTCCTGTATAAATGCTGCTCTGGAATGACGAGAAATCTGATAAACACTTTGGCATTTTGCTTTTTAATCAAGGAGATACATGCATAGCAAATTGTATTGTATGGAATTGATTAGCAACTCAAGTATGAAGGGTTCTCTCAGTGACTTTGACATGTGATAACTTTGGTTTTTTAAATTATCAGTCCTCAAGCAAGCAAGCTTCATGTGATGGTGGGAGATGTTTTGAAGACAGATCTCCCTTATTTTGATGTGTGTGTGGCTAATCTTCCATACCAGGTATTTCCACGGAGCATACATAATTTATTTATTACGATGTTGTGATTATGTTTATACTTTCTCATGTTTTGCTATTTATATCACACAGATTTCATCACCATTTGTATTCAAGCTCCTTCTTCACAGACCGTTTTTCAGGTACACTTACTTCCTCTTTGTCAACTCAAATACCAATGCAGTTTATGTCTGATTGTAGGAAGGACATGGTGGCCTGGAGACTAGTGCCCAGGGGGTGGGGTTGGTCTGGGTTCAAGTTTGGGCTTGGCTGTAGTGTTGTGTTCTTATGGAAGACATATCCCTCTTACAGTGCTTAACTTTATCTTTGAGTGGGATATTTACTTTTTTATCTACACCTCTCCCCCCCTCTCTCCCCCCTCCCCCCAACCCACTCACCCTATGGAAAGCAGCCTTTGACAGAGGATTTGTTGGAATTCTTTTGAAGGAAATTGGTAACATTTTGAACTGCCTACATACAAATTTCAAAGGTTGGCTAGGGGAGGGGGGGGAGAGGAGGAATGTTGTGATGCCACTGGGTATTGCAAACTATTAAGGGTGGATTGTTAGGCTGTGCGAGATGGGTAATCTAAAAGCATGACAAAGTATGGCTGTATGGAGCTTTTGGTACACAAAGCTGACTTTATTTTTTACCATGGTTGATTTTTCTTAGACTAGAATATGACTTTCTATGTTTATTTTGTTGGCCTGTAGATGTGCAGTTTTGATGTTCCAAAGGGAGTTTGCCCAACGTTTAATCGCTCAACCTGGAGACAAATTGTATTGCCGGCTGTCAATCAACACACAGTTGCTAGCCAGGGTTGATCATCTGATGAAGGTGTGTTGCATCTTAATAAGTATCTAAACATTACGGGCCGGTTACTTACACGAGGTCTGACCCAAACCGCGGTTTTACGCAAGTTGTGGTCCTCAGGGGTTCTGTATAAGAGGGTTGGTCCAGTTAAATAAATGTCCTCTCACTATTAGCGTTCGGTCCTCTTTACACTGATTACAAAAATAAATTTTCAGATAAAAGGTTCGGCTAAATTGAAGATGGCTTAGAACGCGGTGTTATTAAACAACGGTTAAAAGTTGTTTAAATAACAGGTCCTACAAGTTATGCACAAAAATGATAGCAGTACAGTGAAATACAGCCTGCTAAATTGACAAATCATTGCACACTTGCATACTGAGAGATAAAATGATAATGTTGGTAATTTAGTGTTATCAACTGAGTTGAAAACGTAAATTGGCCACCGTAAAGGGTGAAAAAGGTGACGTTTCGAGCGTTAGCCCATCGTCAGAGTGATTGGAGGGCTAACGCTCGAAACGTCAGCTTTTTTACCCTTTACGGTGGCCAATTTAAGTTTTCGACCTAGTTGTTAACACTAAATTACTTGTTATACTCTCCCACCGACGCAGCACTACAGTTTCTTTAGAAACTTACCCCCTTTATCATGGTAATGTTGACAGGTTGGGAAGAACAATTTCCGGCCTCCTCCAAAAGTCGAGTCCAGTGTTGTGAGAATTGAACCCAAAAATCCACCACCTCCTATTAATTTTAAGGTAAGAAGCTGTTATTTATAAGCTTTAAGCGACTAAGACTAAGACTACGACCCCTTTTCGTTAATGAATGCAAGGCTTTGACTCTTTCTAGTGATTAGCATCTAATTTCTCTTTACAATATCATCCCTGAATCACACACAAAAGTCACTAGAACAAAAGAAACGATCACCAACTAACGAAGCTCTTGATTAGTAAATAAATTCTCCTCGACGGCACCTTTGGAAATGTATAGAGAACAGAATGGAGAAAGTGCATACTGATGTTAGTGTGTAAAGCGCTAAGAAGGACACTTAGATCTCATCAAAAACAATTCTGCGTTACTTTTTTTTTAGGAATGGGATGGTCTTGTGAGAGTCGCGTTTGTGCGAAAAAACAAAACACTAAATTCATGTTTCAGGTAAGCTCGTGATGTCTCTTTAATGTAGCTCGAAAAATAGAGTTTAAGACTCTTATGTAGACATTCACCGATTCAATTGCTTTCAAAATGTATTCACTAAAACGATTCTTACTAACGTTTCTGTTTTGTTTTGTTTTGTTACAGTTCACGAGCGGTTGCAGAAATGTTGGAGAAAAATTACAAGATTCACTGCTCGTTAAATGATATTGTAAGAACTATTGTTTGTCTTTTTTTAGCTTTCAGTGAAAGGTTAATCTTAATTTTATGACTGATAGCCAGAGTTATCAGGTTACGGATGCTGCAACGAAACACAACTGTTAAAAGTCAGTAGTGGCCAAATGGATTTACTTTGGCCGGTCGTATGCGGATTTTCCGCGCAAAATTTCATGGGACAACCCGAGAAATAATGACTGTCTCCTGTACATTACAACTAATTACTAACCACAATGATTTTACGTTAAAGATGGTAGATGAAGGATTTGATATCAAAGAGAAAGTTCAAAAGTTGTTAACAGAAAATGGATATGACAAGAAACGAGCACGCACAATGGATATGGATGATTTTCTCGGGTAAGAATTTCACACTCTAGTTGGATCACGTTCATTAACTGTTCTGAGAATATGCTGTATTTTACCTTATTCGATATCGTTCAGTCTGCGTCTTGTCAATTTAGAGCAGTTAATTGAGTGTCGACAGTAATCTGAGAATGAAAAGTTTTGGTTACTTCTCGCTGATTGGTTACAGAATTTGATGCCACTTCAACCAATCAAATGCAAAGCTTAAACCGATCAAACCTTGGTCAGCCGCGTTTTCCCGCGCTTCATAAAGTTTGCTTGTCTTTACTTAGAGTTTTAATTGGCTTCTAGTGACTGGATATTTTTGTTGGTTCTGACTGGTCGATGAGTCAACTTTGTTGATTGTGTTACGACAATCAATCGAGAAGCGCTTTTCGGAAATCATGCCTCAATTCCGTCGGATCACCTTAGAATTGCCAACCGTAATTTTCTTTTTTTTCTATTACGTAATCCAATAAATTTACGCTTTGCAAGCGCATACATTTATCACACCATGATTGATTTATCAACAGTTATTTGTTTGTTTGTTTTTTTTTCAGTTTACTTCACCTATTTAATTCCAACGGTATCCATTTTACGTGATGGTGTCGATGGTATCTGAAGAATATCCGTTTTAATTCCTGTACATAAATAGCAAATATTCCGCGTATATGATTCTAAACTGCTATTTTTGGTTCAGTCACTAATCTCTTTAAATACTCGGGAAGTAGTGGTGTTTCGTTGGTTTTCTCTAATCAGCGTCGAATTTCTGGTGAGGCCAACAGAAGGGAACATACATTATTGATAAGAGACATCTTTGTTTTTGGAAAGAAAATGGAGAAGTCTCGGGCTGCAGCGATTGAAAACTCAACACACAATGTTTATAAATTGAATAAAGAGGGAAGCCTTTGAAAGCTTTTGTAAGTTTTTCATGAAGAAGAGCGCGAAGACTTTTACTTTGACAAGTTTGCCAGCTAACTCTACATTGCAAAGAAATATGGTTAATGATGTCACAGGAAGATACATCACACTGATTCTTTTGTAACGTTTACCAATGGGACTATCATGCAATGCCCCTGTGTAGAGAATGAGAAAGATGTTCAATTCGTTTTATCACGAGCTTTGGACAAAGAAAATAAAACAAAGTTCCAACTATGGAGCAAACTGTATATCTTTGGATTTCGCGTTTGCATGCCCTGGTAACTAAACCAAAGAGATGTCGTCAGTAAGCGAAGCTATGTTCGATTCCTCTAAGGGAATTCGCATTGTTCCTTCGTCGCAAAGTAAATACATCTTTCTTTATTCGCGGACCTTGATCACAATAAACCATCTCCCTTTCTCTATTTATGTACTCGACGCTTTCGACACTTCTTGTCCTCGCAGTATTTGGGGCACCTGTTGCATACGTTGTGACTTCAATTTCTTCAAGAAATTTCTTCGTTATCTTACATCGTTAATTCAGTTAAGATATTAAAAGTAATCGGTAGACTTCTGCAACTAGAACGTGCACGCATGTAAGCTGGAAGGTTCTAAAGGAATCAACCAGCAGTTTTGATTTTCTTACTGATGATCAAAAATCACTGCTTCGGTCAAAAGTGAAAAACAGGAAATCTCGGATAATTCCGATTAATTTGAACTTTATTAAGAGGTAAATTCTTCATTCCATCTATCATTAGTTTGCAGATAGGGTTACAGATGCCGTTCGCAATCTTGATCTCGCAGAGAATCCCGAGAAGAACCCGCTGAAAATCCCGACGGAATCTAGGTGTAAATCCCTGGGGCAGTTGCGGGAATTCCAACGGCAATCCCGGTTGATATCGGGTGGGAATCTTAGGACGATTGGTGTTGATGCAGAATATCATCAGTTAAACAGATCTAGAGAAGTTTAACATTTGTATCGGTGGCAATCCCGGCAGGAATATTTGCGAAAATCCTTACGGGAATTCCAACACGCTCTTGGCGATTGACGTCAGAGCGGTAGTGAAGAAGTTGAAGCTGTCTCGCAAGGTTTCAGCGAGAATCCCGTCGGAAATACCTCTATAAATCCCTGGAGGCCCTAGCAGTGATCCCGGCGTGATCCGTGGGCAGTCCTTACGGGAATCCGCAGGAAATCGCGTCACAATCCCGTGCGAAGATCCTTACACGATCTTAGTTCAAATTACCGTCGGGGCTACAATTTTATTTGATGATGAAAATTAGTAGGGAATTAATCATGGAAGGTTTTTGTAAAAATTGGGTCGTGGTTTCCACGGGGAGGTGTGGTATGCTCACGGTAAGATGAAAAAAAATTATTAAAAATAAAATAGATGATTAATAGAAAACGAAGGAAATACTCCGGACTCATCTGTATTTTCAAACTATTTGTTTACGAGATCCATGGTAATTGATAGATCGAGAAGCAGATTCGTGGGAGACTATTCTAGATTTTTGTTTGTATTTTTGATATAACGCATTGATAACTCTGAGGGCAGTTTATTTTTAACTATGCTGATGAACTGAATATCACTCTAGACATTAAATACATCATTGCTAGTAGGAAAATAAAGAAATTGAAAACTTCCCGCATTATTTCGAGTGTACTGCGATAGCACAACGGGAAGTGAGGGTTATTTCATAAGTCCTTAGGACAAACAAGCTTGATTGTCATACGTGTTGTGAGCTTAAAAAATAGCTATCATTATTGTCTGCGTAACGATGCTGTAAACCCACAATAAAAAAAATCGTAAGAGGATTTTGTCGACTGTTTTTTTGTGGGCGTTCACCACACCGGAAACCACTCTGGAATCTAGTTCTTGTTATACTTAGAAATTACTACTTATACCTCACCGGCTTTTTTGACAGACGAGGTCGAGTATGATCCGCTAGCCATGAACAATCATTTCTATCACGTATTGACAGGATGATATTGGGTTGCACCGATACAGGTCATTTCACTTAGTAATGCCGAGTGACTCACGAACTTGTCTGGGGGACTCTTTCTTTGTTCGCACCCGGTTTAAATTCGCTTATCTACAGTCATCTTTTGTGAGGGTTCGGTGAATGAAAACTTTCGTGTTTATTTGTGTTACGAGAACAAACTACGAGTTTATCAAGGATCAATCTACTGATTGAAGAGTGTAAATTTTAATTTGCGGAATCGCTGTAATCTGTTCATTCTTTCAAGACAAATTCGCCCTTCGGCTGGACTTGACATAGGACTGACTAATTGTGACAGCAATTCAATTGCCAGAGGTAGAATTGGACAAGGCTTGAACTTAAGAATACGCGAATGGAGTCAAGACTCCCGAAGTTTTGTCTCTGGCTATTAACAATAACTGCTCTGACAAGTTTATTTGCAAGAACAGTCATAGCCAACAGAATTACAACTCAAAACAGTAAGTAAAGAATTCAAGATTCATTTTATTGTCTTATGATTTATAACAAGTCTGTTTGTGGTCCGTTCGTATCAGTCTAATTGAAGAACTAAAAAAATATCACGGCATCCTTGTTTATGAAAAATCGTTCGTAAAGTATTATCAGGAATTTTCAGTTAAACTCAATAATGGTTCCACGGAAAATTTAGACACAAAGAATATCGTTGCTTATATAATTTACAGACACTACCGAGACGTTAAACTCAGCCAATATTTCAGTAGTATGCATCAAATTAAATACGTAAGATTATTTACTAAGTCTCGTTTAAAGATATTGAATTGGAAAAAAAAATGTTATTGAAGGTTGATCAAATTATTTTCATTTGTTTACAACTTTCTTTCTTCAAAAGACATGTCAGAAATTTTAAAGGAAAGATTTTAACAAAGATTTTAAAGCCAGAGAACGAGGTTTAGCTGTCTCCCTAGGGAAATTTTACGAACTTCAAGCTACCTATTTGCTAACTTTCTATTTTGTTTTCAATTGTACGTTTGATATGAATGCTGTGGAATGAAAACGATTTAGAAGTCAGTGACAATTATAAGTTTTTTCGTGACTCCAACCTAATCTCGGTAAATTAATGTTTGGCTTCGTTACGCTTTCCGCATTTAATAATTTGGTCATTGGTTTTCACCTCATTGAGATACCTATCACTCAATGTATTTTAATCCATTAGCAAAATTTAGTTATCTATCAGAAAAATGTCCTTTAAAGTATCCTCGATCATAAGCAGTGCTTTTTAAGTAAGTTCATTCAACTGTTTATAATGTGGAGTCCGATTAGCGACAGACAGTGCCCCCTCAGGTTATAATGCCTTACTGACAAGCCACTGACTAGTATTTTAAAAATTTCATCACAATCAGGTCAGACAAAACATGCATTAAAAATAATCAGATTAATTAACGAGACCTTTCGAAACGAGACCAATGTTGATTTTGTTAAGATATTATTTACTATGTGACAGGATCCCTCACAACTCGAGACTGGTGCCGGAGAGCAAATACATTTCTCAAACTATCGACTTAATTGCTTGAATAAATCTCAAGTTTAGCCAAGCTTAGGACACGTATTTTACTGTGCCTACAATTTTTAGCCTTTTTCAGGTTAATACAATTATTTTGCACGGCAGAACATCCCTTTTGGATCTGAGAAGCATATAAGCGTAATGGAGTATTACAAAACCTGTCTTTAAAGTTCAAAATTTATAGAGATGTGAAATCAAGTTTGGGTGCTATTTCCGGCTATGTTTGCTAATAGCGCTTGTGGTTAAATCACGAATGGTGTTTTAAAAAGAATTATTTTCCATTAGGGATTTCAGTTGTCTCCGATTTTGCAGCACTTTTTAACCGTAAAATTGTTTTAGAGCGAACATCAGCGGAAACTCTGTTTAAACCATGCACTTCGACTATGAGAAATTTTCTTTAGAATCTAGTGAGCATAATTTTTATCGCATCAAATAAGCTTACTCATATAGGCCAAGGGGCTAACGGAAAAGAGGAAGAAAATGAAAAAAATTTCGTGAGAGCGCTGATAAGGAAGGTTAGTTTTCTTAGTCAAACTGTGGGAGATAAAACATGTTCTGGTTTGTTCCGTCTACATTCGTGAATTTAAATGACGATTAAAGCGCTTTGTGAGTATTGCTTCATCGGGTTAATGGGTCGTGAACCAAGATAACTGGCTACTTGTTACTGCACGCAATATCTCATCATTTGAGACCTCGATCCCGAGGGAGGGTAAGGCCAGGTAAATGCGCGCTTTTTGACGCGTCTGAATATCGAAAAGAGAGCGACAGTCAAATCTTAAAGGGCTCTGATGTAAAAATATTATAATCAACGTAATTTTATTTAAAACTCCCAGTTAGAAAGTCGAGTTGAGACGATTAGACTGAAATTTTTCCTTTTTCAGGTCAGGGAAAACTTCTCGAATGCTCTGCCACCGCAAATTCCTCAACGGCGGTTTTTCTGACGCGGAGAGAGCCTGGCAAAAGTCATAAAATTCCCATCAATGGAAATGTTTCCGTAAGGGAGTATACCACAATTGTAGCCTTATAATGGACCCTATGGACAATTCCCTCCAGCCAGGTTTAATTTGATAAAACTTTTATTCATTTATCTAGATTCCCTACAGACCTTTGCATTCCAAAAGAAAATTCACCGTTGACCAAGCTGGAGCTCTTACCGAAAAACTTGTTGCTACAAGGCAACATGGTTATTGTAAAGTACTCGTAAGAACAATGAGCGACGGTGAGTTGGTAGACAAAGAAGTTGAGGAAGTTTTTAGTCAAATGCTGAGCACCTACGTAAAGTCATTATCAAATAAAACAAAGTAATTACGTATAAAAACAATTCATATCTCACAGGATTGCTATAGCTATTGCTATTGCTATAGCTATTGCTATCGCCGTCTATTGTAATGGTAACGAACACGCCTCCATGGTGTCACACGAAAACGATGTATTGAGCCAAGTTTGAGTACCAGTCCGAGTCGCGTGGCGCGCCTTTCAAGTCTCGTCTTTTAGAGTCGTGTCTCTTAAGTCGGGGGTTTTAAAAGGTCGCGGATTTTAGAAAAAAGAATTGTTTTTGTATCATTTGCATTGTTTTATCTATTGTTTTTAATTATTTATCTTAAGGTGATTCCTCAGTATTGCATCGCACATCCTGTACTGAGCACAAAATCATGTAATCATGCGATTTAGTGCGCGCGCATTCCGAGAGCAAGGTATTGTTTTTCAAGCAATGTGCCAGGCAAAGATGGTCTTTAGCTCTCGAACGAACACAGTGACCTATATTTCTATTTATATAATTTTGGTGTACAGATTATAACCTTGAAAGCAACGACTCGAGGAACGTTTTATGTCGATGTCGTTTAAAATTGCGTGATTTTTCCACAAATTATATACAAAATTGTTCCATACACTCGAGACTTTCTACTTATCAAGTGCCCTTTTTTTAAAAACCCTTACTTCTAACCACCGTGAACCAGTGCAACTGCGCGTGTGATTAGTGCCAGTACAGGCATAAATAAGGTAAGTTTGGCCCATGATATTTCGTAAAAAAGCACGGTGGACTATCTTTTTCATTGTACTTTTTGAAACAGTCATCAGAAGGGAACATTTAGGGAAAGTTTAAAAAAAGTAGTTTGGTAACTTTTTTTCTCAGGAATCAGCCTAGGGGGAAGGATGTTGATACACGACGTATATCAATACTACAATATTTAAGCGTTAGTTGAACCGGTTCACCCTCCCAAAACATATTATGCCGTCCTATCTACTCGACGTTAATGGTAACCAAGCTTCCCAAAATGTAGATCAGAGTGAACCCCGATCCCTAACCGTCCATCCCGAATCCCGAATCCCGAATGCCGAATCCCTTATCCTTAATCCTTCATCCAAAGCATCACACGCAGAGCCTTACCCCTAAACTCTAACCCAATCCCTTAGGTTATCCTTTACTCCTAGTCCCACACTCAGCTTCCGAACCGCAAATCCCTAATCTAGTGTCTCAATCGAGTCAAGAATCCCTCATCTTTTTCCCGAATTCCAGTTCTATAATTCGAAGCGCTACGCGCAAAGTCCCACCCACTTGATCCTAACCTAGCCCGAGGCTTAAGACCCGCAGCAAGTATCTTGTAACCCAAATCCCGAGACCCAAATTTCGTATCTCGTATCCCGTAGCCCAAATCCCGAGACCCAAATTCCGTATCTCGTATCCTGTAACCCTCATTCCGAGTCCCTTGCCCGAATCTCAAATCTCTGATCGCGAGTCAAGACGTAACGGTTTTTATTTATTTATTTATCTCTCAGCTCGATTGTCAGTCCGTTTCCTTCCTGTCCAAATACAAGGACCTCACTTCCGAATTGTTTCATGGATACCTGTGACACTGCAGGACACCCAACCCATATATAAATTGTTTATGCAGTGGAGAAACAATGATGGACGTATTTATAACCGCTTACTCTGCGAAGGAAACCGAACGTCTTGCAAAGTTGGAGGAAGTCTTCCCCTACCTCATCGCATGTATGTCAATGTTATTGTGAAGAAACCAGTTCATAACTTTGAAGAAGGGAACATACTTACAAACCCTACAGAAAACGTTTTGCTTCCTGTACCTGAAGAGAAACCAACGAAACCAGGTTAGAAATAATACAAGGGCAATTATTCAATCGAATAGAGAAAGTAAGCCGAGATTGTTTAATTTGGTTTTGCATTACTTACCTATATGATTGGCTCAGAAAACTCGTGCTCCTTTCTCAACAAAACAGATTAAACGCTAAAAACAATCACGATCTGGTAGCACGCGTTTTCCCGCGCTAAAGCAATTAACATGTTTTAACTCTGAGTTCCGATTGGCTGCCCATGAAATTTTCCTCTTATCTTATTGGTCTTTTAAATATTGTGGCTTTGGTGCAACGACACAAACTTGAAAAATGCTCTGACTATTGTTTCAAATATCTTCTTTACCAAGAAAAAAAAAAGCTAGGAGACTGAGAACGAAAGGTGGCGCAGTTTGTGCTATTTTAGATCACTTTTGTTTTGTGGGATCTCAGAAAGATCCAGGGATGAGAAAGCGTTGGGTTCAGTATTCAGAAAAATCAAAAATGGTTCTTTCCTTTTTGTTCTCTACAGCTGTAACTAAATTTTTATCTGGGAAATTCAAGTTATCACAGCCGATTAATTTCTCTCTCTCCCTCTTTTTTGCATTTCTTTGACAGCTCGTGCCTCAGGTAACAGTACAACAGGTAACAGTACAACTTTCTTGAAAGTTGAAATCGTTAGTTATGACTGGAATTTTGTCAATCTATCATGGAATGCAATTGAGACTGGAAATAGTCACGTGACCTACCGAGTTACAGCCAGAAGAGGTAATAAAGCCATTGATTTGGTGACGCCAAAAAAATCCATGGCATTATCAAGCCTGAAGCAGCTGACAAGATATGAAATCAAAGTGCAGGCTCTGGAAAATAACAGCGTTCCTCTTGCATCAGCTGCGGTCAGTTTTATCACAGGAGGTGAGTTTGCACTCGCTTGAACTAAGTATTGCAGATTACAAACGTTATCTTTTAACAAATTAACTCACATTTGTCTCCAAGCTCAGCTGAAGTTTGGATCGAAAAGCTAGTTTTAAAGGAACACATTCAACCAGTGTACTTTGCGCGTCGTTATTGTAGTTATCCAGGAACTCCATATTGTTTCTCTGACTGGGGTATTACGGTTACTTTCTTGAGCAAGTCTTTCTCCTCTCGCAGATCGTTTACCAATAAGGAGTGTAAATGAGAGCCAAAAAATTGAAGAATTATATATTTGAGAGGTTACTTAGGGTTTATAGCGGAGCTCGCAGAGTGTAGCCCCATAATTATACAAAATAGTAATAACCCATCAAGCCGAAAAAATTTGGATGTACGACCGTACGACCAACCGTACAAGGTGCTACTTTTAGCTTGCGCGGCCAACTGTACCACGGGCACTATCTTATAATCAGTCCTCTACACGGACACGGAGAAGTTGCGAATGAAAATCCATTAATATTACCACGCACTTTATCCATAGTAGGGGCTTTAGTTTTATTGAAGAGACGTGCGGGAAAAAAAAGCGAGCTCCGCTTTCAGGCTTGCCTAAATCTATATATTATTGATCATTTCTCGGACTGAACTGCTTAAAAAAATACCCTTTCGAATCCAAACGTAAAGAGCTACGGAGGAAATATAACCTCACAAATTACAATCCAATTCTTGTTTACTCTCACAGACAGAAACGAATGTAAAGAAATGCCAGATCCATGTTTCGACCGCGCCCAATGTATCAACACCAAAGGAAGCTACTTTTGTCGTTGTCCTCTTGGGTGGACTTTTGACGGGAAAGTATGCAAAGGTTTGTGGAAATTTCAAGACAACTGCTCTGTTAACAAAGTCAAATGTTTCTTTTGATCTACCATTACATTTATAATATGGTTTGCTAAAACTTTGCTTCAGGTGTCACCAGTTTCACTGTTTGAAGACTCCCAAGGAGCCTTTGTGTCTATCTAAATCACGTTAGATAATCTGCATATTTCATGGTAGCAAAGTTACAGTAAAGAAATTTGTTTTCCTTTCTGTACTTAATTTGCAATTATATTTTTAGAACTGTCACAACATGAAAGAAAAGGGGCATTTTGCGACGCTGAAAGATTCCTAAACATCATATGGCCGGTGACGTCACAAGGACAAATGGCTTTCTCTTGGTGTCCCGTTGGATCAAGAGGTAGGATTGGATCAAATCTCTAAGCTAACTTCTCCTTATTATACATCTCACATCTCACATCTCACATCTCACATCTCACATCTCACATCTCACATCTCACATCTCACATCTCACATCTCACATTTCACATCTCATATCTCATATCTCGTTTTTACTATCTTGTTTCTCGTATATATCTCCCAATTATCATATCCCATATCTCTTCCTTACATCTGATTTCTCCCCTCTCCTATCTTGTATCTCATATCTTGCACATCGCATCTCATCTCACATTTATCAAATTTTAACTCTCACATTCCATATCTTATATCTCATGTTATTCCCTATCCAACGTAGCTTCCCATAAATTTCGTATTCCATGTCCCAATTACCAGGTATTGCTAAGAGACAGTGTTTGGAAGTTTTCGGCGAAAGCACATCTGAATGGGATGTCCCTGATCTCAGTGAATGCGTCTCGGATAAAATGATAAATATCGCCCAACAGGTAATGTGGTTTTTTCCTTTTTTTAATAAAGAAATGACAATAAAAAAAACGGGAATCACACTTTTCCAAGTTTTTTAAATAGCATAAAATGTCGATGAGAACATTGTTGATCCGTTTGAGTGAGAGGCAACTCGAATAAATTTCTTTTTGTGACGTTTTTATCATATCTATCTGTAACAGCGCGCCATTATTGGTCAGTGTAGTGAAGAATAGCTTACCAAATTTCCCACCAGATCAAAGTGCCTCGCCCAAGGCCACAGTGACTCTAACCACTTTAAGAAATAATTTTTGTTATTTACAATACAGCTGGATGATCCCGACGTCGATGTCACCGAAATTTCCATGCAGCTTGTTAATGCTACTGACGTTAACACGCATGCGCAAGCTCCACTTCAAGCTGGTGACCTTAAACTGGTCGTTGACCTCATAGAGAAGATTTCTCAAAAGAGCCTGGGAACAATGCAGTACTTACCACCTGCCATAAGAGACGAAACAATAAAAAAGATTACAAAGGTTTGTCAACTTAAGTTAAATCCTTCGTGTGACTACAATTGTTTCTGAATTCATATCAGAATGTGTCAAATTTGCCGCTTTATTTTTATTTAGGCCATAGTGAAGTCTTCCAGTAATATACTAGACGACAAAGCTCTTGAATCCTGGAAATTTATGCCAGAGGTAAGAAACATACAGAGAGAAAATGGAGGTCATTTGAAAGGCGTTGGTTTAAATTCATCGGGTGACTAATTGGTTCTCTTTGCATGAATTGGCATGTTCTTTTTCTCAGGACTCGAGGGCTGCTGGAGCAAGTAAGCTTTTAAAAGGAGTTGATGGCATTGCTCTCCATTTGGCCAAAACAGCTGTTGCGAGTAATGCAATCGTATCTGAGGCCTCAAACGTCGGTGAGTATCACTCTAGTTACCTTCACACAAACTCCGTATGGGGCGCTATATTTGGAGGTAAAAGAAACGAGAAATTCTTTCTAATCCTGATAACCCGCCCATGTGACTCACAGTACTTCACACTTTAGGAAAAACCCTTGGAAAACGAACAGTTTTTCTTGGTGTCTTCCCATGTGAACATTAACTTTAGAGCTCTCGCAGTTTCAACAGCATGGTTAATTGGAAATTCTTCGGACTTTCCGTAACAAATGGAAGATAAACCTTTAGCTCGTGCGTGATTTGAAGCAGAAACTCTTCGCATTGGGCCCGTTATTAATTGGAACTTCGCGGGGCCGAATTTGTTGCAGAATTCTCCACTGCGTTAAGGAAAATCTCTGAGGAGCGCTGGTTCGACAATCAATAGGATTGCATCTTTCCGATTTCTTGCGTTTATTTATAATCCATACAATATCCGAATTTTTTACATTCAAACGATCTTAATCTTCTGCTACAAGATAGCAATTCTATTTATCTGCTATTACAACGGAAATACACGCCTAAACTAGTAAAACCAGGATTGACATTACTTATTCGTGATTTACTTAAATCTCAAGCTATTTCCTGTCAACTTGATTTTAACAACTGTTTCTCATTCAACGCCGACCAACACTTCTATAATTTACACCCACACGCACGCACTATTTGCTTCACGAATGACACATCACGCAACGTCACAGGATGTTCCAACCCGAACGCGCACGCACAATTTGTCCACGCAGTTCCTTATCTAATTATTTCAGACCATTATTGATTTTCTATATCACGAACATTCTCAAGTCTGCCATTACCGTGCTATGTTCAATTATACACCTAAATCTTAAGTAACCCATCCGTCATCAAACCCTTAGCTTAATTACTAAATTAGAAAATAAAGTATCACGCGATACGCCCACAAGATTATCACGACAGAATTAGATAAGGATGGAAATCTCTCTGGGTGGTCCTTGCGGTGCTCAGTATGTAATTGAAAAAACACTCTAAACGGTTGGCAAATAATTTTTGTCAATAGAAGGACGGGGAGGGACGGGGGGGGGGGGCTTACTTACCGGATCGATATTCTTCCAGGGTACATCTTGAAAAATTTGAACCCGTCTCAAAAGTCCTTACTTTTTTTCTTATCTCTTCTCTTCTAGTGTTGAGTGCTAAATCCATCAGCGACGTCAAACCGAATGCCCAGCGGATGCCGCCGACAAGCAAGATCATGCGCAATCTTACTTCTAGCACTGTCTTGTTACCAGGCTCCGTGTTAATGCAACAACGGAATGAAGGAAACCAGGGTAAGTGCCACTGAAACTTATCAAAATTCAAGGCAAAGGGCGTGGAATGGTTTCATTTCAGAAAGTCAGCAAGTTTCCTCTGACATATCCATGGTGAGGTATTTCCTTAAAGTGCCTTAAAAGTTACATAGACATCCACGAGGTCGTTTATGTTTATCTGCTTGCTCGGCAGAAGATTTATCCGTCCATTTGACAGCCAAATATATTTTCCAACGCCGATTGTTTCAATTCTTTGCTCTTTTTTCTTTCTACACCAGGCATGACCCAGTATATTACATTTGTATCATACCGCAATCTTGAGGCTTTGATGCAGCCAAGCGCAGATGAGAAGTAAGTAATCCTCTGTTACCTTTCTGTACCGTTAGCCAAAGCTAGAATCTACCCAAACCTGTAAAAAACTCATAAAGTAGCATCGCCAGTCCTGTAGTTTTTTTAACTTCCTCTTCTTTCAACAAAGTTTTATTTTATACCGTGGCTAATATTATCTGTGTATTTCAGATCCTCTAACTCCACGGAAGATGAGAGTGGCTTGGGTAAAATCGAGTCTGAAATTACGTCAGTTTCACTGCACCCGATGAAAATAAACAGCTTTGAAGACCCAGTCATCATAACTATGAAAAGCAAACAGGTTTGCATCGACTAGCGACTCAATTCAATTGTGGCAAAGTGTGTTTGCTATTTTTCCCTTGAGAGCTTACTTACTTTCCAAGGAGTACAATTCCATGGAAATATAACGCTTAGTAAGACATTCATTTCACACAACATTTATTTCACACCTGCTGTGTATCACTGCTGACGCAAGAAATATCGTTTTTTCTTCCGCTACAGAATAACGACAAACTCCAAGCTAACTGTGTTTTCTGGAATGTGTCTGGGTGAGTCAAGAAAATATTTTCGGTAGCAAGTGTCTTAGAATAGACACTATGTTTCTTTTACCATCGGCCGAAACTTCATCAACTTCCGCCTTAGTGGGCGAAAGAGAACCTTGCAGCCTTTACCTATAAATAGCTATAATTTTGATCTGGAGACAATTTTATGTGACCTTTTTTTTTCTTTTCAGTCCCAGAGGTTTCTGGTCGCAAACAGGCTGCCATTTAAAGGAAAGGAACTCAAGCCATACCACTTGTCAGTGTTACCATCTAACAAGCTTTGCCGTGCTCATGCGCATAACAGACATGCCAGAAAATGACACAATGGTTAGTACAGATAGTCTTGAAGTCCACGACAACCAAGATAAGATGCGCAAATTTCCTTACAATTTGCTATACATTTAGTTAATATTTACCTAATTATATTTTTAATTATCTCTTATCCTTGTGGTAAATGTTATCATCTCTCTCTCATCAACAGGAGAAACATAAATTTACCTTGAGTCTTATTTCATTGGTTGGTATTAGCATTTCCGTCGCAGCTTTGGCCCTTGCTTTTCTCACCTTTGCTTTCTTAAGGTGAGTAAAGTAAACTTAACGCTGTGCTCTCTTGGTATAAAGCAATTTTTAATTGAACACCGGAAGTAATCCGAGATTGTTTTTATTTTCTTTACCATGCTCTTTGATTGGTCCAGAAAACTCGCATCACCCTGTCGACCAATCAGATTCAAAACTTACATAAATCACGAATGGGTCGCCCGCGTTTTCCCGCGCTTTCGGCAGTTTCCCTGTTTTTACTTTGAATCGTGATTGGTTCCTTAGGGTATTTTCCTTCCGATTGGCCGCCGTTTTCACTTTGGTTTTGGTTTCACCAAATTTAATCGAAAAGCACTCTAGCCTCTTAAACTAAAGCGTAGTCTTATTATCGGATGCTGTCAATATCAAACTTTCCCACGTTTAAAATATCTGCAACATTAATCAAGTGATTATTTATCCATAAAATAACAAGTGTATTTTTTAACTATTATTTCAGGTTTAGAAACACGCGTCATCGTTATTTCGTTCACGCCAACCTAGCACTTTCTCTGGGTATGGCAGAGACTTTGTTCCTGTTCGGCATAACTAAGACGGCGAATAAGGTGAAGATACAGTAATAATGTGTTGTATGAGAAACAAAACAAAGGCAGCAGTCACAATTAATCGCCTAAGAGAGAAGCAGGAGGAGTGGGAGGGGGGGAAGTCGGGGGATTTTTTGGGGATTACATGGTTCTCAGGGGGGGGACGGAGATGAGAGGAGACGCGACTTCCCCCCCCCCTTCCTTCAGGCGACAAATAACGACTAGTATATGATCATGACGTTTTAAATTTTTCTGTTTTCCCATTGATGACTACGTCGAGTCGACTCGAACGAACTATGATTAATTTAGTTTTCGAAGTAACTGACTTAGACTCCATAATCAAGTTTAAGAGAAGGTTTAGATTCCAACTGAATACTTTTTTTTTCAGCTAATTTGCAAGATCATCGCCATCACCCTACACTACTTATTTTTGGTTTCATTTTGTTGGATGGCTGTGGAGGGAGTCGTCCTCTATCTTCTGCTTGTGAAGATTTTCCGAACCAAAACTCGGCCAGCGAGAGATAGAACTGTTTTCTTTACGTTTAGTTGGGGTTAGTGTCTTTTTAATTGCTGACTGCTCGCATCTAATTCCTTGAGGTAAAGTCTGCTTTCGAGCTGAGTTGCCCTTACGGCTCATACAAATTTCCCTCTGCAATAAGCGAGTAGGGTCATTTCTTATCTATCCTTATTGGAAAAATATGATTTTTAGGGCCTGTAAACAGGCCCTTAGGGTCTTTTCTCTCTCTCTCCCCTTCAGTATTGCTTGTGTACCGCTCGGTTAATTTGCCAGTGACGATCTGAGTTGGGCAGTCACGGAAACCCAATTTGATTACTTCAACGTAAATTTCACTCAATCCAGCTATATGTCCGTTTAATTTCGTGCCTAGATCCTACCGTGTAACTGTAACTGACATGTACAACCGCCTAACCATGAAAGGTCTGGTTACGAGGCTAATGTCAGTTGTAAACACCCAGAGCATGACTTTGTCTAAACAGTACAACATATCTTTTGTGTTTACTCAGGCATCCCAGTAATTGTCGTGGCTGTGTCGGCTGTGCCTTTTTACGAAGGCTACGGCACGGAGGAATTGTGAGTAACCTTTTTAATGCAAAGATAGGACCGTTATTCGTTTGTTAAAGCCTGCCTTTCCGTAATTAGAGCGGTAAATTTCGTAGAACGGACGGACCAGATGAATGGAAAAGCCTCATAATTTTATGGATTTATCAATATCTTTTCCCTAGTTTTCACAAATTTGCAATTTAAGCATACATACGTCTAAAAACAAAAAAGCTGCTTCGATAGCGATAATCATGAAATTCAAATGACCCATGAAAATGCTCTCATTTCATTTTAACTTAGGAGTTGTACTGCGTTTCCAAGACATGTGAATACCGAACTTTCTGTGCACAAACTTCTGATACATGGCGTTTCCGTGTTTCTGTTAGGTAGAATAAGTTATGATTAATAATTCCATATGTTTCTGTTTGTCAGCTGTTGGCTGTCAATTGAAAGGCACTCTACCTGGGCGTTTGTAGGACCAGTTCTTTTAATCTGCTTGGTAAGTTCCACTTTCTTTTTGCTTTTATAACATTCAATTTCATACACGGAAAGAATATGAACCCAGTCACTGAGTTCATTTTCCATACGCAGCAGTGTTGCATATGGCTTGGTAACTAGTGCACAAATTTGGTAGTTCAGTGGTTTAATTCGGGTCAATGGTTAGAAATCGGAAGTAACCTGCGTTCTAATACTCATGGGCGACTCCCAATTTCTCTGTCTTTTACTCTGAAGACAAATAATAAACATGCATCTATTTTCTTATTCAATATTCTACTGAGCGAAATGAAGAGTAAGATTTGTATGTTGTGCCCAGCCAACTATGTAATCATTTAATCGATTATTTCCACGAAAAAGCCAAATCTTGGAGTTTTAGAGAAGGTTGACCAATGTTTGGTCAAAATTTTCTTCCACAGTTTAATTTCGTTTGTTTGGGGAAGACGTTTATGATCATGGCAGCTCGAGGACGAACGAAGAAGGAAGACACAAGTATTGAAAAAATAAGGTAAGACCACAGAAGTAACTTTCCGATTGAGTGACAAATCTGATTGTTATTTCATAATAATACGCTGCGTCTGGACCAGAAACTTCGCGTCAACTTTGAGGCCGTTTTGATGCCTGGAAAACAAAACCCTAATTTCTCTTTATAAAATAAATTGTGATTTTTTTTTAATACGCGTTTTCCAACGCTTTAACTTGTTTACACTTTGAGCTCTCTTTAAAGCCTTTTTGTTCTTTTGCTTTGGTTCGCTTTCGTGATAATTTCTTTTCTTGAGTTATTGGAAAAAATTTGGGGGAAAACGATTATTTGAATCCAAGGGTATATTCGGCGTGCATCACTGTTATCTTTGAGGAGTCCCTAATCGATCAGAGTAACCCTTCCCCCTCTCCCTCAGTATTTTTGTTACGTTCACATGATCAATTCTCCTGGATGGAGAAGTTCACCGTAAGAGTTCAATTAGTGTCTTTCCCGAGAACATCACACAATAAATATGACTCAGATTATTACCTGATCGTGACGTTGGGCGTGTTTTCAGCCCAAAAACTAAAATAGCATTAACAATCGTTTTGCGTAACAGATACTGGTCCAAAGGATGTGCTTTACTTTCGTGTCTCCTCGGCCTGACGTGGATACTTGGAGTTTTTGTAGTCAATCAAGACACCATATTTATGGCATATCTTTTTAATATTTTCAACACCTTACAGGTATGTTCAGGAGATTTTTAAACGATATTCTTTTACATTCAAGAACTTATCGGTAATAATTTAGCCTCCTGAACTGGTAATCAATTTTTTTTAAACTGATTCCTTGATATTTATCTGTTATCTCACAGGGCCTATTTATATTTGTCTTTCACTGCATCGGGGATGAAAAGGTGAGGCAAGCTTCCTTCAGTTTTCAAAAAAAAAACATGTTTTAATCAACTGTAAATTGGCCATAGTGAAGAGATTTTAAGTTCACGTTTCGAGCAACAGCCCTTCATCAGAGCTGACACGTGTAAAAGTATCAGAGTTTTCTTTACATTCTCCAAGTCTGATCTCCATGTGCTTACTTTTGTATTTAGGTACGCGCAGAATATTTACGTATAATCCGCTGTCAAACACGTGCGCAGGCCTATGGCGTTGCTCGGCCTTGGTGGAGCAAGTCGGACTCTTTAAGCCGATCTCGAACATGGGAGGAGAGGCAGGGGAAAGTTTACAGAAGGAGTACTCTTCAATCAAATATTGATTGCTCGAAGGTATGTGATTTTTTTAAACAACTTAATCGTTTGTTTCTCTAAAATATTGATAAGAGGAAGCAAGTGGATGTAAGACTAAGACCATGAATTCCCCTTAAAAGTCAAATGTGAAAAGAAAATTTACTACCAGCTCCTTTTAAACTCAAGATATTTTATCTCTCAGCACGGGAAATGCTACTTGTGCCGCGTGTGTCGCTTGAATGTCTTGATGGAGATCGAGAGGAGGAGTGATCTACAAATAACTTAAGACGGATTGCCTAAGAAAAAATTGTTGTGTTAAGGAATCAGTCCCCTTTCCCCGATTCTCCCTTGATCTATAACTTGAAAGGGGGAAAAAGTCAGGAAGTTACATTTTTATGCCAAAGTTGGTGCTATGAGTTTTTTGCGTTTTTTGATGTTTGCGACTGAAGTAGTCTACTCTTTCTAGTATGTAGAGAACCTCAGAAAGTTGAATATATTTCTGTACTTTTGATTTTTTGTCAGCCGCAAGGTTCAATTCAGCGGAGAACTAATACCATAACACGCCCCGAGGATGTTGCATTTCTAGAAAGATTTGTTTATAACCCACCCGCAGAAGTGACCAATATATATGGAACAGTTGGTACGATATATTTATTTTTTATAATATAGTATTTCTCGGTTCATTCAGAGACTGACATGATTAGTGGAAGTGGATTAGTGATAAACGTGTCTTTGCTGAAGCTTGGCGAAACGAGTGAGAAATTTCATTTAAACCCGTGATCTTAAACAGAACTCTTAGGTTAAACAAATACAAATTGCTTTTGCGATAGCATTCTGTACCATTTTCGATGGCAATCATGGGAACTAATTACAAAAGTATAGCTTTTTAACAGCTCCCCATGAGCTAGATATTTCATTTTCCTGAAGGGGGCTTTTTCTCAAATTGTATCATTGAGCCTTGTTTATAAAACTCCAGTGTTAAAGCTAGGTTTATCACTTCTACAATAAATAAAATTTACTGGACCAAGCAATGCCTTGTTAGTCATCGCGTTTAAAGACATGGATCTCTCTCTTTTTTAAAACACAGAAGATGAAAATCTACAGAAAAACGTTGAACAGGTAGAAACTCAGCTATTTGAGGAACAAGACGAGAATCAAACTGATGGTCAAAATGAGTTGGGAAGCTGTACACCAACACTACATCAGGTATTTCACTGCTTTATAATTGAAAGTTGAAAAGTGCCTTATTCAAGATCAGAAATCACCAATCTAAACACAAGTTGTTGCAAAACTCTTCGAGAACAAACAAACTACTTCTTTTAGGCTAATTATAACGACGTTCACACTGGCAATCAATCTCGCGATTTAGTCTTTGTTTCTCCAACTTTGGATCTCATTGATTCAAAGGATGACGCGTTTTCTATGCCAGTTACGAGAGGAACACGAATTTTTTCGAACTAATAAAGGAGCTTACCATACCAGGAAGCCATGTTTGAAATAAAAACAAAGAGCGACGCCTCTTTTTTGCTTAATTCTTTTCTTTAAGAAACATACTGTTTGACTGAGAAGCGCTATTTTGTTTTTTTTTTAAACCATTGGACTCCTGAGAGTGACTAGCATCTAATTTCTCCTTATACTAGCGAAGCGCGCAGAGCGTAGCCCCATAATTATACAAAATAGCAGTAACCCATCAAGCCGAAAAAATTTGGATGTACGACTGTACGACCGTACGACCGCACAAGGTGCTACTTTTAACATGCGTGGTCAACTGTACCCCAGGCACGCCAACGCCACGGCTTTTTCTAGTAGTCCAGTGGTCAGTGCACTGGGCTCCGAGTCGGACGATCCGGGTTCTAGTCCTGGCCGGAGCAAGGCGTTGTGCCCTTGAGACGTGCGGGAAAAAAAATGCGAGCTGCGCTTTTAGGCTTGGCTAAATCTGTATATTATCACTCCTGAAACAAACATTAAGGTCACGACAATAGAGGAAATAATCACAAACTAAAGAAGCTCTTGAATTAATTGTTGTACAAATTCTCCTTAACACCTTAGGTAATGTAAAGAGATATATGGTAGAATGGAGTATGGAGGATATGCATACTGATGTTAGGATGTAAAGGATTAAGAAAAAAAAAGAGTGAAAATCAAATAATTCTCCTAATTTCCCAATGAAAGTGTTTATAGCTGTATTGCTGATTCGGCAGAATTTAAAATAATTTACTACATTAACGATATTTGTTTAAATATTTTACTCCTAGGATCCAGAGCAAATCAGAACAGAACACGTTTCGCTTGAAACCGGTTTGACTTGTTCCTGTAATAGTGCGTCATTATCGAATCTCCCGGATGTAATACAGACTGACTACAAAGAGAACTATAAAGCGAAAAATGACAGCACGATGTGAAAAGTGAGAGGAAGCGTGCGCGCCTGCTTATTTGAAATTAATTTTCTTACACGAGAATCTCGCTAAATACGTGTTTGGTGAGCGAAATGGGGAATTTTTGCACACGAGGATTGAATGCCTAGCAGGGAAATATGCTTTCTTGGATGGCATCAGTGGACCCCTTTAGAGAAGTAGAAGAGATAAGCTGGGAAATCCAGAAAGAAATCCCAAAACCATCGTGAAATGTCAACTGCTGAAATATCCGGAAAATATTTAAGGTCCAGAAGCACTATTCGCAAGGCTTGAGATTTTCGCCGTGAAGTGGAAATAAAAAGATTGGATCAATGTCAGTATCTGAGCGACTGCACACCCATGTCTCCACTGATAACAAGCTAGGGTTAATTTTTGGATCAGGGGAGGGGAAGGGGCGAAGTTGCTTAGGTACTGACATTGATCAAAAGATTCATCTATTGATGTATGTCTTTTAAATAAAAAGACTACTTTGGCCATGTTTCATGGATCATCGCGTAGATCATCGAGAAACTGAAATGTTCGGACGTTTAACCAGCTGCGTTTAATAGATGACTTTGAATGATGAAGGTAGATTGACTGTATCTGCGCACGCCCAAAGAGACTATTCAGGATGCTGGGTGGTGCTGTTGGTGCAGAAACGAGGGAGGAGTGGGGAGAGTGGTCACCAATAGCCCAAATGGAACAAGAGGAAAGAAGCATTGATTTTTTTCGTTTCTATTGTCCTAAAATTCTGCTGATCTTACCTACAATGCTATGTTAAAACTTACTTAGTATAAACCAACTTTCATGACAATCTAGAATGTTAATCTTCTTCATTAGACCGCGAGTTCGTTCACGGTGAAATTGTATTTATAAACAAACTTCATTACTTAATTCAAATAAATTTTGGATTAAATTAATAATTTATATTTTGACTGTGATATGGGCATAATAATAACTATTGGCCCTCTCTTTCTCCAATCAAATCTTGTTTGACAGTTTAAAGCCATTTCTATACCAATATAAGAAATTTTAAACTACCTAAAAAATTGTAATTCCTAGATGATAAACCAATTTAAAAATCTATATATCTTAATTTGTAACATATTTTCTCAATAATTCTTGCCATTTCCACCGAACATAAAAATTGCCCTTACGAGCTCGCCTCTTGGTATCCAGTAAAACACGTGACTTTGATAATTATTCCACCTGCTGTTAGAAAGTATTCCCTTTTAACTGTCTATCAAAGTATTATTTCCGACATCGTTTTCTTGAACAATATACATAATTTTTCTTTGGAAAGAGCAAATATTTCATTGTCCTACTGAATTGTTCATGATCAATACCGTAAGATTGATCAGATTAATGGCGCCTCCCTCGTAGCTTTCTTGTCTCTGCTGGTTTTGTGTCCATGTAAGAAAAATAAAGAGGATTACAACCGCAACATTTTCGTTGGCCTGCGCTGTCTGGTTCGTCTCGTCGCCTATGTCGCGCAAAATTGCTCCCATATTTTGTATTTCAGAAAAGGCCATTCTGTGGAGAAAACGATAGAGAAAAGAGTTTCTCCAACATAAATTGTGCGATGTTTTAAAAATGTCTATGAATTAATCATGAAACCTGTATTTAAAGAGAAGTTTGTTAAGGTATTACATGTTTACTATCCCGCCATGGAAAATCATATATAAAATGATTAAACTTACTGCACTATGATGTTTCAAAGAGTAAGAACTTTACAAGAAGGGTCTTCGAATGTGGTTAAAACATATTTTTATACAGATGGATCTTTCTCATGTGTTCCTTCAAAATGGTATCAAAAAATTCAACATCAACCAATCCTTCACTCAAGATAGCCTGGCAGAGTGTACAGCGGGTTTCAAAAATCGCCTATTCTTAAGGTTGCTTAGGGTTATTTCGTTATCCTGGAACATCTAGCCTTGGATAGATCGTAGCTTCAAACTCTTCTACAAAGGATTTTAACAAATGGTTTCTACGAGTTGAAGCTTTCATACGTTATCAATATGATAGTGACTGTGAACTCCTAAAAGAGGGGCTTATTTCAAAATTTAATTATCGTATTATACTGAAACCTTATGTTAAGGGCTGATAGATACTTCACTAAACGATTGGCGGCCAATTAGGATGGGTTTTCACCGACACCGTAGGGGGAGAGATCATTCGGCCCCCAAGCCGTATATAGAATGATCCCTTGGTCGGCTAGAACCTCTAACTACTTAAAATTTCTTTCTCGTTTTCAAATCCACTTTTAACGACAATTCCAGAAGACAGACTGATACTTGGACAAATTGATTCTTGTGTACCATTCCAATACAAAAAACATCCCTTCGTTTTATTGTGATTATGATACGCACGAAATCAAGCAAGGCAGAATTTGTCTACAAATTGCTTTAGAGACATCCGCTCTCAAAGGAAAAGATTTTTTAAAAACTTTGTCCATGTCGCACGAAGCAAATTGTCGTTACGACCTGTCTCCGGGTCTTGCCATTGGTGAAACGGCCAATTGGTGTTGGGTTCTAACCGACGTCACTGGGGGAGAGATCATTCGGCCCCCAAGCCATGTTTAAAAGAATGATCCCTTGGTCGGTTGCAACCCTCAAATGATTCGTGAAACAACTATGTAGTGAAAGAAATGTTTTCTTCTATTTTCTCGTAGGGGAATAAATTTCATCGGTAAGTATGACGAGAAACAGTCCATAGACTAGGAGGATTGAGAGGAAGCAGAGATGGAAGCAGCGCACGCACCTTTTCGTGGATTTCCTGATTTACTGGTTATCAGCTGAACTCTTCTGCGATGTCCCCTTCCTCGTCAATATACAACTCCTCCCTCGTATAGGAATAGGGCTGTAGAGGCTGCTGGGATAGTAAGATCAACAAAGGAGCTTTAAATAGGCTAGTTTGGAATTGTTTGTGCGAGAAAGTCTGGTAACTAGTTTTCAGCATCAAGTCGAGGCTGAGGGGAATACGACTCGTCTCAACATGGGAGGGAATGATGTCTTCACGAATATGAAAGTTCCAGACTTTTAAAGAAAAGGGATATTCAAATTTCTGTAAACGGTAAATGTAGGAAAAGGGCAGAACTGCTTGAGCTTTGCAAGAACGCAGCTGAAATAAAAGTTCCAAAACTTGAAAAGGACACAGTGCAACGCGACGAGTTGATTAATTCCAAGATAACATTGCCAGGAGGAAAATAGCTTCCCCACTCACTTTCGCTTAAATTTTTGACCCATGACTTCACCGGTATTCCAGACTTCAGGTTTCCCGATATTCACCATTATCTGGTTAGAAAAGATGGTTACGATGAAGACTGTTTACGGTTGTATAAAAGTCTTGAGGGTTTTTGCTCATTTACTGACAGGTATGTGGAGGATCTGAAGTACCACGGTTTAACTGATGACAGGCCAAATTTGGAAATGCCGTGAAGAATTTCACGGATTCGTCATTTTTCAGTACATCTTCCATGAAAAGTTTCCGTTTAAATGCTGACTTGCTATTGAGTTCGTTTCGAATTGTTTTGTTATCAGCTCTTACCATCGATAAACTTTTTTATCATATCATCCATTTGTTGGAGGTCAACGTGTGTTTGGCAAAAAACAGTCAGATATTCCTTTTCTTTGAAAGCTTCTTCTCTATGAACTTTGTTTTCTTTAAGGGCGTACTCCTGGTCTTTCAGAGCAATATCAGAAGAAACACGGAAAAGTTTTGGCGGGAAGTACTTCTTTGATTTCTTCGCTAGCGTCTCGTTTTCTCCACTCATTCGACCTTTTGTCGCGTTGACTTGGACTTCTACGGACTGTATACTGGTTAAATATTGCTGGAACCGTGCCGTGTGCTAACCTTTTAATTCCAAAAAGTGTCTTCACGATTTGTTTAGTCTCGAAACTTAACTTTGGAGCATGCATGCAAGTTCTTGATGGACGTGAACTCCAACTTTTTAAGAGTTATTTTTGCACACAAAAATGGAACAAAATTTCATATTCGACTTTCAAAATAAGCGCGTATTCCCCTCAGCCTCGGTTTGGTGCTAATAATTAGTTACCAGACTTTCTCGCACAAACAGTTCGAAACTAGCCTATTTTGCGCGCCTTATCTTATACAGATATCAACCTTGAAACTTGTTTTCGCGCCATTTTCATGCCTCCTGCACGTGATTGGGTTATGCAATTGAATGTACTTCCAAATTTAGCTACAAGCGCACGTGTTTCTGTTAAGGATGACGCTTCCTGAACGTTTTGAAACTTGTTTTCGCGCCATTTTCTGGAGCGAGAAGTACCTCAACAAATTTACTTCTGAACAGTGTTAAAATCATGCCTGCTGTTTTTTGCCAACAAGTAGAAATTCCTTGAGTAGCAATTGTCACATGTAAAGGTAGTCATGCACGTCGTTGTACCGCAAACAGAAAGTTTGCCTGTAATGTAGTTTCTAAAGAAACTGGACGTGAGCCATCGCGCAACGTAAGGACAGATATTTGTATGCTGCTACGGAGTGCTCAAAAGCAAAGGCTAAATTTTGGGAATTAGAAATAAAATAACGAAAATCTCCTTACCTTCTTTACCGTTCTCTTTAGTGCTGCTCCTTCTAAAGAGAGATGGCAAATGAGGTTTTCGAAACTGGCGCACAGTAGTTCATTAGAAACCCAACCAATCACGTTTGAGTGACGTAATGTATTAATTTATCTCAATGACCCTTGCACGTGACTGGGTGATGCAATCGATTGTGGGGCTGGATTTATCAGCCAATCACAAGTGACGTTGCTTTTCCCGTCACCATCTGACTACGTGCTGATGAGTGGCAGCCGTTAATCGAGGAGCAATCAACTCTATGATGGCGCCAATTTTTAACTCACCATGAGGTAGCTTAGGATTTACAACGAAGGGATTAAATTTTGAATTATTGCCATACTTGGGACGTTGTTTTGCCTACCTTCAGGCCGCTATCACTGCCAAACTTGCTTCTAGGAAGTTTGCCAACCAGCAACCTTCTGCCACTGTTTGGCACGAAGCTAAATTATTTCATGTTACGACTGTGAAGACAGATTGGCCTTTGGGTACACGCTTCATTCGGTTCCTTTTAAACACTGCTTGACCCATAGCCCAAAAACACAAGGTCTGTGGAGAAAATATTGGAGATTATTTAGGAGCAAGTAAGTCGACTAATTCAATTTCCACGGCTTATACAATGACGAAAACGTCAAAAACATCAGTAGTGGCCATGGATCGATAATTACACTCGCAGTTTTCCTGCCAATGTAGATGCTCTACTCCTGCTCACACTTCTTCAGTCAACATAATTTAGAAACCAGTTTAGCCCTTAAAACATGGGTTCAGCTCAAAAGATACGGCAGATACGAATCGACACGAAGCGTCAGCTTGCCATTTCTCGTTCTTAATGTGAGCAAGGTAGAATGCTGAAGAGACTTCTTCCTGCGGTTTATACGACATCAATTCATTCTCTCAAGTTATTTGGAAGAAAAATACAAATTGTGACTACTTTCTTCGGTGCAAACATTTCTAAATAAGCAATAAAAAGCAATGTAATACTCTTGCACTAAACATATATATCACTCCCTCGTTTCAAATTGGAAAATTCGAGATCGACAAAACAGTTACGATCGTGCAGCTATTTCTTAGACCTCATGAATCCTTTCAAGCATTCACGCACTTGATTTTAAAACTAAATTAGTATAATACAACTTCCATTTGTTTCAATTCAAATCATGTAATGAGATGAGTTTTAAATAGTTGGCTCGTATTGCGAAGTATATCAATTGGTAAACTGCTGATACATGCACGAAGATGTCAAGCATGATGTTGAGGAAATCAATTGATGATAAAATACAATTCTACAAAATTTGGCTCATATTCAGAGAAAAAGCTTTCTTATTCAACCTTTGTCGAACGTACGAGATTAAGTCCAATCCTAAGTCTCTCCCCTCTTTTTTCTTGTCAAAATTACGATGTCTGAACATGCATATGAAATGAAATGAAAATTGCCCCAATGTTATAGCGCTCCATTACTGTTGCTTGAGCAGGAAAGAATGCTGGAGAGAACCTCCAGAGAGGCTTCTACAGTCGAACTTGACGTCTAGAATTCATCCAAGTACGCTATTTTGAAACAAACAATCGGTGGAAAGTTTTAATATTTACTGGAAATAAGCAGATCCAACGCCGGAGGACACAATTTGTTGGCTTCGACTCCAGAAGCTTTTCAACGCGAAAAGTGATAACACCACGAGTGCATGTCCGCCAAATTTTTCAACTCAAACAAATACTTCTACTCCACAAATGGTATTCCTTCGTCCAAAAATCGTTCAGCGAATCACAGATACAAGTGCCGAATAAAGACAATAAAAACGAGCCAGTTCGACTCGCTTAGTGAATGTTTCAAAGCGATTTTTGACCATCTTTTATTTGTGACATTAGGTATCACAAACCGAGTCGATAAATAGCGGTAAATACATAGATTTAACCCAAAGGAATCAACATTTCGAGTTCAATAATCGAGTTTATATGGATCATGTGCAATCCTAAGTTTCTTCGTATTCGTCTCTCGTCAAAATTATGATGTTCAAACATGCTTCGGCGAGAAATGAAAATGGCACCCATTTCAGCCCGCCATTTCCAGTTCCTCATGATAGAATACTGGAGAGACTTTCTCGGTCAGTTTGTACGACACGAATTCATTCTCTTGAGTTCTTTTGGAAGAAATAATCTGAATTGTGACTTTTTTCTCCGGTGCAAGCATTTCTAGATACGAAAAAAGCACTTTTGCCCGCATAAGTATCAACGACTGTTTGTTTATTTCATGTTTGCGCGCCAATTTTCCAACTACGTTAAATACTTCTTTTCAATGTGCTATATTCCCCTTTGCCAATAAACATACGCATCACAAATACAAAAAATTAGTTTAAATTTTCTAAAACTTGATAGATCGACTAATTTGCTGTACCTACGGTTTACAACGCAACACCCATTCACTAAAACATATCAGTTGTTGATTATAGGGTTAATTTGGTTGCACAAACTTCAAGTCGACGAAATAACGGTCAGCACATGAAAACTAATCAACATTCCGCTTACCTTTGCGGATCCTTGCGAATCCAATCCAATGATTAGTCATTCTTCAGTATTTCTGATGTTTTCGAAGATTCGAGGACCTAAAATTCGGGCAGAAATGTTTGTCTGTACTCTGTAACAACCGCAAAATGGAAAAATGTCACGGAACTGATTTGCAGCGCCATTCCCTTTCCGAAGACTGACTCATTCGGCTCCTGACCAACACGAGACTTGTATCCCCTACAATATTAAGAATAAAAGGATAAACTGCTCTTAAATAGAGCTATCTGGAAACGGATATGTACTTTGGTCGTTTTTCGAAATCCCGCGCAAACAGCAACTGCCTTGTGCTTCTCTTTCAAATTCGAAACTGAACTTTATCGCTCAAATAATTAACAACGTACACAAAAAAGGCTTATAGCGGCTGTTGAAGTTCACGTTTATCTTACCATTCGTATGTTTTGTAGTCTTTGGCGATTCAGTTCATGTCTCCTCTCTCACCTTCGACTGAAAACCTTACATCCATTTACTTCAGCGCAAGAAATGAAAATGGCGCAAAACTCGGTTCTAGCGTGATCTTAACATGAACAATTTGCGTAACATATCCGGTTTGGATTCCACATGACCTGTTATGTAAACTCCGAGAGGTCGTTCCGAATGACCAGCCCATATACATATAGTTCTCATTTTCATGTTTAAGGTTGGTATAAACAGACGTGACGTAGGATGAGCTATCAAATATGTGAGTGTTTCATGGTGTTTAGGACACGATTTGATTCGCTACTTTCGCCACGATCTGCATCGTTCAAAAGAACAAAAAACAGCTACGATCACAGTCGAAAGTAACGCCCCAAAATGGACTACAAAATTAATTGTAATCAGAAAGGGCAGCAGCAAGTTGCAATTATCGGGGAGGCAACATAGAGAGTTTTTCTAACTTATCTAACTCTTATTATATTTGCGTAGTCTTCTTAAGACCCTTTGGAGCCAATTCCTTCGGGCAACAAAGCAACATTTGTTGCCTCGTTCATTGGACGCAGAAATGATACTTCAGCCATGATGAGATTTCCGCTAAAAGACTGGAAACCAATCAATTCATTATCGATTAGTTTTCAGGGCCTCTTACTATGAGCGCGGTCAACTAGGCTAGATTTTTTTTTTGAGAATTCACCTGCCATTCTTTCCTTAAAAAAAACTTCACAACCCAATCATTAGGATTAGGATAGACATTTGATTGTGCCTTACCAGTCTGTAATCAGGGGAGGGAAACTTGTAGTTTCAATTTTCTAAATTTGAATTCGGCAAAAACTAGTTCAATAAGCTTCGACAAAGAAAACAATTTTAATTTAAACCGTGTTTAACAAAACAGCTTTAAAACATGATTAAGCTTTACTGTATATGGAATTAAGGTAAAGAACAGTCATTGTTTTAAAGCCCGGGGGAGTGTGGGGTGAAGGGAGGGGGGGTTGATAATTTAGGTCGTGACACAATAGAATCTGCATGTGGCTCAGTGATAGTTTCATGACCCCCTCCAATATTGGCAGCTAAACGGTAGTCAATTTTCTATAGTCCCGGTCCACCACCTTAATACTCTGTTGGCGAAGACTGATTTCCCCTTCCCCCCTCTAAAAAGGAAATCGTAGTAAAGCGCAAAATGGAAAAAAGTGAAAAAAAGAAACAAATCGCGCGAGTCAGTTTTAAACAAAAACAACAAAGCAAACAGAGTAGGGGAGGGGGACAAAGCAAACAGAGTAGGGGAGGGGGGGGGGAAACTTTGTGCACGTCGCAGATAGGACTTAAACCTACATGAGGGTTATTGTTGCTCCAGCAGACAAGTTGACGCGTATATCAATTTCGCTATTGCGACAAACGATGTACATGGAGTCCACAAAAAAAGCGGTTTTTTTGGAACTCTATTTTCTATTATAAGTAGAAGATAAACCCTTTTCAGCCAGTCCTTTTGTTGTCTCTTTTGAGATCATTTAACGGCACCCAAGGGATTTTGCCTTTCAAATGGGATATATTCGTTCTTGTATGGAAGACTTTCGATTTACATGACGAGAAAGCTTAAAAACCTATTAAATGTCTACGAGGCCGATATTTTTGCGAAACTATCATATACATTGAATGAAAAGTCTTTGGGGTCTTGGAGGGCTATTTATTTTTGGTTGATTACTTTGTGAGCAAAATATGCCTGTATGAAATGTTAAAACGTTTTCTCGCATTCTTCCTTCGATCAACTAAAACCTGCGCTTAATTTTCAATCCAGTGGTACAAGTTCCTCTATTTTCCACTTTGGTTCAACAACAGTGATGGCTTCCTCTTCCTCGTTGTCAGGCTCAAGAACAACTTCAACCAGTTCATATCTCCCCCGCATCTCGCAGCCGTGATCAAACACATATTTACCTTTTCCGCTGGGTTTATCCTGCAAAAATCCCCCGGAATACCGATGGTTAGCATGAATCAATTCCCCGACTTCGTCCATTTTCCCATGGACCCACATCCCCCGGTATTTAGACCCGGTCTCCACGTACGTGTACTCCCCTTGACCGTGACGCTGGTTGTCGGCCCACTCCCCCTCGTAAATGTCCCCGTTCGGGTAAGTGTATTTCCCGCGGCCATGACGGACATCATTAAGCCAGTACCCTTCATATTTGGAGCCATCAGGATACAGGAATGTTCCCTCGCCGTGTTTTATACCGTTCATGTAGCTTCCAGTATATCTTGCTCCGTTTTGAAATCTAAAATCGGCAATAAGAATTACCTAATTAGAATTAAGCGCTTAAACGGCATCTAAACGTGAAAGGAATTTTATCAAGGAGAGAGGACATTGCAGAAGAATCTCATTGTAGCTTGATGACCGCGAAATTTGAAGTAGCTGGCTTTCAATTTTCAAAGGTCACCCAGATTATCATTTTCCGACTAAAGTTGTCTCTATAACTTACTGTTTTTCAATTAAATAATAATAAAAAAGATCTCACTTGTATGTTCCCTGGCCGTGTCTCTTGCCATGTGAATATTCTCCTTCATATACATCGCCATTAGGCAGCTTAGCTTTTCCTTTTCCATGTCTTTCCTCTTCTTCATTTCGATCACCTTCATATTCTCCTAAATAGGGGACTCCTTCGTCCTCAACGCTTTCTTCATCCGACGACATTTTATTTTCAAAACACTTTCCTGCTTCAGCTCCTCTCAACTCTTTTTACCGTGGTTTCTGTTTATAAGCCGTTTCTAGGGCATAATATTGAATTCAAAGATTTGAATAAATATTCGCTCTTATGTCAATATAGATAGGCGGCCATTGGTTGATAGAAAGGACGAGACAGGTTATTGTTTGCATAAGAGCTTCTTGAGCTGCTAAACTAAAGCAGATTTGCATAACGCATCAGCGTGCCTACTAGATTAGTTATAAAAGCCTCCAAAAGCGAAAAAAGTTCGACTTTGGAAAATTTTAGCGCCACGGAAATTTTTACTCCACAGTTTCCTTGAGAAGAAGATCCGTCGTACAAGAAACTTCACTTGATCATAGAGCTGATCTACAAATGCCGCCCTAACAAACAAACCGTGTGAAAACACATTCATTGCGTATCGCTCGGGCTGTCGACTCCAGATACGGAGCTTCCCGATGGAGCTAACGCACTAGACTTCAAATGCGCATAATGAATTCAGAGTTTATTTGGGTCTTGAAAAACAAAAGGTTGATCGAGATTTTCCGTTGCATAAAATTTCAATTTGAAAATTATCTGCGAACAGTTCAAAAGATCAAAACTGTTCTTTGTGATGGGATAGAGCTATAATCATATCCGATATAGACTAAGAACTAAAATATAAATGATGTGATAACATTAATAATAATGGTAACTGATAACAAGAAAAAAAATTGTAAATTTCGATGATCGCGAGGGCATGATCGAAAACTGGGAAACTGGGCTCTAAATCTTATTTATTGTTGTTGCTATGCAACCACGCTTGAGAATAATTGTTACAATATGGCGGACGATACTGGAGAAGGTTTCATCTTCCTTCGATTTTGAATACTGGTACCCCTGTAGAGCGCATCAAATCGGCTGCAGCAGCGATGTAAATTATGATTAAATTTAGTGAGGAAGTTTTCATGGACAGAGTGAGGTGTCTGTCGGAGAGATTGCTGTAATTGCTCTTTCGTTTTTTTAAGTAACTTGCCTCTAGAGAGCCGAAATTGTGCGTGCTCCAAAATAGTGGAAGAATGCATTCAAGGGCGCACATGTTACTCGAGAAAGAGTGGTTTAAATTGCAAAAGGAAGAGCTTCCTTGGGTAAGTTACACTAATCACACGTGTACCTTCTAACATTATGTAGTGAGCGTTGTAAATTTAGTATGTATTGTGCTCATTTGAAGTTTATTTGTGTTCATTGCGATCGTATAGTGTTTTTGTTCACATTTATATACTTCCTTCAAATGATGTGTCACGAGTCTAGAGGTAAGAATTCGATGTAGTACACTCATGTACAATGTTAATTGGTCCACGAAACGAGGGATACTAGTCACTGTTAACTAAAGAATTTAAGGTTTCTGTTTTCACCTTAGTGAATACTACTAGTTTTGTTATCACTCCTTCTTTCTTAAAATTTGAGCTTGCCGATGAAGTGGACCTCAGTGATCATCTATTTAGTGGCTGGATTTATGAAAGTTAGCCTTTGGGACTCGGAGTAGAGTTGTAGTTTTCACTGTTAATGAATTAATCAAAACTATAACAAAATTCTTGAACGTGATTGGTTATCACCAGCCTGATTTGAGCACTAATAGGACTGTGTACGCGTCATGGTTGTAATTGGAAAGTGTAATAGAACAGTTAAAGGGACAGTTAACACATCATGCCTGTGTAAGTGGATAGAATGCATCATGTGTGCTGTTGTCTCGCATTTTGTTGAGTTAACTGTTGCTTTTTTATGAAAATGTTAACTGATGTCCAGTTTCTTTCTCAAGTTTTGTCATAGTTTTGATTAATTGGTAACAGGACAGGACTTCATGCTGTCAAATTCTGTCTGTAATCATACTTGTGATTAACAAATCTGACTCCTGCTTCGCAGTTATTTGGTTTTGTCAATCACTCATATGATTACGGAACAAATTGGACTCCACTCGGACCCATTACCATTATTAATCATAACCATTTCAATTCCTCAAATGTGATTGGTGCATTGGGTGCCTCATTTTTCACTAATCATTCTGTACAGTGGTAATCAGACAGTGTGATTGGACAGTTGGCTGTAATCAAACACCAGCAATTGTCTCCATTGTCTCCATTGGATATATTTGTTCTAGATGTATCTTTTTTTTTAACATTGTAATGGTTATGATTAATTAGTAACAGGACTTGGTGTCATCCAATTGCGTCAGTAATCATACCTATTGTTAACAAATTGGACTCCTGCTTCTTGGTTGTCTGATTTTGCCATCACTTGCGTGATTACAGACTGAATTGGACTCTGCTCAGTCCAATTACCATTATGAATATATAGCTAAAGCTTGAAACCAGAAGTATGTGTGTGACATATTTTGGTTTGATTGGGAGTCACAAGGGCAAATCCAAAACTTTTTTTATTGTGGATGGGTAGGGTAAACTTTGATTCAGAGGGAGGAGGACCCTCTCTTGAATTCACCACCCATCACTGAGTCATAATGTTCCAGGGTTTATATATTTCTCTCTGTTTAGGGTATAAAGGCCAACCCACTCAATGAGGATGTGGACATGTTTACCTGGGAAGGTACCCTAAAAGGCCCTAAAGACACAATGTGGGAAGGTACATGAATCACTGTTGTTTTATTGCTTTCCTCTGCTAAAGCCTGTCTATAAGTCATATAGTGAAATGTCTTTAAAAAACAAATCAATCTTGAATTATTTTAGTCTTCATTTTGTTAACCCTGTGACGGTCTTCAGCCTTAAACTTCTAACTTTTCCTCACAAATTCAAAACATTATCCAATAAAATAAGGGGCAAGAATACAGATACACATCTTACTTTGATATAGTACCAAATTCTCATAACTAGCTCATAAGGTGGTCTATAAAGATAGAAAGGAGAATAACCCACCTTATCTTTGGAATTAATTACAAATAACTTTTTTCAATTTTTTTTTTTTCAGGTGGTGTCTTCAAGTTGTATCTTCAGTTTGATGAGTGCTACAATGGCAGACCACCAAAGATTTTCTTTCACACAATACCCTTCCATCCAAATGGTGAGATTATTATGTTGTTAGGGTTGTGGGGTGAGAATGATTTTTTGTATTTAATGTTTTGGATTGCCCTGGAAATCGCTGTGTTCCCCAGTTAGAGAGTTTGTAATAAATTATGTTTGCTTCTCTCAGGTGCAGTAATGTCAAATATTTTGTTAGGGCCAAAGGAGTAGGGAGATTAAAAAGGCTTGCACCCTCTCCCTTTCCCAACTTAAAAAAATAGACCTTATGACTCCTTGAAAGTAACCTCAGAGTACCACTCTAGAAGAGTTTGAACGTGACAAATGCAATGAGAGCTTTTTTACATTGTCAAAGTTCTCTTGAGCAGGTGCTGCTTGAGGAAGTGTCTCGAGCCTGTCATGGTAAACCACAATCAACTAAACTTTATGTCACCCCTCCCCTCCCCTTCAAAACTTGTTTCTCTTAGTCTGTATGTAGATTTTTATGCAAGGAGTATATTGTGGAGAAAAATGTTTTTTTGACTTGTCACAAGTGTGGGAAACAAAGAAAAAAATTCTGAGTCCCCTTGAGGAATCAAACCTCAAACCTTTGGATTTCACAATCTGATGCTCTACCACTGAGCCACAGAGACTCTATGGTGAGCAAGGCCCATTGTGAAGTCATATATGTTCACATACAACACTTGTCCTGTATACTGCTAGGATTGGCAATGTTGCTGATCCTAACAGTTATTATGCAGGACACATTTTCTTTGTGCCACGCTTGTGACAAGACGAAAAACATCTTTCTTTATTTCTTTACCAGGCTTAAAACTTATCATCTTCCTTATTCTATTTGCAATATATTCTGGGTTCCTCCTTCCAATTCTTATCAAAGCTATCATTCCATAAAAGTTTACAAGCAATATAAAGCTATTAGTAATGATCGAAAAATTAAATTTGCATCCTTATAGTAAAGAAAATCTTCAGATTTTAACTGTCTCTTGCCATTGTTGCTTTTCAGTTGATGCAGACACAGGTCAAGTATGTGCAGACTTTCTTGATGATTTGAACTGCTGGAAAGAGTTTTATTCAATTTCTTATATGCTACTCAGTATCCAGGTAAACAAAACAAATAAAATGCAGTAATGCAATGTCTGTACATGTAGTTCAAACTTCCAAGTTTGTCCTTTTTTTTGTCTGTGATTCTTATAGAATATCTACTGGTACATGTATTATTTGCTAATTTGTGTTTATTCTAACAAACTCATATTGCAAGATGCTTTGGCCTCTCATTTGACATGCTGGGCTTTCAGGTCGAGAGTTCCCAGCTTGCATCTGGTTTGGGCATTGTGTTTAGTTCTCAGGCATGACATTTAACTTTCATCGAATAATTAATAAGAGTTGAAGAGTTGTTGATACTGAACTCTTGATGGATGGAGACCTTAACCCTTTAACTCCCAGAAGTGATTAACAAGTAACTTCTCTCTACAATATCCATGCACTATCCAGCAAACAGGTAATGAGAATATTCAAATGTATCAGGTAGAAGTTGTCATCTTGATCTAACACCAAATTCTCATAACTTATTGACAAGGAAATGTGTTGCAGCCAGAGGGGAGAATTAACAACCAGATCTTGGGAATTAAAGGGTTAAGATTTCTGACTGTACAACCAAAGATTAAATCACTTCTTTCAATTTCTTGTCAAATTTCACAGATGCTGCTACCAAATCCAGTTCTTGAGGATGCTGTAAATCCTAGTGCTGCCAGAATTTTTGCTTCCTCACCCAGTGGTTTCAGACAGACTGTGCTGGACTGTGTTCTTGCCAGTAAGAGAATTGAAGGTGAAAAGATCTTTACAAAAGTTGGCATGCTTCTGCTTGCATAGACTCGTGCAGTTTTGCAGAATATCTCAAATTGCATCCAATCTCATAATAAATAGGAAATCCTTTAATGAGAAATGCATTATCTCGATAAAATGGCGAAGGAAAATGCTATTTTGCTACAGATTTATTCAAAGAAATTCATGTAAACTCCAGGAGAATTGTACATTTAAGGGAGGGGTGGGAGGGGAGAAGAGAACAGGGGGGGGGAGGCGACAAGGCAAATATTAGCAGAAGTGAGTGATCATGGAAAACCTATTTAAAATCTAACTACACTCACCTTTACAAGTTCTGCCATACACGGCAATGTTCTTAAATTTTCTCCCATACTTAAGCTGGGCCTCTGTAATATAACGTTTACGACACTATGCGTGTTGCAGTGCGCAAAAGATTGTGGCAGCATTGTAACGCTTCTCATCTTGCAGCACTTGATGCATGGAAAACTTGGCAAGACATGTTGTTGTAGGAGATTTTACACTATACAGTTTCAAAAAGAAAAGAATTCCAGTTGATTATAAAAGCTTCATTTACGCCGCGGATGTTAACGAGCCCTCGATTCTACTCAAACGCAAGCTCCTAGTTCTTGAGCAGCGTCTAGTCATCGAGACTACGTAAAATTGATCTTTCACGTATGCACATTTTTAATTCAGCTGGCCTCAAACCTCACACGGCCGAGGAAGTCGACCTAACTCGAATGTCCCGTAAAGATCCCGAGCCACCCGCGAGAACTCCTGACGAAAGAAAAAAGAGCTCGAAAATCGGAAAAGTTTCGTTTGATGACTATCATGCAATGTGGAGTGGAATAGCTACAACTAAACCAGTTTTGAGTTCAAATAATCCGCTAAGTGAGGTTCTTAAAGCCGATTCCAATCTGCAAGCCACACACTTTGGACTGCCGCAACAGGAATTACACGAGGAGATTCACAAACAATTGACAGAGCATAACGCCATAATGTACGGAAACTTTGATACTGGACGAGATGGTCGGGACTTAACGGAACTGAAGACCACTAGGATTCAGTTGCTGAAACAGATTTACCTTCCTAAACAGCAAGGTATGGTTTGTGCTAGTGTTTTTCGTGTTAAGGATTTTTCTTTACACTCATTACGTCGTCACGGAAAAATTAAGTACTGGGAGAGAAAAGAATGTGGGCTGGAAAACAGCTTTTGTTAGGGCAATAGGCGTGTCTAATGGTGCAAATTGAGAGGATGACGTGTGCAAAGGAAGGAGAAGTCGTTTATTCTTTCTGGGCTCCGGCAAATGATGTTTTTGGCGAGGAAAGCCTTAAGTTTTCAAGTTCGTCTACAAGCAAACCGACTACAGAATGGTTTAGTAACAACTTCGGCGTTGAAGAGCATATTTGTTTGAAACAGGAAATAAGCTACATTGTACTCAGCACCGATACTGTAACACAAAGTACAGTGCGGGGAGATGCAGACTTCACTAGCTTCAAGGTCCTATTTTTTCTCATGTGCAGTTTAGGTGTAAGCGGCTTTTAGAAGTTGAATGTTTGCCATTCAACGAACGCTCAAAGCTAAACCCGTCTTAAATGGAAACTGATTTTATCCCAAACTGCATTGGCATAAGTTACAGACACATGAAGAACTTGGAGATTGTTTACGAACATTGTAGCATTTTTAGCCAGCGTATAATTGAATTTAAGCTGTTGGTTTACAAAATAATCATTCGTCAAAGGACTCTCCCACAAATGATTTACATGCAAATTCTCCCTGTAAGATTTTTTTTATCATTCAGTAAACAGGCTTAGAGAATCGAGATTTGTTTTTCTTGAAATTGATTTGATTTTAATTAAATCTTTGGATTCAAAGAGTTATATATTAGTTTCTTTTTTATTTATGGTCACGTAGGAGGTCTTTCCGGCACTGAGACTCCTTTATCCAGAACTCAGACCTATGCTCCTTCACCGGCGGAAACAAATGCGAGAGACCTGGAACCTCATGACCAGGAAGTCGAGGATCTGTTAGCTTGGACTAATACGTTGCCTTAGCAACTTCAGAGTGGATACGACGAAGTATGCGAAGCGGCAGCCGCGTCTCAGTTGGCGCCAAAACCGACGTGTTCAATTACCTGTTCTTACTGAACACTGGTGGACCAAACTAGTCACGCGTGAACATATGTAAATGAAGACACTTTAAGGGGTGGGTTACTACATACAACAATTGTCAAACGCTTCACTGTCTCAAAAATAAAATACAACGAAAGTAAGAGCGAAGCGGGTGGGTTGTGATCTGTAGGTTGCGAATTGTGGTGAGCGCCATTGTTTTTGGTTACGGGGCTTTTCTAGAAACAGCTGCGACTGTTGCGCAACGTTTCCCCTGGAACGCACGGAAGCATTACAAAACAATTTGATGTCCTCGACTTGGTTGGTTTTCCATATTTTCCACGGTGTAAAGGGAGTCCCATTGTTAAGCTGGTAGGTTTAAAAATTGACAAATTTTTAACTGTCAGTCGTAAGGAAAAATTAATCGTAAAAATTTTACTTTTAACCCTAACGAAAAGAAATTGGCCGTCAGCCGTAAAAACCATCACCCCATTGAGACCCTTTGTAAAGGCTCCGCCTAAAAATAGTAAGACCGAAAATACTGAAATATGTACATGCCTTTTTTTTTATTTAATCTTCATTATTCATGCATGTAAATACCTCTTCCAATACTACATATGTTATAAAACGCTATTTTTTTCGGTTGAGATCTACCTAACTGATATCTGACCACGTTTTCTCCCTCCTTTTTCCGTTTTTGTAAAGAACCCTTACGGTTACATTTGAATTAGCCTCATTTACATGTCGGGTCTTGTTGTCTCTAAAAGTTACAACAACAGGCACATGCGTAAGACTGATTTTGGTGAATCAAGCAAGTCCATCGTATTGATGGTGCTGCAAAAAAAGATAGAGAAATCATTTTTTTAACAAACTTTTGTTTCTTATTGGTTTCTTGAAATATTTTCTTTTGGTCTGATCGGCGACTGTGAGTATTCTTGATTTAGTTTTAGGTTGCCCAATAGAGAATCGCTCCACTCTTCTTTTACGGATAACTAAAAAAAAAATATCTAGGATTTCCTCAAAAAAACAACTTCCGGCAATTCTTGTTCCTAGGCGGTGTAAATTAGATTAATTATCCTTAAGCTCTACACATAAACGCTTCGAAGGAACACTCGATCCTTAGTTCTGTAGTCCAATCCAGTAACAGAGCATATGTCTACCCACCCCTATCTCATCCGGGATAGCAAGGAATGTAATCTACCTATTCTACTTTAGGGACTGGTCATTATACATCTACATCGCGGGGGAGGGGAGGGGGGGTTGTCAAAGGATTTTGGTTGTCGTGTGATAAAAGTTACCTGAGTTCCTGAAATATTTTAAGGATCCTTCCTTTACACTGTGTCAACAATGACTGACTGAACCCCCATTCGTTTCCCCTGAAAACGATGTAATCCTTTCCAAAATTGTCCGCCGATTCCCCCTCCCCTCTCCCAGGCAGTAAATAATGGCAGGTTTTATAGGAAAATGATGCCATGACTACGTTATGTTTATTACCGAGCTTCCACTCATTTGTAACGATGTTCGTTCCGGACCAGGAGTATCGATGTATGAGTACACCACAAGAATGAAGTAAACCTGATAACCGAAAAAAAAAAAGGAATGAAATTGAAAGAAAAAGAAAATTAATGTAAATATGTGGAGAGAATAACACACAGGCGCGCGTAGATATGGAATTTCTCTTCGAGCGTTTAACTCGATAGCTCTCGAGTGAGCGGAGCGAACGAGTGAGATGTCGAGTTGAACACGAGAAGAGAAATTCCATATCTACAAGCAACCATGTATTATTTTGTTTTATCACATAAACACAAGAGCTCTTACTGAGAAGAAAAGCCGACTTCACTTATTTAACGAATCGACAATCCCCGAATAACAACCGTAGAGTGCGTTGGCGCTAACTCTTAAGATAGAAAAATGCATTGAATCATGATTACAAAAACAACAATGGTCGTAATTTTAAATTTACAAAATTCTCTTTTATTATCCTTACCGATAGAAGAAGTCTTTCAGGTAAACGGCCAAAATCGGTCAGTGGCAAATCTTCCAGTTGTCGATTTTCATTCTCAGCCGAGAGAAATGCTAACACCAAAGCCACTGAATAAGTAACTTTCGGTTTTTCTTTTAGTATATTGGTTTTCTTCCCCTTCTTCTAGGAAAATTTGAACCTCACTGTCTGTCAGCGATACGGATTTTTTAGTGTTTTAGCCACAAACAATTCGAGAAACCTCCGACGAACAACTTGTATTGAGAATGGTGAAGACTTGCTGTTCATTCATGAATCTGACCGAGTGGCGCCAGAGGCGATTGACGTGTCAGCAGCCGATTGGCTATATCAACACACGTGGAAAAAAATACGATCTTTTTTCACGCGTGTTGTTACGACTTTTCTCAGGGCCGGAAATCTCTGTATAACACCGCAGTTTATGTGATAAAAAACAGTAGAAAATAAACGATTATCACACGACAATAATATGAATTAAAATGCTTAAAAATGATGTTGAATTATATTCCAAAGCAAATTTAGAAACACAGCTGAACAGAGTAGAATGCCACTGGATCCTCTTGGACCCTGGTAGTTTATTTCAGAACTGACTATTTAGAAAAGAGATGGTAACTGACGGACTGACTGAATGATTGACTGACAGTCTAACTAACTGACAAATAAATCAGGGGTATGTATCTAGAGAAACTATGGTGCTGCGTCGGTAGGGGAACGAGGAAGATAAATTTTGGTATTTTAGAGCGAATGACAGGGCTAACGCTTGAAATGTCAGCTTTGAAACTCTTTACGGTGGCCAATTGTCATCATCAACTCAGTTGATAAAACCTAAATTATATTAACTTACTGACAAACTAACTGACACACTGACTGACAGATCGACTTCCTAACTAAATGACTGACTAACTTAATGACTGACTGACAGACCGACAGACTGATTGATTGACTGACATAATGACTGACCTACTGAATGAACGAATGACTGGCTGAACTAAGGAAAGAACAGGCGAAGAAAGATGGAATGAACGAATCAAACGGAATATGTGTCACATTTATAACTCAGAACATCTTCGGATTCTTAGATTAAAGCCAAAGCAGTGTACAGAGGTGAAACTCACCATTAACAGCCATGCGTAGATGTTCAAGCAGAACAAAAACAAGAACTAAGAAGAAATAAACAGGAAATATGTTAGAGCGAAAGTCTTTAAGACGATAAATTCAGCTTGGAAATTCTCTAAGTTATCAATTTTCTTTGTCCCAAGCTCGTGACAAAACGAAAACGCATCCTATTCTACTGCATTATAACCTACGAGTAGCAGTTCCCCCTCCCCCAAGAAGAAACCTTCCTCCTTTGCGGGGGGAAAGGAACGGCCACTCCTAGGCTACAGTCTATTACCGTGATTGAAATTTAACGTCTCTCTTAACTGTTAAACAATTGTCACAAACATATTCACGGAAGGAAAAGACTTACCCCCTCCCAAACAGACATGAGAAAAATGTTCAAAATGAAGGAGCCGAAAATCACACAAATTCGCCAGATAATCCAGGAATGTGTCAGATATCTGCTCGGCTGATGATAAGAAAACAAAACGAGGTAAATATTTGTTCCCGTAACGTGTATTCTTAAAGTGAGAAGAAATAATAAGTTAGCAAGCCAGCCGATAGATTTCTTTGTAATGCGCTTTTCGATTCAGTGTCGTAAAACCAAACCCAAAGTAATTACGAGAGCCAATCAGAAGGAAAATACCTTTGTAAACCAAATCACTGCCCAAAGCGCGGGAAGAAAACGCGTGGGCGACCAAGACGTGAATGGTTTCAGTTTTACATCTGATTGGTCGAGAGGATGGAGCGAGTTTTTTGGACCAATCACAGACCAAAGTAAAGCAAAACCAGTTCAATTTCGGATTGCTTTCGACACTAATTTGAAAACTACTCCAATTATAAATCTGAACCTTATTCTATTCTCGTTCAAAGTGTACCTATCTTTAACTCACTTTCACTCGAAAAAACGAGCTATTATATAAACGAAACAAGTGGTCATAAAAGGAAAAAGGGACATTGGGTCACAGTTTTCTTACCATGCAATAGGAAATCAAAAGAAAGACATCCGCCAACATTGAAACGGCGGAAAATGCAAGGGCAACCATACTCAAATCGGCTAAAACTGTAAAGAAAGGAAATACAATAGTTTGAAATTTAAAATAAATAGTGTTCACTAAGGGTTCTTTCAAGCCAGAGATTATTCCCCACGGAAAAGTTCTTACTTGCAAATTGGCAGCGAGAAATTAGAGGAGCAGTGGAGAATGATTCAGAGTTCCGTTCACGCACCCGAAGTAAATTAGGATGGTTTCGGAAGATTTATAATGACCACGACCTCGCAGTAGTTGGCTGCATTTCAGATATTCAAACTAGCTGTCATATCACATCATATGGATCTCGTTGCAAGAGGTTTCTTTCAAGAGTTAAGCGTCTCATTCGCAATATTTACTGCGGAACGTAGAGGTTGTTTTGTAGGTCTATGCATGCATCTCATTCGAATTTGATGATCTCTTAGCATGAGTGAAATCCATATTCTCCTAAATTGTAAAGGACCATTGATACTCTCTGTGTAGATCCAGTCAATGAACATGCCTTGCATACCTTTTTTGTATCTTTGGGAGATTGGCAATGCATCCAGTTCACCAGTTTCCGCGGCTGTGTGGTTCCAGTAAATTCCTACTCCATTTGAGAACTATGTGAAAAGAAAATCAATGGCCTTTTTGGCGCTTTAACAGGGCAATATTGAATGATAACACTATCTTGAGGCCTTCTCTAGCGTAAAATACCCATAATACCGTCAATAGTTGAGTATGCTACTTTCAAATCTCACATTTCATGGGACAACGTGAATTGCACGCGAGGTGAGCGCGAAAAGCGAGTGCTTCTCTCGCGAAAACGCAAAGAATGATCGGCCTGTCCTTCATGCGGGCTACTTTTAAAGGTACGAAATCACAGTTCAGGGCATGCACGGCGTGACAGCCTTCAGCCTTGAGAAAGTTTATGTTAACACATCTCTGAGTACCTTTTGGCTCTTAAAAAAATGCACGTCTTGTCGACCATATGGGTCACGCGTTACAAATACTCTTAAGAAACCATCTCTGGAAATTCCTCTTTAACACAACGTTAAAAAGTCTTGGTTCATGGTAAGATGTTAGTTTGCCACCAGGAAAATCTCGTAGTTATAAACAATAACACATTTGCTCACGCGTTTATTTCATGAACAGAGTGTCACAAAATACGCGTGTTTGACATTCTTCCAGCGCCAGAGGGCAACTGGCTATTCTTCTTACAAAGATCAAATTGTCAATCGTTTTCACTGTTTACTACTCTCAAAGGTTTGTTTCCTCCAAAAAAAAATCGATATAATGCATATCAAGGTGGAATGCTATCAGAGAACGAGATCGATTTAAAACAAGCTCCGTTTTATAATTATGAAAATAGCCCTAACTGATATAACGCGGTGTTTTGCGCCGGCAAAACACCGCCTTATATACCTTTTGAAATTTTCAAGCAAACTCGTTGTGCGTCGCGCTCAAAGCCCCATTCGCAGAAGGACTCACAACAACACATTTACGAATTTTTACTAAATAAATCTAATTATCTCCCTAAAGAAAAACCGCGCCAAATTAATTTCCTCCTCTTCATTCCGGGTGCACTATGCATCATGCGCTATCCAAACTTGAACACAATTTCAACTGCAGAACTATATCAGTCAAAAGAAAAAAGGACTTTTGAGTAGTTACGAGTCTAAAGCCACAAAAAATAATGCTCTTGCGACATGATAATTTGCTTCGGTGGCATTTCTGAATTTCCGTTCTCTGATGAGCTCGTTAGATTTGTAATCCTTTAAATTTTCAGCAGGCGGTTTCCCTGTATTCTCCCCTCCGTTTCCATAAGAATTCGCTGCGGCTCCGCCGCTGGAAACTACCAAAACACAACCAACTACGCAGGATCGATACTGTCATTCGATGACAAACATGGCAAACTACGTATGGAAAATATGGATACATACGATGCCGAAGAGGCCGATTAACATAATGCCTGTTCGCAGGTTACATCCACAACAAAAAGTCTGCATACGAATCTCCATAGCTCGAGCCCACTTGTTGCTTTTTAGACGTAAAGTAAAGAAACGGGAAAGTCAGGACACTAATTGCTATTTGCTCTTCTTTGTCTGGGCGCTGTAATCCTTGAACGATGAAATGTCTGAAAAACATCTGTCAATCAAAACATATGGCGGCCAATTGGAGCGGAGAACACGTTTAATCTGTTTGCATCCTGTTTCATAATATTTTTGAATACAGTGTTACAATTGAACATGCAAACACGGAAGCGTGGAAAGTGAGCTCGGAAAACAGAATTAACGGATGCGTTGAAAACTGATTAATATACTTCCGCAGAACAGTCAACAAACAAACGTCGTCCAATTTGTTTTCATCAACTCTTCAGTGATAAAGTTTTCCGCGTGTATTCTGAAGCCCGAAGGAAAGGGTATTAGGTGTACCCTTCCTGTATTCCTCTAAACCTTGTATTTTTTCTGCCCTTAGATCCAAATTTGAGAATTTTCCGGGGGAGCATGGTCCATGACATGTTAATCGGGCTCTCGACGGTTGAGCAACTCTCGTCCAATAAAAAACAAGCAAACCTTTAGGAAACAGTTAATCAGCGATCCTTCAACCTGCTGATCCATTGAGTAACTATACTATCTTGTAGAATAAGCGTAATTTCTCCGCGTTTTTTTTTCCAGGAGAGTGGATGCGAGAGTAGTGGGAGGCGATTTCTGCTCTTGCTCGTGGCTCGTATTTCGCGCCTCACCTCGCATATCGCCTTAAAAAAACTGTTTTGTAGGCTTATTGATATTCGCTTCCAGAAAGTCCTGCTCGATCCTTTGACCCAAACAGTGGCTAGCAACGACTTTCTTCTTACAATATCACCCTGAATCACACTTAAAGGTCACGAGAATAAGAGAAATGATCACAAATTACAAAAGTTCTTGCTTGCAGGTTAAACAAATTCTCCTTGTCGGCATGTTTGGAAATATATAGAGAACAGAATGGAGAGGATGTACACTAATGTCAGGGTGTGAAGCGTTCATAAACATCTCTGTGTTTGAGTTAAAATAACTAGTTGATATGTGGCAGTGCAAACATGCTCGTCTCGTGGGAGAACCCTGACGAGAAGTTTTTGTTAAAAAATGGGTGTTTATTTTGACCATTTTAACCTGATGAAACAGGTGAGAGGCTAAATGAAAATGTTTTTACAACATAAACAGCCCTATCAGGAAGATGTATGTGACGCTTCAAGTCACGAGTCTGCGTACAACATAAGACAGCGTGGATTGCAAAACGCGTCTGATAAAATTATGCGCGGAAGACCTCACAGCCATATATATAACATCTTTATGGATTAGCTCGTACTTCGCGCTTGCATTAATCCCGACATTCTTGCTTTAGCGATAGGGATAGTAAGCGGGGAAAATTTACGCAGTAACTCATAATCATTTTTAAAGAAAGCCTTAATTCCAAGGATTACATGGAAATCTTTCATAAGTGACTATTTCGGGTAAATATTTATGGTTACCGAAGGTTGCTGCAAAGGAAAGCAGTAAAAATCAAAAACGAAAAGAGTGATGGTGCCGTTTAGGCTAAGAGCTCCCCGACTGTGTATATTCCTTTGCTCCTGTGTTCACATAATGTGATTGGATAAAGTAAAGGGAATTTGCATCAGCGATCAGTTCTTAGAGATTTATTGAGATATTTGGACGGTTTGCATAGTCAGCTCCATAATATCAAAGAAGTCGATCGGGTTTCCTATCCAGCCGCCTTTAATTTAGTAACAATACATAACCATTTGGTAACATAATTTAGGATTATTTATATTCATAGTCCTACCTAGCCACAGACACCTAAGTCTCCCAGTATAACGTACACGAGTCTTTCATTTGCGCCAACCCTTTGGACGCTTGTGTTATTGTTATTAACATCCATCGGTTTCCTTAATTTGCTACCGTATCTTGTTGAAGCCTTCCAGCTCTTATGGAAAAGGTGTGCAATAAGTTATTCCTAACGCTACGTTTAGAGGTAAAATGAATAACTCAAAAGAGTAGCTTGCCCTATCTATTTTGTTCAGGCAAAATAAAACATCACCAGCGGTAATCAGCAAATTCTTAAGTTAGTTATGCTTGCTAGCCGTGACGTCATGCAAGACCGGCAGACGTCACAGAAACCTTGACGGGTGCTACTCCCATCTTACGACGTCTCGAAGTGGATATTCTACGCCTTAAAGTAACGTCACAGTAGTTTTGTCCGGTACCGCTGATGCAGAAAGATTTCTTTCGTCAACTTGCATCGTTTCAGGTAGCAATAAGCCATCATAAGACGTCACAGTATTGTTTGGTGCGGCTTGTAAGGGAGAGTATCCTACGTCAGACTTTGACGTCACAGGGGCCTGGCACGGAGCCGCGTATTGGAAAAGATGTCCCATGTCAACCTGTGAATTAGAAAATGAAACGGATAAATGAATGAATGGATAAAAAAAAAAGCCAACCAGATGAATAAAACGAGAGTGATCAGTAATAACTCCTGTGCTGCTACGTCTGCATCCTTCTGAAGCGACAGCTAACAAACAGAACGACGCTATTGTTAACAACGAAAGTGAGCCGTGACGTAACGTACAGACATTATTTAAGCAACAGTTTGGTATAAATTTTCCTGGTGTGATCCTATTTTGGTAATATTTACCAAAAACAGATTTCCAGTGCAAAATAGTTTTCATCAATACTTTTATCAAGTCCGTCGACCGATCAGGCAGATGTTATCACGGCTCACTTACACTGTCTAAAATCTATATTCGCTGATTAAAAATTGTACTTTGGTTGTGAAAAAATCAAGATAAAGATGTAGTTACCGTTTGAGTTTGATTGCCATGGATATCAGCACAAGTAACAGTTCGTATTTCCATATCCTGCGCTAAGAGTTCTTTACGAAGGAACGCAATATATGCACACATCACGAAGATGAAGAAAATCTCAAGAGAAAAAGAACCAGCGATGGTTAGTTGTGTCTCATTTCCTGCAAATTGCAGAGAAATCTTGATACAGTGTGGGTACGATATCTTAGACTCTCCACCAGCTTTAGGAATGAGTTCATGTTGTACCTTATCTAAGCTCGTTCCATTTTCCCATGAAGCCACAAGAAATATTGCCACTTCCTCAGAATGAAATGCTAGTCCATTTATCTAAAGGTTACCTCTTGGTAGTTTTTTCAATTTGCTGATAGTTTGCAGTTACTACGCAGAATATTTTCCTGGGTTGATAGAGGCACTTTGGGAGAAATGTTTTGACACATTTGATTTCCAGTTAAATTGATTGCTGAATTATGAAATATCTCGCATCCTTTACCCAACGAATTGTAAGATAAACTCGGCAGGTGAATAAAGTAACAACTAAATGTACCTTTATGACGCACCATGCGAGTATCCCAACCAAGTAACGGTGTTGCTGACGTTAGGAAAAGTAGAAAAAAAAAATGACATGTTTCAGAGATTCTTTAGCAGTTGTTCTTTAGATATGACAGGCATCGTATTCGGTGAACGTTAATCTTTACTCACCAGTTTCCATTCAGAAATGCAGTAAAACAACAGTGCTAACATGAAAAGAACGTCGATAATGCCCCACGCAAGCCAGGTTATTGCCAAATATTGGTTCTTCTGTGAAAAGAAGGTAACAGAAGCAAGCTGTAAATTTTGAGTGAAAAATAGTGTAAGAAGTACTCTGGAAAAACTGGACAAACTTACCTAATTACTTAAATATAACGTTAATCCATCAGAATTTAATTCATAAAAATTCATAAAAATTGTTGAGCTTACCAAGGCAATAGATACCAGCAGCAACAAGTTGACCAACAAATTAATTGCTTTAAAAGCGATATAGGCTCGGCTCAATTTATAATACTCTATTTAAGTGGACGAAAGAAAAAGATAAGCTTGTAGTTAGTAAAGAAGAAAAAAAAAACCAAACAATAATAACAAAAAGATTGCCTTAGTGATCGGAAAATGCACAAGTGATTTTTTTGAAGTATATTGGTAATAAATTTCGAGTGGATTTTGGAGTATGGATACTAAAACACAATTAGACTTTAAAAGAGCTTGACTAATTTCAAGTTCCTGTGTACGTTGGGCAAGCAAATTGATTATGCTTTGAAAAATGTATATGTACTTGCGCTTACTCATTGCAATTCAAACTATACCCCAAATCATTTGAACACTGGTCAGAAAATATAGCCAGAAACTGATTTCAAAAGTTTAAAAAATATTTAGAATAACTTTAACATGTGGGCTAGCAGTCTCAGTGCAATTGTTAGGTATTTTTAAAGAGTTTGTTGAGGGCTCAATGAAAATTGACACCGGTAAATTCAGTCGTGTATCGTATCAGATCATAATCATGTTGAACATAACATTGAACCAAATTAAAGATCACCAGAGAACGTTTTGGTTCCCGTTGTTAAATCTTGTTTTGGAACGAAAATGAGGTCAATATGTGTAATTCCAAAATGTCCCCCATAAATTCGAGGAAGAGGAAAAATTAAATCAAATTACCTTCAAAGGAGTCTCTGGTGAATGGAAAGTCCCTGGTGTAGATCTCTTCGAGAGGCTTAAGCCATTTAACAAATTGAATTTGATAGTAAATTGAAAACATTGACACTCCCTGAAATTGAAAAACGGGTATAGATAACATGTTGTAATTACTACAGTTTGTATAAATTACAGCAACCCAATCTTGAAGGATTGTTTTTTTCAATAATATCTTTAATCCATCCTTCTATCTGCATCTCTGTTTGGAGATGTATAAATTTGATAACGCACGCACACACGCGCGAAACGTTTTTGTTCTGCTCATTAAATCTTTAGATTTTCGCTAAATTATCGTTGCTTTTGCCGTCATGTTTCAACGCTGGTTGCAGCCACGAGAGGAACGAGACATCTAGAATGAAATGGCGTTATCTCTCAGCTGAAAGAGGACGTGAGTTTGAGAAAGTAAATTTGTAAACATTACGTATGTTACTTCCGGTTCACGCTAGTTGTCAACTGCTCGAGCTCTCTTAGAAGCGAAATATGTCATCATTATCTATTTATCGCCTCGGCGTCGATGGTTTCTTTTTAATTTTCAACCTTATCTACAAATTTAGGGCTTAAGTGATCGTATTTCGCTGGAATAAGGACGTTTTTGTTTTGGATGACAAGAATAATAATGTAAATGCATAGTACAATTTGACGAAAACTTTGCCAGATTGGGGATGTTGTTAGTTGCAGAGCGTGTAAATTCAAATTCAAAGAATTCTTATGAACTCCTAGTGTCCTTAGTCTATATTTTCTAGCTCTTTGAATGGAAATGAATAAGTGTACCCTATAAATTATATGTTGTTTACAGACTCCGAAGAGGTCATGCGTGACATGCGTGACATGCAAAGTTTCCATTAGGACTGTTAAACGAACTAACATCGCCGTAGACGACACCCGAGCGCGATAGATGACTACCAGTAATCGAATTTGAAATCCAAAGGATGAATATCAACTTAAGTTCGTCCGCATTTATAGCTGACTCAATCACTCACAAGAGAGAACGGAGCGATTAAGAAACTATACATTTACGCAAGAAACTGATAAAGCAACGTTTTAATTAGCAAGTAGCTAAAAGTTGGTATGAGAGGAAATTAACGGCTGGATGACTTGAAAATTTGTCAAATATTCTATGTTAGGAAAACACAAAAGAGTCCATAACAAGTAAAGCAAAGAAAAGGAAAACGGTGGACAAAAATCGAGAAGATTAACATGACTGGAAATGAAAAACTTAAAAAGTTTCGCATGCGGTTTTTAAAACCTGGCGGCTTTAAAGTTGGGGAGTGATTTATTTGAGGCTGAAAAAAGAACTGAGACATTTAAATATTGATCTGGGCATGAGAACTTACCAAGCCACAGAGTGCAATATGCAGAGCGATTATTCGTAAAACGCTGCCGCATAGAAACTTTCCCATAGTTGATAAATCGAAGTAACTCTTCCGAACGTCAAACTCATCTGAGTTGCAAACGTTGCGTCTGAATACTTTAATACTTTTCCACTTCAAAGATCCGACTCCTAATTCACCTTTCTGAACTTCGCACATTTCTTCGGCCGGAAGTTATGAGAATCTGTTTTCTATCGAGGCAGTATTGACCTAGACGGTCAGTTTCTATGGCCATTGTCTATGAGTAAGTGAGCTGCGGTCACGCACGTTTCAACGAAAACATCGTGCACGTGCCGCCGTGGGTGTACAATTGAATATCGATGGTGTTCGGAGTAGAAACGTGCAGATTCGAACGTTGATTTTATTTCCATGGGTATCTTAATTGATGCCATTTAGAGATATAGGCAGGAAATTGGGCAAAATTTCCGCACAGCCCCATACTTCATTGTGCTTCCATATCTGAGGTTTTATTATTCAGTGCATCACCATTAAGATGTGCATGCATATTTAAGTATGGGGCTGTGCGGAAATTTTTCCAAAAATTCCACAGTTGCGTCGATATTTATTGTACAACAGTTCGTTACAAGAATTCAGAAGAATGACGAAGAGTGGAAAATTAGCTTTTGGTTGCCTCGACTGCGCCTGATACTGTGAGCCAACTGTTGAAGTATTTAAAAGTATCTTTTATCAAATGAGAATTCCTCAGTCTTCGTTAGACTAGTTTTGATTTTTTGAAAAAAGAAAGCAAATTGTAATTTAGTATTTCACAATTCCATATAAGCACTTTCAGGATATATTAAAGGTAAATTTATTGTTATCAACTGAGTTGATAAGGTGAATTGGCCACCGTAAAGAGTTTAAAGGCGTTTAACGTCAGAGCGATTGGACAAAATGAAAGGACTATGAGAATTTCTAACACTGGTGGTAAAGAGGGAAGGTGGCATGGTGAAACTATTATCGAAATTTTAGGGCTTGACGAACTCAGCTGTATTATTTCGCACAGTTGGCGCAAATCTCCGCTTGAGTACTTCGCGCCCCGCCTTGCGAATGCGCAAAAAATAAAAAGCGAAATTTAACAAATAGACAAAGTAGACCTGTCTTGTAGGCTAATTGATAATCGCTCCTAGAACGGTTTGCTTCTAAAGCGTGTCCATGAGAAAACCAGGCCAGGGTGATAATGCTCAAATTTGGCACAAATGCTAAGTACATTGAGTTGACAAATGTGTGAGAATGATAGGTCAAAATATTGAATTCTCTGGGAGATATAGTGCAGTATATAATACTGCAATCTTAAGAAATGACTCAGAATTATTCATCCTGAGGAATTTCAAGAGATGTAGGACAAATTAAATGGCTCAGCCGAGTGTTATTCGCAGGCTGTCCAAGGTATGCGTACCCCACTTATGCCATTAAGTACCCTTCACAACAAATTGACAACTGTCCGAACTAATGGCCAGGGGCATGGCACTAGCTGCCAACGTTCAAGGGGACTTGAGTTCATGGGTTTACTAGGGTTCCAAGCGACCAGAAAGGAACAAAAGATTCCAATGAAAAGAGAAAGGAGAACCATGGTATATCAATAGCATATTTACTTAGATTTATGCTTTTTTTAAAATTTACAGTGATCTTGATCAATTGGAATTCTAGGCCTATTACGTTAAATCAACGTTCAAAGTGTCCCGAAATACCTCCTATTAACTTAAGGATGCAAAAAGGCTTCATTTCGGAAGAAAAATCGCTTTTTAAGCCAAACTTGTACACCAAGGCCATTTAGTTTCGCTTGCTGGTGAATACTGCCTAATAACTACCTATTAGCTCGCCAATCGGCGCAAAGGTTAACATTATCTTATAATGTGTTACATGCAAAAATCTTGAAATATGATTTATAACCATATCAGGGAATGATAACGTGAAAAAAAATACTGCAAACTTAAGAAATTACTTAGAATTATTCTGGGGCCCCTACTACATTTACATAAATTAACTGGTTTAGAATGTTTATCATGCCCAGTCGTTTTCCAGGCTTGTCAGTGACCGGTGAGCTCTTGCGTCATTCACAGCTTATCATGACATCACTCAGAGCCTACGTACGTCACAATAGCCTTGGCGGGTACTGTGTGTTGAGAAGAATTCCCATTCTGAGACATCACAGTAGTCGTGCCAGGATCTGTGTAAGTAGGAGGATGCCCTGAGCCATCTTGTGACGTCATGGTAGTTCTACCATGTGCTGTATGTGAAGGAAGATATCCAGCGTCGTCGTTTGACGAAAGAGTAATCTTACCAGCCGATGAATGATGAGGAGGGTATCCTACGTCAGTATATGACGTCACAGCTGGATATGGAGGAGGATAAACATAGCTAGCCTGTGGAGTCATGGTATTTTTGTCCGGTACTGCGCATGCGGGAGGGTATCCTTCACCAATATGTGACGTCACAGCAGTGTTTGGTGGTAGTGCGCATGGGCGAGCATATCGTAAACCAACCTGTGGATCGAGGCAAAATATTAAACACAGATTAATTATTGATCTAAAGAAGAATAAATAAATTTGATTCACAAGCTTTGTACTCCATAAGGTCATAACCAGAAATCTGTATTCAGTAATATCTTGACGTAAATCTGGTTACCGTTTGAGTCTGTTAAACGTGTGCTCTAGGAAAACCGGCGCTTGCCCCTGATGGATCTTCACGGAGGGCCTCTATGTACGAATAAACCACAATCATGAGATAGATCTGAAATACGAGATGAAATAAATGAATGAAATAGAAAATGAAAATAAATGATGAAAATTAAACATAATAATGATTGGTCCATGTTTACTCGTTGCAGCTATTGTATATTATAGTTATTTGATAAATTATTTTTCAATTGGAGGATTAAGGTGATTTTGTTCGTTTTATATGTCAATCATGACGTTTATTATAGGTTAGTTTCTGCTTTTCAGTATCATGATTGAAACTAGCAGTGAAAGAGTTTTGCGGTTCTTGAACATAGGGTATAAAACTTATACACCTAAGAAAAAGACAACATGTTCCTAGCATAGGAAGAGGGATTAATTTAGTGATTCAGGGTCCTCAGCAAAACTTATCGAAAAATAGGCATTAAAAAGTAACAGTTATTACTATTTCTGCATACGTACGCCCGTGATCAGTGATAAATACAATGAAAAAAAATAACTTACCGTAAGCAACCAACACAGGATTATCAAAATACCTGCATATATAAACTGTGATGCGATAAACGAAGAAATATTGTTAGTCCACTTTGTTATAATATGAATTGACAGACAGTTTAGTTTAGGATAGTTTCACATGTGTGATTGAAACTGGCCGCAAAAAAAATTCATATTTGTGAAGGAAAGATATAATCTCTTGGTTCAAGACAATATGAATTTAATGCTAACAGACTATCAACAGCTGAACTTAAGAGAGAGAAAAAAGTTCGATGTCCGAAAATATTTGAACTTATCCAAAAAAAAGGTGCAATCTGTTCTCGAGTTCTATGAAACCTACTTTACTAGGAAAAGTAAGAGCGATTTTGCAAATTAGGAAGAGGAATCTAACGCGTTAATACTAAACATACAAGACGTCGGGCTGGAAGAGTTTAAACGTGCATGCTTTTTATGTACAGTTTTTTGCCAATCTTAGCTATTTTTCGTAGTTGTTTGTCTTTTTTGTATAAATTTGAATTTTTACTGGTACAGTTACTGTGTCATTATGGTCAAAAATTGTACTCCGAGTCGTGTGATAATGTCATTGAACTCCACGCTAGACACCTCAAGTATTTGATGTGAAGATAATGAACTGTTCCTTTTTGCCATTTGTACTCACCACGTCGGAGACGGACAACAGGAAACTTGTTACTACAACAGAGCAAGCAAAATCGAGAATGTTCCACACCAACCAGACCACAGCCAAATAAATGTTTTTCTGCAACAAGGGAGACAAATTTTACTGTCGTACTAAAACAATAACAACAAAAACAAACAACAACAACTATAAGGACATATCAGGATCTTGCCGGACAAATAACAAAGACATGAACCCGGTAAATATGCATGCTGTGTGTGCACAAATTAGGCTAGCAGTGAAAAATCATTGGAGACATTTGACGGAGTGCCGGGTTAAAATTTACTTCGGGGAGGGGGGGAGAATGCATAAAATGATAATGAAAATTCTCGAGGATAGCCTTTAGTTAGATTGAATATACGATAACAACTGATACTGGTAAATATTTCAGCTCCTGCATTTATCTAGCCTCTGGGATCAATTCGGAAAAAACCTCGCAAATGTGTTTAAAACTGTGCACACATTCGATGAAGTCAGCCGTGTCTAAGAAATTTTACAGACCACAGGTGAAGATTATGCCAGAACGCAAAACTAAAATGCGCTTCATAGTACAAAACCTTATGCCATCTCGATTTTCCTTTACTTACCGTGCCAATGGATATTAGCAATAACACATTGCATAGGACTGAAATCACTTTGAAGGTGAGGGTTACATAAGCCAATGCGATGATCGCTTTGAGAGAAAACAGAGAGAGAAAAAAAACCAGACAACTTAAATCAAAATAAAGTAAGGAAAAGAATTCTTAGAGCTGACTCCCAAAACTTAAAGCACGTTAATTTGAATAGCAAATCCTTATTGTCCCTTCAAAATACACCGCTGGAAAACACGCCATAATTTAAACAACCTCCTCATTCAAGAAGAATTGACGGGGAAACGTTGAATCCAGTGAAAACCATCCTTAAAATATATATTTAGTTGCTTGCTGATGGTTCAAAAACGTGCTCGGCGACCAGCTTATTTTCATTATGGAATGAAAATATTGTCTTGAAACGTTAAAGTGTATTATGATTTTATCAGATAATTTATTGATATTTTTAAGACAAGGAAGGAGAAGGAGAAACGGAAATACCGCGGATGTGCTTCTTTTCTACAAGGAGATATTCTTCGTAGCTGTCCCAGTCTATGTTAGCCTGGTTGTACTTTATGAGAGCTTTACTTTGGTTATAAAGCATGATTCCTTGGAAGATCTGAAATGGATATAAGCACAGACATAAATTTAAAATGTTTTAAAGATGTTCTCTCGTTTGACTCGTTTGTTCGGATCTTGCCACTCAATAAGAACTATATCATGCTTGGCTTGCAGTGTGGCAACTGCTAATTTTTGCTACTCAAAATATTTTGAATTCGACTCTTAATTTCTAGCGCAAATTTTGTTTGGTTAAAAAAAGACGAAATTCATCGCGTTTATTTTGAATTTCCGCTGGACATGAAAAGTAGCACAGCTCGATCCTAGTCAGTACAGACTAAATATTCTGCTACATTGTCTCTTGGGACTTTCTAAAAAATCCAATTTACGCCATGTGGCATGTACATACTCTTGTAAACAATAAGTATGTTTCAACCTTATATACTAGACTAAATAAAACCTATACGCTGGGCACACTAACACTACATAGATGGAAACATCTCGAATAACATTGTGACGTACGCTAGCAACGCAACGTGATGTAGCGAACGAAACTGTCAAAATTATTTTTTTAAAGTCCATATTGCTAGCAACTTGGGGTCACTCGGGTTATCGCATGCGACGTGGGTGAATTAATTTAGCGCACGTGCTTCAATGGATAAGTTCGGCTTGTAGGGCACTCGTGCTGGAGAGGGGAATTGTTTATTGACGCGTGACGTTGGCAGTCTGCTTTGTTTCTTGATATTTTAATGGTGCGAAACGAATGATTGTTATGTTCTACGTCTACCTTTGCATTCACTAAGTTGGTAAGATCTGTACAGACATCACACCAACTATTATGATACAAAGATATAAAATTTATACAATACTCGGATAGAATTAATAAAGAAATTCGGATGGTACTTTTATCACTGTATAATATAAAATATAGGAGTATAAATAAAAGTGCCTTGTGATTATTAACTAAACAGTGGAGTAACTTAGAATAAAAAGCAGCCAAGGAGTTTGGCTCAAAATCTCCGCAGGAAGCTTATTCCATAATGTGGATAGCTTATTCCATAGTCTTTATAGAATAATCTTTATGCTAAAAGACCACGCGAATTTTGACGCTATTTCCCTGTCTAAGGTTATCTTCATCACTCCTTTTCTATAACTTGCAGACGAAAGCGTATAATTTTATCAAAATGAGTAGAAGTGGAAAGTGCGTGTTAAAGTTGTTCAAAGATCTCTGTAGCATTTTTTTTTATTCATTTACTTCTATTTGAGCGGCGTCAGCATTGTGGCTTTCGGTTTTTCGATTTTTGTCAGTTTTAGTTTTCATTTTTAATTCTATTTTTTAAAGTCAGAATCTGCTGGTGGCCCAGACCAGAATTTTTTATTCCTATTTTCACGATTTTTGTTTGTCTTGAAATTTGTTACTTAAATCGATAAACACTGCTCTACAACTCCTTATTATCTCTGAGTTGTGTTATGACCCAAAAACAGAAATAATTCAATCTTCACCAGCGGTGTAGCAATATTAAGAAATATTAATGACCGCTCGATACACTTTTGAAGAGTATTATGACTGGGCTGTCTGTAATATTATTGCAAAATAGTGTTTGGTAATTTATGGCTAATTATTTTAACTCACTAGGCCGAAGACTCCAATTAGCAAAGCACCGTTTCGTAGACTGCATCCGCAGCAACATATTTTCACTAAAACTGCCATTGTGGATAAGTGGAAATGTCTCTTCTTCGATTCTTCAAACTCAAGTGAAATACATCGAAAATGCCGGGAGGTTTTTAACCACTCGCTCTCAAGATCCTCCATATTGACCTTGGTTTCTAAACGGATCGACCTTGTTGATCTATCTCTATATTCCCAACTCCTTTTTATTGACAATGTATAGAGTTTATAGGAGGAATTTGCATTCTGAATCTTTATGGGTGTCAACAGGTCAATACGTTTCGGTTTTCAGTCAGGCACGTATGAAGAAATAATACGTGCGCGTGATACGTGACGCGGACATTACTGACAATGTCAACGTGCGTCATCTCATGCTCACTTACACGACTTTGCGTTGTCTGTTAAAAACCGGATTTTCCCATCGTCGCGCAATTTACTGTATGGATTTTTGATGAATACTACCGATCGCTTGTAATTTTCAACCGATATAAATTTTTAGTCTAATTTGAAAGTTCGTTTTTGTGTTAGTGGTTCGGTTGTTCATTAGTAGTTATCTTAATCAGGGATTAGTTGTTCTTTTACCGTTTTCCAATCAGACTGGAATTTTTCTTCTTCCATTTTTTCTTCCTAGTAGTTGAGTAATGCCAAAGTAAGCCGATAAAACAGAAGTCTGAGTCAGTAGATATGACATCCATACTATTACAGCTAAATTATTTTTAAGGATTCAGAGTATTCTCCGTTTTCAGTGTAAGTGAATTTACGTGGGTGTGCGTCGGATGAAGCAACCAAAAACTGTTCTCAAACTGTTCTCAAGACTCCACATGTGATTTCTTTTAAATTTTTTTTTTCGCAAATAGAGTTATATGCCGGTGGTTACAGTAGCTATATAAAACTCGTAGTGGTGTTTGTGACCGATAAAACTTGAGCATGATACGATTGTTTCTGCTCCTCTGTTTGACAATACCACCTAATATTGACTCTATTTTTACTTTTAGTCGTAAAATCACGTTAAGGAAAGTATATAATAGCACCGAGGGATCACATGTGATGATTGAGGCTGAAACTCCGCATGGAAAACTCCTCTAAGATTGCGTCCTGTGAATTGAATGTCTTAGAAGACTGGTTCCCAAGCATATGTGTCTTTTAGCATGTCTTATTTACGGTGTGCCTCTTCATATTAGCCGTGCGTCATACGGGAAATTGAACGCCGCTGAGGTGGATCCTAACGGAAAAAAAAGCGATAACTACACCTTCTGTTTAAAATCTTTATAAATTGTTATCCAAGTGACTGGCAAAGTAGGAAAAAGAAAAAAAACACTCAAACTTGTCTACAGTGAACTAAGAATTGAATGATTTTATATCATAGCTTTAGAATTCACCATCTCGGCAAATATGTTCGGCTTTACTGACTGCGTTTCGAAACGCAGATCAAGCAAACATAGATTTGAAACATAGATCTAGCATCTCGTTCTCTTCTCCAGACGCTTGTCGGAATATAGGCATTGATTTTGTTAGGGAAGGGGAGATGAGGAAAAATATTGGGTAATAAATTAAATTCTTAATCTATTTCTGCACCACCTCGCGAATCATTCGCAGTGTTAACCGTCAAATTCAGATACACAGCCACAATGATAGTCAATGATCCAACCTGATAAAAAAGTAGGATATTTTTCATAGCACTCATCGTTTAGGTATCACGTACAACACAGCATTGTCTCATAAAGTGGGAGATTCTTGCAAGTAAAAATATCTTCGTTTTTTGTGACATTGACTGAATTTACCTGGGGTATGTACATGAAACGGTTGAAATCATTGCCATTAATTCAAACGAGTCCACTATTTTGAGCGACTAAAAGTTCAAAATTGGTCTCTCATGGATCTTCGGAGCCCTTTGCAAAGATTAGAAGTATACACATAAATCTTACACAAGATTTTAGAGCAACTTTTTAAAAGTGCTTCGGAGTGTCGGTAATACTTCTCAACTCAAGATATATTCAGAAACTCTCTATTTAGTTGCCACTGAGAAATTAAAAAGATATATGTATAAATCAGAAATCAATGCAATTTATAGCCTGATGGCTTTTTCTTTACTGATCTCTCGCATGGGCGATCGTCATTTGTGTTCTGAGAGGAGGCCCATTTCCCAAAAGTCAATTTACACGGTTGAATGAAGGTGTGAATCTTTTATCTGCCTAAAAAGGCACGCTTTGGGATCAGGTTCGACTATTAGTAACATTATCGTAAAAGTATAAACATTTAATTTCAGTTATCGCAAATATACAAGATTGATTTGGAATCTGAGTTCATTTTGGCGTTTCCGAACGCTTCCCAATCAAGTTAGGTAAATCTTTCACATTACCTACTCAGGAGTTCTCCTAATTTACGCGCGCTGTATGCTCCTGACATTTTTCTGAGAATTTTTTTCTAAAGCCTTAGGGTGGATAAAATGTTACGCGCAGTTTCAAATCAAAATTTTCTTTACTAACGAGCCACTGATTGGAGATTCTAAAAATTCGAATTTGTGTTTGATATTCATGCATATGACTTATATTCTGTTCCCTTTTCTGGTTAGAGATAACTTGAGCAGTGGCATCGTCTCTTATTTTCAAATGGAAGCTATCATCCGCATTTTAAGTGGCAATCAACTACAGCCCGTCTTTTTTGTTGTATTGTAATTAGAGATCAGACTCTTTCATATTCAAATGCCCTTTTTATACAGATTATTTTTCAATTACTTAAGAATCAGAGCTAAAAGAAAAAGATTTACCATTAACATTTCTCCAGCAACCACTCCTGGGTCGCTCTTTGTGAGCAAACTATAATTACGTCCGCATAGAATTCCCTCCCCCGTTTCCCTTTGATTTAAGTCTCTTGTGTTTTCGCACTTTTTTTTATTAATATAAACCCAAATAATTATTTGTGTGAAAAGAGTTTAGATTAAGCATTAATATTTTTCATAGAAAACTAAATTGAAATTGAAGCTAACATCAGCAATGTTATAAGCAATGACCTCATAGGTTATGTTGTTTTAAAACTGCGAAACAGCTACTTAACTTTTATTTGGCCAAATTAAAATTCCAATTTTGAGAGTATCCGAGATGAAGGAAGGACTACAACCTCGTTGCAACACGTGGGGGGAAACAGCAAGGGGGTCCCTCCCTATGAATAAATTTATTCCTTTGCATAAACAGGACCACACTATCTTTTGTTTCATTGTTCAGCCTCTTTGCTGAATTTCTTCATGAATATTAAAACAAAAATGAATGATCAATGAATTCAATCGTAGACTCGAAAAAACACCGCGGCATGAGAAATGCGCTGATTATATTTGAACATCTGCTTTGTTTGAGCAGAAGATCATGGATAACGAAGCTAAGTCGGAACTGGACCCAAATAGATTCCCCTATTTCACGTCCTCAGAAATGTCACTTTCCTCACATATTTCTTGAGAATCTAATTTTCCTAATTTTGACCAAAATTTTTCAATTTTCGTTTTAAGGCGCCGGTCCAAGTTAATCGTCTGGTGGGGAAGGGTTGGAAGAATGAAGGATTTTGATTTAGTCACAATCAAATATACCTGACACCCCCCCCCCCCCCCCAACCCGTCTAAGGCTCCATAGAATTCTAACAATTGCCCCTCACTGGCAGTCTCAGGCTAATTTTGCTCAACTTTTATATCGTTTTTAATGAAAGATGCTCTTCTGAATGACAACCATAATGTGATTTTGGTGGACTGGTCCGAAGGGGCTAAGAACATCCTAAGCTTTGATCTTCTGCAGGGTTATCTGCAAGCTTATGGAAACACACGACTCGTTGGGGTTCAGGTAGCAGAGCTTATAGAATTCATTATCACAACTTTCAAAGATTGTACTTCCGATTCAGAAAGTGAATTTGCCAAGAAATTTTACATCGTGGGGTTCAGCCTTGGTGCTCAGGCCGCAGGTTATGCTCGGAGATATCTGAAAGCTAACAAAGGAAAGACTCTTGGTCGCATTACAGGTTAGCTTGAAAGACAAAGACTATGGATCAATGTCAGTGTGTGAGCAAATTGAATGCGCACCTACTCCTCCCCAAACCCAACATTATCTCTTAATTGTTGTCAGTTGACTAAGGCAGGGTTTGGGTAAGGCAGGCGTGTATTTTTGTGTGTATGTTTTTTTTTCTGTTTGTGGAGGTTGAGGACAAGACTCTCAGATACTTCTCTTTTAATAATGATCCAAAACTATTTTGAATACATTGACAGTTATACTGTCAAAGAAAACGTTATCAGAGCAAAGCTTCTTGCTAACTTCACATTTTTGGCTGAGTTAAATTGAAGTTTCCACCGATCGTCATTTTGAATCATCCAATTTCTCAGCGTTTAGGAGGTGCTGGGGGAATGATAACAAACTTACTCTTAATGTTGATAAGACCAAAGCTATGCTTATTGGTAGTGATTCCAAGCTTCGCAAGTTAAACAGTCTCTCGGTTTTTGTTCTTGCTAATCAACTCGATAGTGTTAGAAGCTTTAAGTATTTAGGGGTTGTATTATCCTCCAACTTTACGTGGACCGAGCATGTGGAACATCTGATATCTAAAGTCAACCAGAGATTAGATCTTTTGCGTAGAATCAAGCATTTGTTGCCAGATAACGCACGCCTTCTTTATTACAAAAGCCTTGTCCTCCCCATCCTTGATTATGCTGATATGATATGGGGTGATAAGGATAACACCGTCTCAATGAACAATCCGCAGGTGTTGCAAAATAAGGCGGCAAAACTTGTTCTAGATAAACCATTGTACTCTTCTGCAACCGATGCTCTCAATCAGCTCGGCTGGTTAAATTTAAAACAACGCTGGCACTTCCTTCGCTGCTTGTATGTTTATAAATGTGTGAATGGAATTACATCTCACAAATTGGAATTATCTAGAAACAGCGATGTACATAGATACAACAATCGTTGCAAAGATCATCTTAGACTTCCATCAGTTAAACGGAACTGGGGTAAACAAAGAACCTGTTATCATGCCTTTAAAGACTGGAATGCCTTGGACAGTGACTTGAAGAACTCTGGCACTATATGTCAGTTTAGGAATAATTTTTTTTAAATCTTTTAATCTATAGCTTACTTTTGTCCTTTTTTTAATATCTGCAATATTTATTTACTTTTAACAATTTAATGTTATTTTGGATTAGGACCTCTCTGTAGATCACCTACGGGTGAGAGAGCTTCCGGTTTAAATATCATTTAATTAAATTAAGAGATGCAGAACAATTTAAATGGCTCAACCGAGTGTTATTCGCAGGCTGTCCAAGGTATGCGTACCCACTTATGCCATTAAGTACCCATCACAACAAGTTGGCAACTGTCCGAACTAATGGCCAGGGGCATGGCACTAGCTGCCAACGTTCAAGGAGACTTGAGTTCATGGGTTTACTAGGATTCCAAGCGACCAGAAAGGAACAAAATATTTCAATGAAAAGATGAAGGAGAACCATGGTATATCAATAGCATATTTACTTAGATTTATGCCTTTTTTGGTCAACTGGCATTGTAGGCCTATTACGTTAAATCAACGTTCAAAGTGTCCCAAAATACCTTCTATTAACTTAAGGATGCTAAAAGGCTTTATTTCGGAAAAAATCGCTTTTTTAGCCAAACTTGTATACCGAAGCCACTTAGTTTTGCTTGTTGTTGAATATTACTCACTAACTACCTATGAGCTGGCCAATTGGCGCAAAAGTTAATAATATCTTATAATGTGCTACATGAAAAAATCTTGAAACATGGTTTAAAACCATATTTCAAGATTTGAAATATGGGAATGATAACGTGAAAAAAATAAAATGCAATCTTAAGAAATGACTTAGAATTATTCTGGGGCCACTTTTACTTTTAATTAGATTAACTGGTATAGAATGTTTATAATGCCCAGTCTTTTCTCAGGCATCTCAGTGACCGGTGAGCTCTTGTGTCATTAACAGTTCATCATGACGTCACTCAGAGCCTAGGTATGTCACAATAGCCTAGGCGGGCATTGTGTGATGAGAAGAATTCCCGTACTGTGACATCACAGCGGTCGTGTCTGGATCTGTGTAAGCAGGAGGATACCCTGGGCTATCTTGTGATGTCATGGTAGTTCTGCCATGTGCTACGTGTGAAGGAAGATTACCAGCGTCATAGTATGACGACAGAGTAATCTTACCAGCCATTGGATGATGAGGAGGGTATCTTACATCAGTATATGACGTCACAGCTGGATATGGAGGAGGATAAACATAACCAGCCTGTGGCGTCATGGTATTCTCGTCCGATACTCCGCATGCGGGAGGATATCCTACACCAATGTGTGAAGGCACAGCAGTCGTGGGTTGTGGTGCGCATAGGCTAGCATATCGTAAACCAGCCTGTGGATCGAGGCAAAATGTTAAACAAAGGTTAATTATTAATACAGATACGAATAAATAAATTTGATTGACAAGCTTTGAACTCCATATGGTCATAACCGGAAAACTGTATTCAGTAAGATCTTGACGTAAATCTGGTTACCGTTTGAGTCTGGTAAACGTGTGCTCTAGGAAAACCGGCGCTTGCCCCTGATGGATCTTCACGGAGGGCCTCTATGTACGAATCAACCACAATCACGAAATAGATCTGAAATACGAGATGAAATAAATGAATGAAATAGAAAATGAAAATAAATGACGAAAGTTGATCCGTTTATGATCATTCTACACTCAAGGTATGGTCTCGAGGGAAACAGTTAGTCCAGATGTTTCCCTCGACTTCGTCTCGGGAAAACAAAACTAACTAGTTTTCCAAGGGACCATTCATTAAGTGCTTTGCGATATATTTGGACTTTCCCCTAAACAATCATATGGCAAAAACAAACAAACATGCTATTGTATTCAGCGCGCGGGTAACGACTGCGCAATTGTATCCCGGTCGGGATATATTTCAATCTGATTAGGGGCACGTGACCAAGAATCAACCAATCACAGTGCTCGTTTTGTTGAGTGAATGTCTAGGTATATAACAATAGTCTATGTTTACCCGTTACAGCTAATGTATTATAGTTATTTGATAAAATATTTTTTTATTTGGAGGATTAATGTGATTTTGTTCGTTTTATATGTCGATCATGACGTTTATTGTAGGAATGTTTCTGCTGTTCAGTATCATAATTGAAACTAGCAGTGGAAGAGTTTTGACAGGTCTTGAATACAAGGTTTAAAATTAAACGCTCAGAAAAAAAGACATGTCCTTAGCATAGGAAGAGGGATTTATTCAAATAATTTCCCAAGCAAAATAGGAATTAAAAAAAGTAACAGTTATTGCAATATCTGCATACGCCCATCATAAATACAATAAAAAAAAACAGAAAAAAACGCAAAATAAAAAAAAATTAACTTACCGTAAGCAAACACCACAGGATTATCACAATATCTGCATATATAAACTGTGATGCGACAAAGACAAACTATTATCGGAATCAAAATATTGTAAGTTTACTTTGTTCAACGATTATAATATGAAAATTTTTCAACCTGTATCTGCTGATATTGTTCACAAACTTATTGTTCAATCTCCAACTAAGTCTTGTCAACTGGATCCCATTCCAACACGAATTTTAAAGTCAATTCCACACTTGACGCCAATTATAACCAAGATTATCAACGCCTCCATGGCTAACGGAGAATTTCCTGATCAGTTAAAACAATCCCTGGTATGTCCATCTTTAAAGAAGCCTTCATTGGACCCGAACTGTCTCTCAAATTACAGACCGATTGCAAATCTATCTTTTCTCTCAAAAACAATCGAAAGGGTGGTCGCAAATCAAATATACAGATTTATGGCCGAGAACCAGTTATTTCCAGCGATGCAGTCAGCATACCGCAAATACTACTCCACTGAAACTGCTTTAATAAAAGTCTCAAATGACATCCTAAGAGCTGTAGATCAAAAAGAAGAAGTAGTACTTGTTTTGCTAGACCTTTCCGCTGCGTTCGACACGATCGACCATAACATATTACTTATTGACGGACAGTTTAGTGTAGAATAGTTTCACATGTGTGATTGAAACAGGCCGCAAAAAAGTACATTTCATATTTATGAGGGAAATTTGAGCAGTACGAGATATAATCTCTTGGTTCAAGACATAATAACTGAATTTGCTACTGACAGACTATCAACAGCTGAAATTAAGAGAGAGAAAACAGTTCGATGCCTGAAAATTTTTTAAATAATCTAAAAAAAGGTGCTATCTGTTCTTGAGTTCCATGAAATCTACTTTACTTGGAAAAGTGGGAGTGATTTTGAAAATTAGGAAGAGGAATCTAATGCGTTAATGCTAAACATACAAGATGCCGGGCTTTTTATGTACAGTTTTTTGCCAATCTTAGCTTTCAAAGTTGTTTGTCTTTTTTGTATAATTCTGAATTTTTACTGGTACAGTTACTGTGTCATTATTGTCAAAAATTGTACTCTGAGTCGTGTGATAATGTCATTGAACCCCGCGCTAGGGGAGATAATGAATTTTTTCTTTTTGCCATTTGCACTCACCACATCGGAGACGGACAACAGCAGGAAACTTTTCACTGAAACAGAGTATGCAAAATCATAAACGTTCCAATCCAGCCAGACCACAGCCAAATTAATGTTTTTCTGCAACAAGGGAGATAAATTTTGCTAAACAACCGAAACAACCAAAACAAACAACAACAACAATAAAGAGATATTGGGATCTTTGCCGCACAAATAACATCGATATGGACCTGGTAAATATGCAAGTTGTGTGTGCAAAAATTTAGGCTTAAAATCAAAATTCATCAGAGACATTTGACAGAGTGCCGGGTGAAAATTTCCTTGGGGGGGGAGGGGATGCACCAAATGACAGTGAAAATCTCAAGGATAGCCTTAGATTGAGTACATAATTACAACTGATAGTGGTGGATATTTCAGCTTATGCTTCACATTTATCTAGCCTCTGGGATCAATCCGCAAAAAACCTTGCAAATGTGTTTAAAACTGTGCGCCCATAACACATTCGCGGATGAAGTCAGCCGTGTCTAATAAAGTTTGCAGACCATAGGCGAAGATTATGCCAGAACGCGTAACTAAAATGCACTTTATAGTACAAAACCTAATGCCATCTCGATTTTTCTTTACTTACCGTGCCAACGGATATTAGCAATGACACATTGCATAGGAATGAAATCACTTTGATGGCGAGGGTTGCATAAGCCAATGCGATGATGGCTTTGAGGTAAAACAGAGAGAAAAAAAACAGACAACTTTAATCAAAACAAAGTTCAGAAAAGAATTCATAAAGCTCACTCACAACAATTTAAAGCAGGTTGATTTGAATAACAAATCCTTATTATCCCTTCAAAATACACTGCTGGAAAACACGCCATGGTTTAAACGACTTCTCCATTTGAGACTTGACGTGGAAACGTTGAATCCAGTCAAAACCATCCTTAAAATATGAATTTAATTGCTTACTGATGGCTCAAAAACGTGTTTGGCGACCAGCTTATTTTCATTATGGAATGAAAATATTGTCTTGGAACGTTCAAGTGTATCATGATTTTATTCCATAATTTAATGATATTTTTAAGATAAGGAAGGAGAAGTAGAAATACTTCCAATGTGCTTCTTGGCTACAGGGAGATATCCTTCGTAGCTGCCCCAGTCTATGATAGCCTGAGTGTACTTTATGACAGCTTTACTTTGGTTATAAAGCATGATTGCTTGGAAGATCTGAAATGGATATAAACACAGACATAAATTTAAAATGTTTTAAAGGTGTATAAACTATATCATGCTTGGCTTGCAGTGTGGCAACTGTTAATTTGTGCTACTCAAAATATTTTGCGCAAATTTTGTTTGGTTAAAAAAAGACGAAATTCATCGCGTTTATTTTGAATTTCCGCTGGACATGAAAAGTAGCACAGCTCGGTCTTAGTCAATACAGACTAAATATTCTGCTACATTGTCTATTGGAACTTTCTAAAAAATCCAATTTACGCCATGTGGCATGTACATACTCTTGTAAACAATAGGTATGTTTCAACCTTATATACTAGACTAAATAAAACCAATACGCTTGGCACACTAACACTACTTAGAGGGAACATCTCGAATAACATTGTGGCGTACGCTAGCAACGCAACGTGATGTAGCGCACGAAACTGTCAAAATTATTTTTTTAAAGTCCATATTGCTAGCAACTTGGGGTCACTTGGGTTATCACAAGCGACGTGGGTGAATTAATTTAGCGCACGTGCTTCGATGGATAAGTTCGGCTTGTAGGGCACTCGTGCTGGAGAGGGAATTATTTATTGATGCGTGACGTTGGCAGTCTGCTTTCTATCTAGATATTTTAATGGTGCGAAACGAATAATTGTGATACACATCACACTAACTATTATGATACAAAGATATAAAATTTATACAATACTGGGATAAAATTAATAAAAAATTCGGATAGTACTTTTATAACTGTATCATATAAAATATAGGAGTATAAATAAAAGTGGCTGGTGATTGTTAACCAAACAATGGAGTAGCTTAGAATAAAAAGCAGCCAAGGAGTTCGACTCCAAATTTCCGCAGGAAGTTTATTCCATAGTCTTTATAGAATAATCTTTATGCTTGAAGACCACGCGAATTTTTATACTTCTTCCCTGTCTAAGGTTATGCTTGATCACTCCTTTTCTATAACTTGCAGACGAAAGCGTATAATTTTATCAAAATGAGTAGAAGTGGAAAGTGCGTGTTCAAGTTATTCAATATTTATATAGCATTTTTTTTATTCATTTACTTTTATTTAAGCGGCGTTCGCGATGTGACTTTCGGTTTTTCACTTTTCGCTAGTTTTAGTTTTCATTTTATTCTATTTTTTTAAGTCAGAATCTGCAGATGGCCCAGACCAGAATTTTTTATTTCTATTTTCCCTTATTTTTCTATCTATGAGGTTTCACGATTTTCGTTTGTCTTGAAATTTGTCGTCTAAATCGATAAACACTGCTCTACCACTCCTTATTACCTCTGAGTTGTATTATGACCCAAAAATAAATAATTCAATCTTCACCAACAGTGTAGCGATATTAAGAAATATCCATGACCGCTCGATACACTTTTTAAAAATTACTAAAACTGGGCTGTTTGTAATATAATTTGACAAATTAAAGTGTTGTAATTTATAGATAATTATTTTAACTCACCAGGCCGAAGATTCCAATAAGCAACGCACCGTCTCGTAGACTGCATCCGCAGCAACATATTTTCACTAAAACTGCCATTGTGGATAAGTGGAAATATCTCTTCTTCGATTCTTCAAACTAAACTGAACCACATCGAAACTGCCGGAAGGTTTTTAACTCGCTTGCTCTCAAGATCCAATAGCAAATTCTCCGTGTTGACCTTGATTTCTGGACGGATCGACTTGTTGATCTATCTCCATATTCCCAACTCCTTTTTATTGACAAAGTATTGAGTTTATAGGAGGAATTTGCATTCTGAATCTTTATGGGCGTCAACAGCTTAATATAATTGCCGAGGTACGTTCCTGTTTTCAGTCAAGCACTTGGTCATTACTGACAATGTCAACGTGCGTTATCTCCTGCTCACTTAAACGAATTTTGATGTTGCGTTGCCTATTAAAAAACCGGATTTTTCCATTGCTGCGCAAATTACTGTATGGACTTCTGATGAATACAACTGATAGATTACAATTTTCAACTGACGTAGATTTTAGTCTGTCGTTTTTGTGTTAGTGGTTCGGTTGTGCATCGGTGGTTCTGAGTTAGTTATTGAACAATGCCAGAGTTAGATCAAACATAAGTCCTAGTCAGTAGATATCCATACTATTGCAGCTAAAATTATATTTAAGGATTCAGAGTATTCTCCGTTTTCAGTGAAGGTGAATTTACGCAGGTGTACGTTAGATGAAGCAACCAAAAATTGTTCTCAAACTGTCATATCAAGAAATGGTCCATTGTTCCAGGTGAACTTTTCCATTAAGCATCAAAAAAAAGTCCTGAGTAATTGGTAGTCCTCAGGGACTTTGGCCGAAGGGAGTTGGGAAAGCTCGTAACTGATCGAGAAAATTATCGGAGTGACAATTTTGCTGCACTGGGGGAGTGGGTAGTGTAAATATGTAAAATCAATCTCCATCGGTGTAGAGCCAAAGGTTCGCGAATTCAAAAATAATTAAAGTTATCCGTATTGCAGTGACTCATTTAAACCACCTCTCTCCATATGTAAGTTAAGTCGCCTAGTAAAAAATCAACGCACAAATATATTTTTTGGTCTTACTACTGGTGTTAAATGCAATCGAAAGTGACTATTTTCTGTGAGAGCCTCGAGGCGATTAAAGACCTTGTTTCTAGCGCACAGCTGTTTTCAAACGAGGCGCTCATTTTTTAGAACCAAAATGTTTACCTAACACGTGGATCCTCCTTTGCAAAAGCGCCGAATCCGTGTAACTTTGTTGATGATACAAGATATACTGATGAAAGCAACGATTTCTAGTTTTTGCAAGAGCATGTATTTGAGTTGAGACTCCACTTGTGATTTCTTTCGATTTCTTTTCAATTTTTTAAATTTTTTTTGCAACTTGCATTGCTCTAGGGTTAGATACCGGTGGTTACAGTAGTTATGTGGAAATCGAAGAGTTGCTTCAGTGTGACTGATAAAACTTAGGAATGATACGATTGTTTCTGCTTTTCTGTTTGATAATACCATCTGACCTTATTTTTATGGAAAGTACATAATAGCCCCGAGGGATCGCATGTGATGATTGAGGCTAAAACTCCGTATGGAAAACTCTCTTAACATCGCGTCCTGTGAATTCAATGTGTCAGGGGACTGGTTCCCAAGCATACGTGTCTTTTAGCATGTCTTATTTACGGTGTGCCCAACCGAAGAAAAAAAAAGCGATAACTACACCTTCTGTTTAAAATCTTTATAAATTGTTATTCAAGTGACTGGTAAACTGAGAAGAAAAAAAAAACTCGAACTTGTTTACAATGAACTAGAAATTCATTATGTGCACCAAATACCATTTTCCATTGAATGATTTTATATCATAGCTTTAAATTTCATCATCTCGGCAAATATGTTCCGCTTTGCTGACTGCGTTTCGAAAAATATTCCCATTGAAGCGATGATAGATCAAGCATCTCGTTTTCTTCTCCAGGCTCTTTTCAGAATGTAAGCAATGATTTTGTTAGGGAAGGGGAGACAAAGATGATATTGGTTAAGGAACTAAATTCTAAATCTCATTCTGCCCCACTTCGCGAATCATACTCAGTGTTAACTGTCAAATTCAGATACCTAGCCATAGTGATAGCCAATGATCCCACCTGATAAAAAAAGTAGGATATTTTTCATAGCACTCATCTTTTAGGTATCACGAATAACACAGCATTGTCTAATAAAGTGGGAGATTCTTGCAAGTAAAAATATCTTCGTTTTTTGTGACACTGACTGAATTTACCCGGGGTATGTACGTGAAACGGTTGAAACCACTACCATCAAAGGTGGCAAATTGTGCACCAAGCAGCTTTAATTCAAATGAGTTCACCATTTTGAGCGACTAAAAGTTCAAAATTGGTCTCTTATGGATCTTCGGAGCCCTTAGCAAAGATTAGAAGTATGCATATAAATCTTACACAAGATTTTAGAGTAACTTTTTAAAGTGCTTCGGAGTGTCGGTAATACTTCTCAATTCAAGATATATTCAGAAACTCTCTATTTAGGTGCCACTGAGAAATTAAAATAACATATATATATTTTTTATTAATAGGAAACTAGTAAGAGGGGTAAATTTAGTGTAAGTACATGTTGCAATTAGAGACGAGACGAACAGAACTTGGACGGACCAAATATACGGGCTTCAAGAAACGTGGTATGACTTACAGAACAATAAAGCTGGGGAAATAGTGAAAAGCTAATGAAACAATATGTACTCATTGGCTAAGCTGAAGGCCTGACACGGGACAATATTTGGCGCATGATAATGACCAGCGGAGCGAGACTAGCAAAGCAGGGCCGAAGGTGGGTTGATTATAAAATTGTGTTACCCATGGCTTTTACAGCTAAGCCAGACGGATAACAGAGACTACATCTCTACATTTGTCTTTTTTCATATCTTAATGGACGCGATGCAAATATCGTTAGCACCTTCGATCAGTGTGCACCTGTGACAATGGTTGCTGGGGTGAAACGAAGACAAAAAATAAAAAGAGCAGCTGTATTGATCCAGTTTCAAAACTACTTTCAAGGTAATGATAATTGACGGAAATGTCAAAAATTGTGTCAGTCTTGAAACTATTAAGTAAACAAAAATGATTGAAATTAGAAACTTTATTGCTTTTCGTGGCAAAAAGAGCAATATGAAGGGCTCTGACGAAGGGCTAACGCTCGAAACGTCAGATTTTAAACTCTTTACGGTGGCCAATGTACGTTATGAACTCAGTTGATAATACTCAATTACCCTCGTTCTCAATTTGTCGGCAAAGTATGGGCAATTATTTGTAAGCGCAAGCTTTTACGGTTGATAGATAGCCACTTTACTTAAAATAGTTCTCCCTGCCCTCTTAGGAGAATTTCCAAATAACAAACCACGGTTTATTTTGCGTAGCTCAAAGTAGAACTTTAAAATTTTTAAACTCAAATCATCAGTTTTCATGTTTACTTAGTAATAGATTCATGGTGGTTTCGGAGATTGAAATATTGGTATTATCGCCTGGATAAATAAATGAATTGCATGTTTCATGGGTTTCCCTTCCCCATCTTATCTGCCCACGTTGTTAATTAAAAAAATTATTCTCCTCTTCGGAGGAGTGACAGTTGCACTTTAAAAAAAAAAAAAAAAAAAAACTATTATCTGTGTTGTTTAATTGAAGACTGGCATTATTGACGTCAAAACATCCATTAAATTTTCCAGCCATCTTAAACGACACGAAACTACCTTTTACCTCATTCAGTGACTTAACCCTGATCCAACTACACGAATCACTTTCACGTCAGTGGAAATCACGAAACAAACGTGAAATGTTGGCAATGAAAGATATCTTCGTGTTCGTGACATTAGCCGCATCAATACAGGGTAAAAAGAAATCAATGCAATTTATTGCCTGATGGCTTTTTCTATACTGATCTCTCGCATGTGCGATCGTCATTTGTGTTCTGAGAGGAGGCTCATTTCCCAAAAGTCAATTTACACGGTTGAATGAAGGTGTGAATCTTTTATCTGCCTAAAAAGGCACACTTTGGGATCGAGTTTGTCTATTAGTAACATTATTGTAAAAGTATAAACATTTAATTTCAGTTATCGCAAATATACAAGATTGATTTGGAATCTGAGTTCATTTTGGCGTTTCCGAACGCTTCCCAATCAAGTTAGGTAAATCTTTCACTTTACCTACTCAGAAGTTCTCCTAATTTACTCGCGCTGTATGCTCCTAACATTTTTCTGAGAATTTTTTTCTAAAGGCCTCAGGGTGGATAAAATGTTACGCGCAGTTTCAAATCAAAATTTTCTTTCCCTATTACTAACGAGCCACTGATTGGAGATTCTAAAAATTCGAAGTATTCACTTAACGCTGTAAAAGTATCACTTCTTAGCCAATTTCAAAGTCAATTCACTTTGAACATCGAGGATATGATTTCTAGTTTCCTATTCCGCAAATCTCACGGCAATCATGATTTTGCGTACCGAGAAAGCATGGAGACAAGTTATAAATTTTAACGTAAAGCAAAGTCTTTGTGTTTGATATTCATGCATATGACTTACATTCTGTTCCCTGTTCTGGTTAGAGATAACTTGAGCAGTGGCATCGTCTCTTATTTTCAAATGGAAGCTATCATCCGCATTTTAAGTGGCAATCAACTACAGCCCGTCTTTTTTGTTGTACTGTAATTAGAGATCAGACTCTTTCATATTCAAATGCCCTTTTTATATAGATTATTTTTCAATTACTTAAGAATCAGAGCTAAAAGAAAAAGATTTACCATTAACATTTCTCCAGCAACCACTCCTGGGTCGCTGTTTGTGAGCAAATCATAGTTACGTCCGCATAGAATTCCCTCCCCCGTTTCCCTTTGATTTAAGTCTCTTGTGTTTTCGCACATTTTTTAATTAAGATAAACCAAATAATTATTTGGGTTGAAAAGAGTTTAGATTAAGCATTAATGTTTTTCATAGAAAACTAAATTGAAATTGAGGCTAACATCAGCAATGTAATAAGCAATGACCTCATAGGTTATGCTGTTTTAAAACTGCGAAACAGCTTCTTAACTTTATTTTGGCCAAATTAAAATTCCAATTTTGAGAGTATCCGAGATGAAGGAAGGACTACAACCTCGTTGCAACACGCGGGGAGAGACAGCAAGGGGTCCCTCCCTTTGGATAAATTTATTCCTTTGCATAAAGAGGACCACACTATCTTTTGTTTCTCTGTTCAGCTTCTTTGCTAAATTTCTTCATGAATATTAAAAAAAAAATGAATTACGTCCCCTCACAGAATATGTCTAGAATGAGGTTACACACTTTCAGGATTATTGGGTTAAGAAATTCTTGGTAAGTTAAGATTTAAAAATGGGAAGATTCCTGGTTAAAAAGTTATACCGTATTCCATACTGATGTTTAGATTTTTAACAACTTGATCAGCTCAATTGGGATCGCAAAAATTACATTTGACCGAAACCAACGTAGCCTACAGCAAAGTGGTCTTTTTCATGAACTTCCATCTCGCACCAATTATAGTTCTCAATCGATCAAGTAAAAGTTCACTATTGCTTGTGTATTGGCATTCTTTCCATGTGACTTCTCTTTCTTGTACACTGCTTTCCTCGAAAAACAAGTTTTTGTCGTGAATCAAGTATTAGGATTTCTGCAAAGCCCGGTATTTTTATTAAATTACGCATAAAGTTTTTGGATAAGAAAACAATGGCATAAACAATAGATTGCCTCTGAGACTTCGGCTTTGTTTTACAGCAGTATGGGGCTGTGTGTGCAGAATTCTTAGCAGGATTCTCTCTACTGATGATTTGCAGCAATGGTTGTGCCTCTTGCAAGAAACTTTCTTTCTGTTTGTACTCGACCACTACAACGTTCTATTTTACCACCTTGCTGTTCACTATCCAAACATTATTTAGACCAACAAGGTGTGCAAACAAATACAAACAAAAGAAAGAAAAAACTATTCTGAAAATGCTAACTAGTGAAAGTGAATCAGCGAATTTACAAAGCACTGTTACAATAAGGACTAGTTACAACTGTTCTTCTAAATTATACATTTTCAACAAGTATTCAAGTAAACCAAAGATAGCTCCAAATTAGATACATTTACATAATAGTCGCCATTTATGCTGCATGTATTATGGGTGACGTTAAAACATCCTTGAATCTGCTGATTCTGTTTTCAATGACAATATCCTGATTGTACCACACGAATAAATAGGCACCACGAAGAACGAGAGTGAAAGAGGTTTTACAGAATAGCTCACTTTTAAACAAGGCTTTGGAATCTCTAATATATGCTAGCAACCAGTAAATTTCTTAACACTCGTAAAAATTCATGAGCGAAACCGAACGTGTTCCTTTCTAGAGCCTTCATCACGAACGCGACATCGGGTAAACTCGGATTTCATCGGTAATCGAAATCGATTCGAGATGATTTTCTTCTTCATTCTCATTGGCTTGTCATACCAGGTGTGATACAGTAGACGTCAAAACATTCATAAATTTTCCAGTTGTCTGGTCCCACATTCATTAACGTTCTCTTGACTGCACCGTGCGAATAACTTTCACGTAAGTGGATACCACGAAAAACGAGACTGTCACCCGAAACAAAGGTGAAATGTCAGCGGAAAAAGTCAGTATCGTCTTCTTCGTAATGCTAACTGCATCAACACGTGGTAAGTGGTACTTTTGCGGCTGTTAACAGTTCGCATTCTCTCAAATGATTTCTCGCATAGGCGACCACCATTCATTTTCCGAGAGGATGATCATCTGCCCAAAATTCAAAGATTCTTGATAGATTATAGAAAAGACGAGTCACACGGTCAAAAGAAAGTGAAATGAAACGTGAAATGGAATCAAATAGACCCTTTGGAATCAGGGGAGGCTGGTACGATATCACAGAAACACATACAAACAACATTGATCATTAGCATGCAAATAGGCATTATCAATATTGCAGCTGTATTTCTTTTGGTGTTTGTGCACATTTTCCTCTCATATTGGGTTATCCTTTCACATCACAATATACCTTATTGTATTGTGTGCTCCACAATACAATTGTCAGTAGATTTCTATGATATCTTAGCATGGACCGAACGTTACACGCAAATTTATCAAACAATTTGTTTTTCTTTCCTTGGCCTTCATTTGTAGCAAAGGACAAGGTCTTTAATGGCTCGACATGACCTTTTATTCGAAAGGTTCACTTTAAGCAATGAACACATCAACTTCTTTGCCAAACTTTTGAGTTCATTTGCATATGTAACCGAGTTTCGTCTTAAAACACTTTTAGAAAATCCTACTCTACACTTAATTGAGACAAGTTATGGGATTTATTTCAGGACAATTAAGACACCTCGGAATATTATAGACATGCAATATGGATTTCCTGTCCACTTTGAAAGTAACTTGAGCAATTAAATCTTCTCCCACGAAGTTTATAATTAAAGTTCTCGTCAGCATTGGCAACGAGCTTTTGGATGCTTTGTTGTTAGTAACTGCGGAACAGCTTCTTCTTTATCTTCAGGTTACAAATGGATAATACTAGAATTACGCCCACGAGGTTGCTCTTTGTGCGAAAAAGTTATTCTTTAGGCTCCCCGCACTGAGTTCTAAAACATACGTACGTGATTTGTCATCCCCCTTTAGCGTCTCATACAAGCATTTTCAAATCAATAGCACCAAAAGTATATCGTCAAAATCAACACTTAAGCAAAGGAGTATGATTTAATGGCTACCAGCGAACTTATGACTAATGCTGCAGAAACCAAGATAGGCGCCGTCCAGATGGACTGTGAGGCTTGTAAGTAACATCAAAATCACCTTAATTTAAACATTGCAGGATTCGTACTAAACAATACGCCGAAAGAGGACAATTATGGAAAATACGGCCCGTTTGAGGAACAGCCAAAAGTTCGATGGGGCGTCGTCATCCGCCGCCCAAGTTTGCCAGAATCTCCATCCACTGTTGGCACAACATTTCACTTGTTTACCAGAGGTGGCTCTTGGACAGTTGATGATGAAGATTATAACAAACTGAGGGCCTCAGACTTCGATATCTCGCGACGCACGATATTCATAATTCACGGTTTCGGTGGTGAGTATCTATGAGTGCCCAAACCGCGTAAGCAAAAGGAAATGTGTCTAACCACACTTATCGGCCGAACTTTTTACTGTAAATAATAAACAAATTCTGACATACATGCATAGAAGCCAAGAGTTAAGGCACAAACAAATTATTTTGAAAAGAAGTGAATGATTCCATAGATAGGCATGTGATTCGATATATGGCTATTTTTTATTTCTGTTTTGGTTTCTTTCTGGTTTTGTCTTTCAGATGTTTTACTTCGTTTGCCGCTTGTTTCGCTTAATTTCATTTGTTTTTGAAGTCAATTTATTCATAACGAAACGTTATCGCAAATTTTAAAACCTATTTATAACATTTTATTGTACTTTCTATATATTATATAGAAAGTAAAAATACCTGGGCGGAGCAAATGAAAGGTGCCCTCCTAAAACGAGAAGACTGTAATGTGATATTGGTAGACTGGTCTGAAGGAGCAAAAAACCAACCAAGCGTTGATGTCTTAAAGGGCTATCTTCAAGCTGCAGGGAACACTCGACTGGTAGGGGCTCAGGTAGCAGAGCTGATAAGGTTCCTGATTTCTAGTGAGTCTGCGCCACCTGACTCAGCCAAGAAGTTCTATATTGTGGGATTTAGCCTTGGCGCCCAGGCCGCGGGGTATGCTGGGAGTTATTTGTGGAATAAAGCCGAGATGTCGCTTGGTCGCATTACAGGTACGTTTTGACAAAAAAAATTGTTTTAGATAATGACATGCATTAAACTCCCAACGAAAACCTTCGCTGCTGAAATAAGTTCTCATAATTACGCCAGAAACCGTCTTGCTGACTGAATTTTCAGACCATATTTACATTTACAAACGCAGTGCGCAAGGTGAGGGCATTTTGGCCTTTAGATTCCGCGCTTAACGTTGTTTTGAATCCTCAGTGGAGAATAAGTCACTTTTTGGTCCTCGCATTTCATGGTCGAGTATTCCAGAAAAAAATCGGACAGAAGTTTAATAAAGTAAATTGAATTTATGGGAAATTTTTATTAATGAAATAATTTTTTCAATTGATATGTCTGGCAAATCAGCCAAGGAAAGGAAAACTATGTCGTTTATTAGCTGGGGGGGTCATTATTCATTACAGGGGGGTTGTGGAGGATTTTGGAGGATGATATGGTTCTCAAGGGGAATAGAGTGGGGGTCAATTGATGCTAATAAACCGATGAAGTGGGGATCAAACAATACCAGAGAGCCTTAAGGGAGGAAGGGTAAATTTTATCGTGACACTCCCCCCCCCCTCAACCAGGTGATAAATAATGACTTTGAAAGCTTGCTAATAAATGCTCTCAAAAATCTTTGACCTGAACGCGTTGATTATTTCTCTTCACAGGATTAGATCCAGCTAATCCCTTTTTTAGGAACGCTGGCGTTAACTACCGGCTCGATCCAAGTGACGCTGAGTACGTTGACGTCATACACACTGACATGGATGCCGCCGGGACAGATAAAGTGACAGGTCATACGGACTTTTATCCAAATGGAGGAAAAAATCAGCCTGGTTGTAAGCACCATTGGTTTGGGCTCGGTACGTAAATTAGTCATAAAAAGCAAATCATAACCTTGAGTCACACGACGTTAAGCATTTTGCATTCACTCCGAAAAAGCTGTCCAGGATTAAGCCTAGTAGTCAGGTAGTAGACGAAACGAAAATTACTAGTTGACACCGACCTCAAATATACGCAGCTCTAGATAACAAAAAACAGGTCTTTTACTCAAGTATAAGATAATTAAAGTTCGAACATGGCAAAAAACGTCTGAAAATTGAACTTTGCACATATTTCTGTGGAGTGTAATCGGCATAGATTACTGATTTCAGTCAGTCTAATAAAGTGGCAGTTTTCTTTTTAATAATCACATCGCAAGTTAACGAAAACTAAAGCAATTTTGGGCTCAATTTTCTCCAGACGTGTTGAAGGCTCTCGCCTGTGACCACATGAGAGCTACAGAGTACTATATTGCATCAGTTGTTTCAGCGTCAGACAAACCTGATTGCTCCTGGAGGGCGTATCCATGTGCAAGTTATTCTGACTTTGAGAAAGGAAGGTGTTTGACATGCAAGGGGGAATGTCCCATTGTGGGATACTTGGCTGACCAAACAGAACGAAGAGGAAAATTTTACCTTAAGACGACCAGCAAATCTCCTTTCTGCGGTATGTAGGCCTCATTTATTCCTCTGGGTCTTCAGAAAAAATGTTTAGAAGTACATCATCTAAGATTTATGGTTTAACCATATCACTTTGATTTTCGAAATTTAAAATGTATGCGCTAGCTAATGATACAGACCTTCGCAATTCGGAAAATACCCTCGCGTGAACAAAGTATTTTTAAGTAACTTGTGTCGTAATCTTTTATGCTCTATAGGGTTGAACTAAAGTATCTCCAAAGACAAGAATGCTGTTTAATTCACTGATGAGGATATTCTGCTGCTTCCATGATGGATAGGGAAATACAATTATGTTGTTGTGGTGGTTTAAACAATAATTTCTTAAACAATTCATTAAAAATAAACTAGTGAGCAGCACTTTGCAAACAGTTGTTGTAAAACTTGTTTATTCTCCAACGCGTATCGTCCAACTGTTGTAGACTTCTTCAGGAAGTAAACACGAAACGTCTGTATTTATTAGCCGAATTAAGCCGCTATAACGTGGGACAATGACCATAAAGGCTTGACCGGATTTACGAGCAGGAACGGGCGAAATTGTAAAACTATTTTTGAATACTTTTTCAGAGCAAGGTGAAAAAAGATATTTTGGGGCCCCTTTTTTAGCTGAGAAACAAAATAAATTGCCACTGCGATAGAAAAATGCGATAAGGATTTACATCTGTTTTGTTTTTTGTTTTTGTTTTTGTCTTTGCTTTTCTTTTTCCAATGTAAACTTGAGGATTCGAACAGGCGGGTATTCAAAATTGGACCATGGCCGAAACTCTGTTTTGATGGAAATATTGGGGGGGGCCAAAGGTAAAGGTCACGAAACACTTTGTTGCGATAGGCAATTCCTGACCTTTCAAATTTTGCCAGCGTTCTATTGTCTGATGCAAAGAGCCTATCATTAAAAACACTGACGATATAGCATAAACTTAAAACAACAAAAGCTACTATCATCTCCAAACCAGAGTTAAGATGACACCCAATTCAATGATAAGTGTCTCGTCTCGATACTGATGAATTCGACAAATCGACCTTTTTTCTAGTCAAAGAGTGAGGTAAAAAGCAAAGTAAAAAAGAAGCAGACGGATAAAACCTGTTAGAACTGAAAAGCCCCCAACATAAAGAAAAGGATAAGGAAGATAAAATAGTTTTTAATTTCATTTCTGAGCCAGCCTGCGGATAATGATTACTCAGCTGTTTCGACTTTGAGAGAGTGTGTCGTGCTTTGTTGAACATCAGTACTGATATATAGCTCGCTTTACTTTCCATTCGAGTAAGACGTCTCGGCTCGGTGTTCACCTGATAGTTATATATAGACATGCCTTAACTCAGTAAATAAAGAAATAATGATATGCTCCGCTTCTTGTAAAATAAAATATTTTTTATGAAGGTAAGTAAAATCGATACATTACAAAGCCTATCGAAAAAAAGATTTATGAAATACGCTCTTGTTATTTCGGAATATTTACGTTTTTAAGCTGATCAAATAGATTACAGGAGGAAGTTTGATTTTGAATTTTATTATTGATTTCCCCGACTGAAAATTAACCTCTCCAAAAATCTACAGTAAACAGAGAAACGATTTAATAGGCCGAGATGGCGGTTGGATGAAAGTGGAATGAGATCGAAATCAGTTTGCATAAAGCATCAAATAAGCAACTGAAACATCACAAATACGATTGTATTAAGCAAAGTTATGAAGGGATCTTTGGTTCCAGAATTAAGACGAAATGTTAGGGAAAAACTTACTCTGAACGTTTGAACAAATTTCTAATTTCTATTACTCTCTTTTCATGATTGGAACAAAAAGATAAAGTTTTCAAAACCTCTCACACCTAGTGACGTAACGGAAACGAAAATCAAACAATATCTCCTACTGAGTTAAGAATTAGTTTTTTATTGTTAAAACAATCAATTTTGTTAGTTTGCACAGCTGAGGTCTTTCTTTGATACAGTAGTTCAAAATAAGATTACTTTTGTAGCAGAGTTCATCTGTGAATCACAGTAAGTCAATCAGGTACCACTATTGCATCAAAGCCACTGTGGGACGAAAGTAATGAGCGCTTTTCTATTTATAATCACCTTCATACTAGCAGGGTTGAGGGGCGGTGAGTAGTAACTATATAAAATTAAGACGTGTGTTTTTTCCCTTTTCTAAGCTATTTTGCACAAAGCGTAATAACGCAGCTGAGAGTAAGTGTATATACTTTTCCTTAACAATCTAGTTCTTCTATTCTATGAGCACGCTTACATTGTGTTCGGAGAAGACAATTTAGTCCTCGTAAAAAAGTTAGAACTCATCTAAAACATAGCTTCCCAGGTTTATATCGACCAAACTCTCCGTTTATGTACTCAAAGTGAAGTATTGGGTTCATAAGCGTTGCTTTGATGTTTGAAAATTCGCCGATGAGACTTCAGCCCAGTGTCAATGCGTTTAATTGGAAGAAAGATGAACAATAAAATTTGTACAATAATAATAACGATAAAGAATAACAGTAAAGGATATGTTAAAGCTAAAATAAAAGACAAAGACATGATTGAACACAGTGTTTCATGGCACAAGGGAATGATTGAAAAACAAAATGACCTCTGAAAAGATTCATATATGTTTATTTAATACTATCATAGCTCTTAGCTGTGTATTTCTAAATATCCTTGGCGCTTTAGAAGGATGCTTGCCTTCAGTTTTATTTATTAAGTTTCAAATACGATATTTCAACACTGCTGATCATAGCAAAAAAATTTGATGCATTGCCTAGGTTTCCCAGCTTTCTTGAGTTCTTTGTAATGAAGGATGATGATCTAATTGCTCCCAGTAGGAGTCAAACCTACGACATTCCGATTATTACTTCGGATGCTGTACCACTGAGCCTGCTATGAGAAACTCATGGCAGGCAAGGCTGTTTAACTATGTCCATAGAGACAAACTTCCTGCTTGCTACCAGAATAGGAAAATCGATATGTGATGCTTCAGCGCAATAATGATGTAAATGAAAATGGTTAATTTAAGCCTGAAGCAAAATCAAAAGTGTGATTTTGGAAAGAAATCATGTTTCTTTGCCTCCACTTTCTTGACATCACGGGCAACATCTTTATATCTTTTTTTATTGCACCTGGATTAGCTAAAAGTACAAGGTGCTATGGAAAGTATGGATGCTACAGCAACAAAGCACCTTTCAACAGAATCGCTCTACTTCCTCTACCCCCCTGGGTAGTCAATCCCAAATTTCGCCTCTACACCAGATTACATCCAGACACTCCACAGTTTATCGATGATAACGATGTGACCAAACTTCAGCAGTCGAACTACAATGGAACGAAAAAAACCGTTTTAATAGTCCATGGATATGTTGGTGAGCTTGCTATTGTAAAAAGAATGATAGAATGTTTCTATGTGGCCTTAGGAAATTGTATCTTTTGTCAGCTCAATCGAGAATAGAATATTGGATATTTTGTAATAAATTCGCCGTGACAAGGCTTACGGGACCATTCATTATTTATCACTAGAGGGGGGGGGGGGTTCAGAGGATTTTAGCCGGAGGGGGGGGAGAGGACACGGTTTACGGTTTTACGGGAAAACAGAGGGAAGGTCAGTCATCACCAAAAGAGTATAAAGGGGGACTATAGAAAATTGACTGAAAATTGACTGCCAATGGAAGTGGATCATAAGAATGTTACAGAGCCTTTAGCAGGGATCAGGTAAACTTTCTCATGACATAACCAAAATCATTCTAATGACCGGTCCCTAGGAGAATACTTTTGGAACGAAACAGAAAGTCATGCCATGGCCCACTTGGGAGATGATGGGAGAGGAGTGGGTGGAGATAGCAGATTTATGTCAAATCGAAGGGAGGATTATCTTGACTTAGTAGTAACTTAGTAGTTTTGTAAAACTATTAATTTTTCTTGATTATTGTATATATATATATATGAAAGTTGGACAAGTCAATAAGACATGACTTTTCTGTGACTCTAAGTCTCACGCTTACGCTATCATCAACAGATTTTCATATGTATATCAACGGAATATATATATACATATATATATATATTTATATTTACATACATACATATATATATATATTTATATTTACATACATACATATATATATATATATATATATTTATATTTACATACATATATATATATATAAGTTTTTATAAATAATACTTTTTAGGGCCTTCTCAGATGAAGAGCCACATCTTTTTATGTGAATATGTTGTGAATAAATCATCATCATCATTATTATTATTATCAAAATTTAACCTCGAATGATGAGAAATGATAATTAATTTTTATAAAGCTCTGAGAAAGAAAGAAAGAAAACAGGACTTCATTACTACAGATTTATTTATTTGTGATATTTTTCATTTTTATGATTACAACTCTTGGCCACGCTTTTAGAAATCAGGCCTAAATGGATGGAATACATAAGAGATGGCTTGCTAAGGAACTTTGACTGCAATGTGATATTGGTAGACTGGTACACAGGCAGCCTTCCACCCTATGTGCAGGCAGCAGGGAACACACGCCTGGTAGGCGTCATGATAGCAGAGCTGATCAAGTTCTTAATATCTAAGGCCCAAACCTCCGTGGAGCTATTTCACGTTGTAGGCTTTAGCCTTGGTTCTCATATCGCTGGGTATTGTGGGACAAGATTGAAACAAGAGGGGCTCATATTGGAAAGGATAACGGGTGAGTTCGGAATAGAGTACGCATGCTCTAATCGCTTGTTAAAGGCAAGAACTACATTCATTTCTTCATTTTTTTGATGATTACTAATTCATTTATTCATTATTAATTTATCGTAAATCAATTATTCATTTATCTATTTCTTTATTATTTATTATACTTTACGTATCTAAAAGCTATTTTTCTTCTTCTTGCAAAATCTGCGAAGGCCTGGACCCCGCTGGGCCACTGTTTTCAACAACACACCTCCTAGTGAGACTGGATCCCAGTGATGCTCGTTTTGTCGACGCCATCCACACAGACGGTGACCGCTTTGGTTTGTATCAAACTTCCGGTCATTTGGACTTTTATCCTAACGGAGGATTGGACCAAACAGGCTGTGCAAGTGTCAGTAATGGTAATCAATTTATTGTGCATGATGGATTCATTGATTATTTTATGGAAGAGCGGCCTGCAACAACGTTGTTGTCATTGTTAACGTTGTTTGTCACCGATATCGGACCCTTGCCCAGGATTATACTACGCTATCGGCTTTTTGTCATGGGTTGAATTCTTGTCTTAATACTTTATAATCAATTATTTATATTTCTTTTCAGGTATCCTGAGTCCTCTTTTGTGTGATCATTTTCGAGCCACAGATTACTTCATTTACTCGCTGTCCCAGCAATGCATGCATTCCATGAAAGGATTTCCTTGCAGTGATTCCAACGGATTTGATCGTGCCCGTTGTCTCCAATGCAAAAATGGAAACTGTCCTGATATGGGATATAACGCTGAGAAGTACAATGACGGCGGTGGTAAAATACTGGGAAGACATTTCCTATATACCACCAAAAGTGTACCATTTTGTGGTAAATATCTTGTTAATCGTCTTTTGTTCGGGTCTGATAATCTAGACGCTATTATACCAAAGAATGACCCTCGTAGCCCCGAGGAAGGGAAGCTATGAAAAATGTTAGGCCAAGAGGGAGAATTTTCTGAAATTAATTTCACATCCTTCGAAAATCATCGCCGTTTCTTATCGGTCATGTTTTACTAATTTTGGAGCTTTCTTCTTTGATAAAAAGGATATACTAAGTAATTTCTACGGAAAAACATTACTGAACTGTCCCAGATCAGCTCTTCATATTCAAATTACATTTCCTTGCTAAAAATTGGTGTATAAACGAAATTTTACAAGGGTACCAACTAGACGACTCCTATACGACTGTTCGTCGTAATTTCCAACCGCTATTCAATTTCGCTAACCAAATTTTTTCAGAGAAATTTTACACTCTTTTCTACCTCAATTTTCTCATTGCAGTTCCTTATTACACCATGATCACATTCAAGACGTCTTGGTCGTGGCTAGTGGGGTTATTTCGGGCTCGCATTGTCGTCAAATTAATTGGATCAAACGGAGAATCTGATTACATGCAGCTTCAAAGGTATCGAAATCCAGTTTGAGAAATATGACCTTTTACAAAATAACGATGACAACTTTCTTGATATTCCCTAAGACGGAAATACATTTGTTTTATAAAGATTAGTCTGTTTTCTCAATTGTCAGTCGTAGTCTGAAGCGCGGTAGTGATGAAACCTTCGTAATGCCTGGATTAAAAAAACTGGGGGCTTTGCAGAGAATTCAAATACAGCAGAAGTATTTATCCTGGCTGTTAAAATGGAAACTCATCAAAGTTACTGTGATGAAGTCTGGATGGACCGGAACGCAATCAGACAGGAGCAACACACAGTCGTGAGTTCATTTTGGATTGAATTTAATTTACAAAGTGAAGGGGTTATATCACCGATTAGTTACAAATCTTCTTTCAATTAACCAACTCTTGCTCCATCCATCCATCCACTCTTTCGTTAAATTGTCATTTTTCCTTCTTTTTCAATATCCATATCTTTTAGTATTCGTTTATTCATCACACATTATTCCTCTTTCCGTCGACGCATTTGCCTTCCCTTTAAATATTCGTTTTTCGTTACTTGTTGTCCAGTCAAGTTTTTAATTCAATCTGTGGTTACTTCTCTCAAATGTTCTATCGTGAGTTCGTCCGTTCATCCGTCATTTATCAATCACTGTTTATCTATAACTTTCCTAATAGATATTCAGCTTGCTTCAACGCCTTTGTGGGAAGCAGAGGAGTCTTGCGGAATCTACAGCACGGAGATGTATCTTGTTGAAAGTTGCAATTGTATCTGTTTCATTAAGTCTTCTGAAAAGCCATTGTTGATTCGTGATTTTTCATGATGTGTTTTCGGTAATAAACGGGCCAAAAGAGGGGAGAATGAAAAAGAATAGATATGAACAAAGAGAAATAAAAGTAGACACATATGAGAGTTACAAATTTTACATCTGAGTTCCAAAACAACAATTATTTGAAATAAACTTTATTAAGTCATTCCAACAAGTTAATTTTTTATGTGTATTTAATGTAGTAGGTCGTTGTTTTCGTTTCTTTTGATCACGTGAGATTAGCGACTGTAATAGATTAATCATCTTCATTCTACAAACTCCGTACTTTAATTACTAGTAACAAACCATCAACCGTTAAGTTGTCATTCGTTTCTTTTGAGCACGTGAGACTAGCGTCTGTAACAGATTAATCATTCTCACTCTGCAAACCCTGTACTTTAATAATAAATAACGAACCACTAACCGTTAAGTTGTTATGCTCCTCTCTCTGCCCCCTGTTGAGTGTGGGAAGGAGAGAAATTTTTCTGACAGTGCATCAATTTGTTAGGAAGAGCTACGTCACGTACTGTGCGTCTTGAAAAAAATGGCTTCTATCAATATCTCAAGTTGGTGGTTTGAAATCCGTAAAAATCCTTGTTTATTCAGTTTCCGTTTAATCATCCTGTTTTGATTTTCTTTTTTGCCAAAATGAATATTTTTTTTTGTGAACGTTTCCTGAACGCCATAGGCAAAGTAATTAAAAATGCTTTGACGTAACCTCTTTACGACTACATAGATGATGACACACAATTGTGTTCACCGAGCCGGTACATCTGCAGCCGTAGAGAGCCAGGGAACCTTTGGCAACGCGCTGTTTACTTGTAATCCTACTATTGACCCATGTTATAGTTACACTTTCTTACAAGAATGGAATTGGAGCCAAAACCTCGCTTTCTAAGCTTTCAAGACCCTATCCAATCATCCTCGGAGGATGATAACGCCTCGCGTACCTCAGGGAGACGCATGTCGGCGATGTCAGAGGCGAGCACAACATCGTCCTCCCGACGCATTTCGGTTATCCAACCTGGACGAAAAACTTCCAAGGCGACCTCGTATGTTTCACCTTACCGCTCATGGCGCGGACTGTCTGATTCCCTCCGCGATCAGGCGGGGAACGACTTTCAAGGAGACGTGAAGAAGCAAGAGGTTGAGAATACATACCGCATGGAGCCGAAGAGGAAATTTCCTCAGCGAGAAGTAAGGGAGATCATTAAAAACAGTTTGGAGGCGTTGTTAGGCGCGTTGACTTATTCAGGCTCCGAGTTTGGATTCCTCACAAAGCTGCTGAGTTCAAGGATTATGGAACAAGTAAAGAGTCTTAATATTGAACGATATAAGCTTGTCTGTGTTGTCAACGTGGGGTCGAAACATAATCAAGGTCTAAGGGTCGCAAGTCGATGTTTGTGGAACCCGGATTCAGACACGCATGTCACAGCAAGTATCGAAAATGGCACGTTATTCGCTGTGGCTACTGTATACGGCGTTTACTTCGAGTAACTGAAAAAAAATCAGTCAGGAGTAAGGGATCACTCGCACGATACCACTTAAGACTTCAAATTGAAAGGAACATCACGCTAAGTCCAATATATCACGACATCAGTCAGTATATTACCCTGATTCCTGTCAACATATATTATCCTCCGAACGATTTAAATGGAGTGTAATTCATTGATCGACCCTCTTAGCGCGATGGCGTTCATAAACACCGCCATAAAAAAGCTGTTTTATCAGAAGTATTATAAACGACGTACATTCTGAGCATAATGATCAGGTTGGAAACCAACATAACATTATTTCAAATACAGTGTTTATTTTTGTTACTATGCACGCTTGATATTATAATCTCCGCAATATGAAGAATCAATCATGTTCTACTCACGAAAAAGAAGAAAAAACAAATAAACAACACCAGAAGAAACTCTAAAGGCAGAAAATTATATACGAAATATCAAGTTTCTCTTTACCATTCGAAGATGACTGTGAGGTAAATAGGAAAAGCCGTTATGTAAATTTTTTTGCCACAGTTCGCTTCACTGACCCGTTTAAATTAGACTTGAAAACCTCAAATTAAAATAATGATATCAAAGAGATTTTGCGTTAATAAACTTAGAACTTACTTCTTCCCGTGAAGTATTTGGTAGGACAATCATTACAGAGAAAAGAAAACTGAATCTTCATGTTTTATACCTAGTACCAAAGCCCTTTTTTCTTTCCTGTTGAAAATTAAAGCTCATAATTCACGAATTCAAGAAACCATGTTAATTGAAAACAACTTATGCATGTTCATACCCAGAACAAATCAAATGAACACTATTTTGGCATGAATATGTTGAAATTATTTATCTGATACAAGCTCGGCTCGGGCGAAAGAAGTGCCAAAACGGCGCGAGAAGTACCAAATCGCTGAATTATTTTTATAGATAAAACTAGTCTCGTCGATTTGGGAACTGTGGATAATATATAAACTAATTAGTTTAACTAGGAATTGCAGCGCGTGAGTTTAGGTACCCTGTGTCATGTAATCTTGGTGGTAAATAAACCGAGCACTTCTCTAAACTCGCTTTCGAGCGAGTTATTTAAATGAGTTGAACTCTTTTCCGTTTATGTAGTTGTCTTCTCTGTGGATCGGGGATATATGAGCAAATATTTGATTTTCAGAACAAAGCTACTTTGAACGTCAAAATCGATCTTGTTAATAATCGCTTCCAAATTGTCTTAGACAAAAAGTGGTGTAATTTTTTTCCATGTAATTATGTCAGTTGGACTGAATGTGTCATGATCTCTAATAGACATATAATTTTTACATAGCTCTAAATGTCATAAACTCGATTTTTCATTTTTTTGTTTACCACACAGAGAAACTTGGAAAAGCATCTTTGTCAAAGAAATTTTCGTTACGAATAGACCCACACTCCAAAATAAAATGATGATAAATGGTAATTAATATTTATGGAGCTTCTTTTTCGGCTTTCATCATTGCAGAACAGAGAAACGCTGGGAAAAAAACTGTTAGGAATAATCTTGCATTTGTGTGAAAAAAACCGTAAAGGCTTGGCTTAATACAAAATGATATTTATTGTAAATTATCCAGGTGCTATATCTCACAATGTTCCCACAGTAATAAACTGTGGAATTTTTTTTGTTTTTGGTTTAACGCAAATTTAAACAGACATTTAACACTTCACAAACTACTTTGATCCCTTTTGGAAGAGGAAAAGGTTTTTTTTATTTCCATTAATCTTCCTTTGTTGGGGTTTTTACGGATTAAAAATGTAACATGACAGAAAATTATGGACGAAAGTCACTTCCTTTTAGGATTCTACCAGATGCGATCTGTGATGTCGGTCAAATTTTAATTCAGTTCTTTTCCTTTTGGCACAAAGTAGCAATACGTTTTCATTTTTTTTAATAGTTTTCAACTGTTGAATCAACCAATTTGAATCGAAAAAAGAACGTAACTCAAAAGCGTCCGACAAGTTCTGAATAAACAGAACTAACTTAGGAAGTGTAGTCCATGCTAATTGTAAAACGTAGTTTTAAAGAGATCGAAAGAGACCTTACAATGTTAAAAGACCATAATTTCCACAACCAACAGATTAGAGAATGAAAGAGACCAAAAAAATTACGGAAAAAGAAACCAAATAAAAAACCAAGTCTTGGTCTGACTAGTATTTTTTGAACGACGAAGTCATACGGGTTAACAAAACGCTCAACGAGGCCAAGGAAACAAATACGCAGAAAAAAACACGGTATAACTATTTTAGTTTTGTTGACTTTCGTTATTACATGCTAGCATCGAATATCTTGTTTCAAGTTCTTAATTGAATGGAGATATTTCAACAGTTATAGAAAAACTCCATTAACTGAGAGGCCATCAGTGAATTTCCTCATCTAAGTGCGTTCAAAGCTTCTTAATAGACCCCGCACGTAGGAGGATCAAATTTCAAAGAGAGCTTGTTTCCCGAAGGATTTCCTGGGCTTTGTCTTGTTTGCCACCTCTGAACAGACATAAAAACGGCGTTCACGAAACGTTTTTCAATGATTCGCCGTTTACTTAAATTTGCCAGTTGGCACTCTTTGTGTCTGTTCAAGACCGCGACCACAGAGAGAGAGAAATGAGTCGATTTTTCTCACTTGTTCTGCATCTAACCCTCTTTTTCTACCAGGTGAGTAGGGCGTTAATGTAATAATCTCAGGGAACGGTAACGTATTTACAACAAGGGAAATAAATTTCATGAAATTAAAGCAGTCTACCTCAAAGGGACCTCACAGGGAGGAAAATTAAAGGAGCATTTAGTCAACCAAGAAAAATCGGTTTTCCCTTTAAAGTTGATTCTCCTATTAAGAGTTGTCCCAAATTTAAGTTTAATTATACTTTACCTTCGAACAACCTCTTGACACCTAACACCGAAACTGCAAATAATGATGCTTTCGTTGGAAGGCCGACAGCCAAATTCCTCTTCTAAATTGAAACGATTTTTCTTGTTTCCATAAACATTCAATAGCTGTAACTATTTCAGAATATACTTTTCGCTTTGAATTGGTGCTCGGGAATGCATTTTAATCTCCGAAAAACTGCTATATAACTGATGATTTGATAGCTATAATTTTTGCTGTTTTGCAGAGGAGAGCCGCCGCAAGACAAGACCTCCATACTTTTCTATCAAATGATGAATTAAGAAGATATTTACATGCAGATTCCCAAGAATCAGGTCAGGTGTCTCACATAATGCTTTCGTCTTTCCCAACCAGCGAATTTTGACGTTATTAAAGCAATCATTTTAACATTATTGTCTATCCTTAGTTCCAGAATACGATATCGTACGAATCTATAAACACAGAAGCAAGCGAAGTCCATTTTCCACAAAGCAGGACTACAGACTGTCAGCATTTGGAAACGATTTTGCACTGACGTTGCACCCAAATGATGACGTCATTCCTGACACCGGGCTGCCCATAGAGAGGCGAAAAAAAGACGGTATGGTTGTCAAAGAGATCCACCGTCCACACGGAAGATTTTATGAGGGTCACGTGACTTCGGATCCAAATTCCCATGTAGCTGTTCGGGAGAGTGATGATAAGGGTCGGCTGGTAAGTTATGCTAATCTGAAAATACGTCACCGTCGTAAGATATTTCGGCGTCATTTTTTTTTTGAGATTTAAAGTACAGAGTTTTTAATTTTAAGCAAAACAGAGTGAAGGAAAGAGACTGCAGGCTTAAAATAGGTGTTGTTTAAATGGCCGCAGAGCAAGGCTATTTTTATTCTCAAAGTATCCAGTCTCAAAGGAATAATTATAACTAACTCAGAGCGAGAGGTTTAGTGAGTGTTTTGCAGTAGAAAGATGTCCTCCTAGGCAGAATTTGCGTCTTTGGCTTGGCTATTTACAGATATTAGTGGGAATGATGCTGTAAGTCTCTGATGAGCTTAGCTCATCTCTTGAAAGCGGTCCACAAAAAGTTATTAAAAATTGTAAATCTTGTAGAGTGGTGCTTTAGTGAGTGGTGGCCATTTGTACCATTTGGAGCCTCTGTCAAGTCATCTTCATCGGCGAGCGGCATTACAAGGATCTGAGTACCATGTCATCTCCAAACGAAGCATTCGAGATATGCTAAACCAAAACCCTATGTCGACTCATAATAAAGGTATTTTTAATTTATTTTAACAAACGCGACCCTGGATATAAACCAACTTATATCATAACATTACTCCACTTGGAAAACCAGCATTTCCATTGTTCACTTTTTCTTTCTTTCCGATTTCTTGTGATCACAAAGGCATTGTGAATTAGCAGGGGGGGTCACACCACAGTCCTGTTTTTATTTACTCAAAGCGAGTCAGAACAGTTAATGCCAATCTTTTTAAGTAAATTTTCCTCTCCATACCAGGTGATCGCCTTCCCCCCCCCTCCCCTCACCACCTCTGCCCTTGCGCAGTCGTCAGTTTTTTGCCAACAATTTAGAGATCATTTTAAGATTTCCAACGGTGCTTCATTTTTCCCTAATTACCAGGGAAGACGCAAGAACAAGAGGAGATCCAAGTTGATCAGACTGAGACTCCCAAGAGTAGAACTAAACGTGACAACATTTACAATGGCAATATATATATCGAGGCCATGCTTACCGCTGACAAAACAACCTGCGATTTCTATGGCAACGGCACACTTGACTACCTCCTGAACATTGCTAATCTAGTAATAATAAGATGAACTTTCAGTTCTTAGTGAAACATAGATAAATAAAGAGTTGTTTTTATTTTTGCCAAATTAAATATTTCGTGCAAGACAATATGGATATTCAAATCAATATTATTTAAAATTTGCCCATGTGCTAGTTAGTCAATCTCAGCCTCGAATCTACGATCCTGTTGGCTTCCCAAATTGAATTTTTTTTTTTCTGATTTCAAATTAAACTGTCTCCGGAAAAAAGATAGGTAATGTAATAATCGAAGCCATGTTTATCGACGCAAGTCATAGACACTATTGGGACCAGAGCCCTCGATCCGTTCCGCCGCCCAAACGATCAGGTTAACTAGGTAAATGCGAAGCTGTTTGACTTTCCATTTTTCACATTTTTTTTTTCAAACTTTTCTTGGTTCAATTTTCATATAGGTCAATCGGCTTTACAAAGATAAGTCCATTGGAATGCCCGTGTCCTGGGTTCTCACGAAGGTTTTCCTCATCGAAGGGTTCGACGTAAGTGGGAGTTATCAAAACCTGCAATTTATACATCAATAAAATTTATAATTTTTTTAATTGGTTTTGTTTGTTTGTTTTTTTCCTGTCTTTACAAATAGCCGGACTTGGACTTTGCAGCAAACAACATACGCTCTGCAGGATCGTACCATGGGAAATTCAAAAATTGGGCCTTCAATAGGAACCCTGCAAATGGTAAACAAGAACATTATGATATTGCTGCCATGCTTACAAGGTAAGTATCATCATGAGCATTTTCAAGTGGACATTCATATAAAATCTGTATTGAATCGTTTTTATTTAAATGCGCCATGTATTGGTCTATAAAGCACGCGACACCCTCTCAACCAATCCAATGCAAAGTTGAAAAAAAATGGCGACTTAATCAGTTACGTTTTCGAGCGCTTTTTTTCTTTCAGTTCTTTGAAATACTCTATTTTCGGTTTCACTGCACCAAAATGGGGTTGGCACACAAAATAACTAAACATGATAACACATGTAAGTTAGAGTAAACTTTAACCATTCGTTCATTTATGACAAAAAATTTTATCTTTTGTTGGAAACAGGAACGTATGCGGTCTGAACAGCTGCTCCATCAATGGTAAGGATGAGCTTATAACTCAGTTCACGTGCACTTATTGGCAAATTAATTTACTTGTGTATGTTTTTTTGGTTTTTTTTTTTGTTTTCAATACAAATATCTGCTTGCTTCTTTGTTAAATAATAGAGACCTCACAGGCGCATCAAAGAAATTCCTGTCCTCCCCCCCACCACTATGGTCTAGGTTCAACTACCAGACCAAATTGAGCATAATTATGGGATTGCATTTTTTTGTGGTCGATGTCATTGCTTCGACTCGTTGAATATTCTTCGGCCTCTGTGGTTTTCTCACCTACTTTCAAATGCACAAAAGCGAAGTAACAGAGCGGCTAGGAATCGTTGGACTAAGAAGCACTTCGAGAATGAGACACTGCTGATAGTTGCATTTTGATTTGAAATTTTGTTGATATTTAACATTGCTATCTCCTAACAGGGGTTGCAAATATGGGACTTTGTGGCAAATACCCCGGCGTGAGCATAAACGTGGCTATTGGACTCAGTGCAGCATACACTGTGACGCACGAAGTGGCTCACAAGTAATTCTTATTTGTAATACTGTTTCTGCCTTGTTAATTGGTTCTCTCTCATGAACATGGAACTTAACCCGAAGACATAATTTGAACTAACACTGAATCATTATTGTAGGTGTATGTCTCAGTGCAAAGGTATCACCAGTTCTCTTGATCTGTTATCCTTTTTTTTCGTATTCAAATTTTTAGCTAAAACTTATCTCAAATCATCGATAATTATTTTAATTTGTCGCCAAATGGTTCTGAATTAGTATGTGGCGCTCATTACAAACATAATCTTACGAATAGCCTTTTCCTGAAATCTCAGGTTTTCCCGAAAATAACCAATTTCTTTTCACGAAATATGCTTCGGTGGAATCTATCTTTCTCCGCCAAAAATGCATGGTATCAACAATTTGTGTGACGAACATTTCACAATATATATGCGGGCAACTCAGCGAAAAAAGTTTGAATGACAATTTAAATGAAACTTGCAAGAAAAAAGCTGTGTCTTTATCAAATATTCAGTAACCAAAATTGATTCTGTTTTTATTTCCTGTAGCATCGGTGTAGGGCATGATAACGGAAGCTGCCACGAGATAGGAACTAACATACATAGGCATCAAGCCTATACGAGAAAAGATCTGTCTTCACGGGATATTCAGTACCTTGGATTGATTCTGTTTTTATCTCCCATAGCATTGGTGTAGGGCATGATAATGGGGACTGCCACAGGATGGGAGCTATCATGCACAGGCAACAGGCTCATGGCCCGAACGCATTCCATTGGTCCCCTTGCAGCATGAAGAAACTGAAAGAGAGGTTTACGTAAGTATTTATTGTTGTTCCTCCTTGTCTCTAGATCTGCTTACGAAGTGCACAATATCTGAACTTTAATGAGGAAGTCTAGGAAGAATATTTCCCACTTCCGACTTGTGTCTTCGTTGCTGAGTTGGTAGTATCTGGGAAGCACGGATTCGAATCCCGTCGAAGCCTCAATTTTACATTACTTGAGTTTGTATTGAAAACAGGAAAGCTCGAGGAAACCACCTCTTAATTTACTTGTTATCCAGAAAGATTTAGATTAGGAGTCTTGTGTTAAGTAAGTTTTAATCTCGATACTTAAAATTTCATCTTTACTCCCAGGTTATACAAATGCTTACACAACCAACCACCGGCACAGCTTCCTCTTCCCAGTCTTCCTCCTCTCTTTTCAGCTGATGAACAGTGCCAAATGGCCTATGGGAAAGACTATACTGCGTGCGGTCCAACACTTAGAGTAAGTACGCCATAGAAAAAGCTTCTTAAGAGAAGCTAGAGAATTGTATAGTTTAGTTCCACAGTTAAGATTGGTAGCGATTGTAAAGCCGATTCCATGGTCGTTCGTCCTGTGTTAGTTTTCGCTAAGTGTGAGATGAGGAGTAACTTTCTCGCCGAGTTTCTCTCAGTGATGTCATGAACGTCACGTATCACAGAAGGTACCAGCTTTGACCCATTCAAGAACACTGAGGAGTTATCTATTAGGCTATGAGCTCTTGACTGGCCACTATGGCATATTCAGCATCTCTTCCGTGTACATGCGTTGGATATGAGATGATAGATGTATTCACGAGTAGCGCTAGTAGAGTAATTCTTTCATCAGATAAATTTGATAAAATTTAAAACTGACTTGAGTATTGCGAAAATGCTTCGTCCATTTTATATGGACTCAGATATCATAGTCTGTAAAATCTTATCAATTACATGGGCTTTGCTTCAGGGGATGAGTTTGTCCATGAATTAGACTATGCACTCTCAGACATTAAAGAAAATTGATAAATGTTTTTCTTAGGAAAGCTGCGGAGCACTTTTCTGTGAAGGAAAAGGAGGAAGCTGCTTCACTAGATCTTCACCAATCGCAGAGGGAACGTTATGTGGCATCAGGAAGGTAAAACTGCTGAATACGATTTTAGAAAACTTTAAGAGTTCTCAAGAAAGAATAAGCGGTTTTCTTAAGGTTTATAATCTTGTTCTTGGTCGATCATGCACTTCCGAAATATCTACAAGTCGATCTGGAGAGAGTGCAGAAAAGAGCCCCTTAAGAGTTCTCAAGAAAGAATAAGCGGTTTTCTTAAGGTTTATAATCTTGTTTTTCGTTAGATCTGCCTAGCCGGACATTGCAGACATGAACCAAGAGTACCAGGGCCAATTGACGGTGGGTGGGGCTCTTGGGGATCGTATGAAGCATGTACACGAACTTGTGGGGGAGGGGTGAGATACCGAAGTCGACAGTGCAACAACCCAGTGTAAGCATCGTACTTATCTTAACACCAATGTTGTCCTAAAATCCAGAATTTTAAACTAAATGAACACGTCTTTCTTCCTTTTTCCTTAAGACCTAAATTCTATGGAAAAGTGTGCGAGGGATCCAGCAAAGGTCACTTTGAAATGTGTAACACTCAGGTTCGTTGTTCAGTTAAGGAAAATTATTTATGTATTTAATGGAGACATATTTCATTGCCTTGACCGTTGGTTAAAGCTGATGATAAGGGATATCAACAAAATACGACGTGTGAGAGTCGTCTCACCTCAATCTCGAGTGTTTCATTGAAAGATTTTACAATTCAGCCTACTTTAAACTGGTGTTTTTTGACATGTTTACCAAATGCAAGTTAGCTAAATCATTGGTTGACTTGAAGAGGAAAGAATGAATTTACAACTGCTTGTATGTTTTCTCCCTCAGGAGTGCAATGTTGATCGTTTTCGTCATCAGCAATGTGAAGCACACAACACGGACAGTACGAAATACCGTCCTCACTTTTTGGGAGGTAATAACATTAAATTTGCTTGGGGAAACTTTACGTGGAGGAAATACCACGCTTATCTGTGGCTCCAAACTAAAGAAAAAAGACATCTTGAAAAAAAAACAAAACAAAACAAAACAGATGCGAATACAACTGATTGTGACTCCATATTTTGAGATGACCTGATTTATTTTTGTAACCATAATGAATAAATACATCTTTTAAAACACTTTGTGTTGAATTTATGTAGAAGTACAGCATTGCGAGGAATTGATGAACTCGACATTTCTCTTATTCCTAATCAGGCAGTAGCAAGTGTACTTTGGCTTGCGTGACCGGGGGTAAAGGATATTATTTTGGCGACGTCACGGATGGGACTCGTTGTGAGGGGAATAAAAATGTGTTTGATGTCTGCATTGAAGGAAAATGTGTGGTGAGTACTTGACTGGCTGACTGACCAACTGACCAACTGTCTGACCGATTGACTGACTGACTGACTGACTGACCGATTGACCAACTAGCTGGCTGACAGACCAATTGACCAACTGACTGACTGACTGACCGACTGACTGGCTGACTGACCAATTGACCGACTGACTGACTGACAGATTGCCCGACGGACTGACAGATTGACTGACTGACTGACTGACCGATTGACCGAATGGCCAGCTCACTGAGTGAGGGAGTGACTGACTAACTGACTGATTAACCTACCCAGTGACCACCTGACTATGTACTTAAATTTCCCTCTAAATGAAGAAATAGATGAATGAATGAACGCAAATATTTAAATTTCTTTACCCAATTATCTTGCCAGTCGGATGAAATGCTTCCTTGTCTGTTATTTTTCAGCCGGTCGGTTGCGATAAGAAACTAAGATCTGGCAAAGTATTCGATCGATGTTTGAATTGTGGAGGAGATGGTGGATCGTGTGTTTTGGTTAGGGGGATGTACACAAAGAACTATCGAGTATATGGTAATAATTGGAGTCAGATTTTTTGACTAGTTTAGAATAGATTTTCTTATAACACTGGATATCAAAACTGGGACTTAGATTTAAACATATTTATACCTCCCTTCTAATCTTCATTCCGTTTCATTGGGAATATTAAATGAAGCATTCGTGATACTATTTTGTCGTATTTTGGAATTTAAAAACTTCTATTATCACGGAAGAAACTCAAAATCGTGCGTCACAATTTTTGATTACATCATGTCTTGATATTTTTTTCCCAACGGGTGGAGGATCTTTAATAGAACAAGAGGTAGATTGAGGGGTTATTGTGTTGGATAAAGAAAAAGAAATTAACAGGCTCACACTGAGAGGAATGTATAATGTTAAAATAATGGCTACGACCCTAGCACATAATTATACACATATGTGCGTTTGACAGACAGGCACTGCTTAACATTCTCGTTTGTTTTTACTTCTTCCGTATTTCTATACTTTGCAGGGCGCAACAACGGAGACATCATGTTCACCATTCCAAAAAGAGCGACAAATGTCCAGATTCAGGAGATGAACAAATCTTACAACTTCCTGAGTACGAAGAAAAATATCTCCCCCCTCCTCCATCCCGGTAGAAGGGGAATAAGTAATGTTCGGTAAAGTTTTCGACGGAGTTGGGCCTAGGCCTGAGATCTAAACACTGAAACTTTGAATAACTTTCCGAACCCCATTGAAAACCCCTGTCAATTCATCACTTATATTTTTTGGCTTTTCTTACAATAAATAACACGTATTTAGAAGATCTCTCTTACTTTACTTTGGTTTAATTTTCACAAAGCTCAGTCTCTTTTGGATCACGAACATTCACAATTTTTCCGTACGTTGTATTTCCAGGTATAAAGTCAACGAAAGCAGTCAAAGCAGTCGATTACTACGTCCCAGTCCCAAGCTGGACGAATACTTACGCGGCCGCAGGCACGTTCATTTACCACTACATGAAAAAGTACCGGTATATTGATGCAGAGCGAATTACTATCAGAGGACCGACAAATGAGGACCTAGATGCGATGGTAATTATTTGATTGTATCATTTTTTCTAAAAAGAGCGTTTAAGTATACCTCACGTATTGTCTGCAGCGTTGAACTGTGGACTGAGAGATCTGGGTTCGAGAGTTGGTTTGGCTTTTGATTTAACTGAAGTAAGCGGGAAGAAAAATCAAAATATTGCTTACTATGCCATGTCTTGTTTAATGCATTATATCTACGTGTTTTCAGTGTGGTTAAGGTGGCCACCGCTACATATCGACTATGTAATAACTAAGTAAACAAAATTTTAACCTTGACATATAATTTCACATCTAAAAATATATCCGCTTACCAACCTCCAACCGTGTTTTTTTTTTTACTCTCTCCACTGCATGTACAAACAATTTAACTTTCTTTTCTTGATTTTGCTGCAGTACGTTCATCCTGGAAGACATGGCAATCCGGGTATATCATATAGCTATTATATCCCTGGAAATGGAAAAAGCACAACCTTCAAATGGAACCAAACGATCAACGGTGAATGCAGTACCACATGTGCCGGAGGTAGACATTTTAAAAGATATACAAGTAATAAAAGGTTGCTAAACACGTCGGGGTCAAGAAGGCAGCGAAAATTACTCATAAAAGAGTGAAACGTGTGTCGGTTTAGAATTTTAAAATTTGGACACTCGGAGTACCATTTTCGGAAAAAAGTGACAGAACTAAGTCCGTCTTTTGAAAAGAACCACTTCGTTTATACGGCCTTAAGCGGACAATTCCTGAAATCAGCTGCGTGGAAACACGCCCGTCCTGTCGACGAGTGGAACTAAGTTTTCCTTCCAAACCGACAAAAGCTAGTTCCTCAACTTCAAAGTCGCTGAACTTCGGTGATTAACGCCTCATGTAAAATAGAGGCGTGTGCAAATAAGCATAACGCATGAAGTGTGTAAAACGCCAATTCCATTTGCTATTAGGTGTTCAGCATATTAAAGTCACGTGCCACCGTGAGGATGACGCAAGTGAGGTCTCTTCTAATTATTGTGACAAGAACACTAAACCAGCGGAGTCCAAGTTATGTAACCTGGCCCCTTGTCCGAAGGAGTAAGTATGACTCTTAAACCTGAAAATACTATGGTGCGCAGAGCTTGAGCGAGAAGCCATCCTAAATAAGAGAAGATGCATTTCGCCTTCTTGTGTTTTTGTGGTAACGAAGTGTTGTTCTCTTATATTCGTAGAACTTTGAAGAGTGTAGCGCCTATCAAACTAATTCTCGGGATTAACTCAAAACAATACAATGAGTGGTACTATGATTAAACAGTTAGCGTTAACATGGGTAAATGTCTTTGACACACTTCAAGATAAATGTGAGCTTTGGTCGCCTCAATCGTTTGATAAAGGCTATTCAAAGTATAACGCAAAATCTCCAAACTTTGGTTTTAGTTTTAAGTTTAGCCTTGTTTTTTTATTATAATTGTTCTCTTACAATTCACGCAGATATAAGTTGGGAGCCTGGAGTCAATGTTCCGAATTGTGTGGAGGTGGTCAGCAGCACAGAAATCTGACATGCGCACAAGTCATGACACAGAAGTACACCAAAATTCTACCAGATTCTAGTTGCACCAATTTGTCAAAACCAGAAAGTTACAAACCCTGCAACAATATAGATTGTATGCCTCAGTGGTTTACTGGAGAATGGACACAGGTAAGAAACAACGCATGCGCATACCAGGCTTTAAATAACATCAGTGAATACTCTTATTGGTGAGGTTGTTCACTGTGCCTTCTTGAGAGGAATAGGATTCTGGTGCTCTTAAAGGCAATTATTTAAAATCTAGAATAAGTGCTCAGAAAATATGATTTTTAGAGAAACTATCGTAATATTTAACAATTGTTTAATGAGCTCATAGTATCGAGTATGCTATGGCCAATCTCGCATTTAACAAGTGCGAATGAAATAACTTTTTATTGATTTTAATTAAATCCTGCACGTTTGGATATTTGGAACCCTTTTTCAGCTCTGCAACAGTTGGCTAAATGCATTTCCGTAAAAGGTGACTTGGAGTGCGAGCTGATAACCGGAGTTGAATGAACCAATCAGAACACTAGAAATGCAAAATTCGGAGTTGACATTAAATATAGATACTTATTCGTTGGTAGCCGGAGTAATTTGACTGTGAAACCCAGAAAACCGCGAACATTTTTCTTTTATTCTGAAAGGTCAGTTGTGCTCTAAGCTAAGTTGAAGATAAGATATACAAATTAATTATCACTTTGTAATCCAGGAGTAGCTTTTGAAACACAAAACGTCTCATATTTATCTTCGGTGTTCACGGTTTTCTGAGTTTTACAGATACCCATGATCCATTTCATAGGGGTCCTACTGGCGTCAAAACCATATGTTTCACAACTTTCGATTTCCACGCGATATAACATTGTCGTCACTATGTTTTCAGTGCTCGGTACCTTGTGGTGGTAATGGCACTAAAACACGTCTGGTGGAATGTAAGAGGAAGCTTGCTAATGGCTCCTGGATTTCCTTGCCAGAAGATCATTGTACTGAGAAGCCATCTTCACAAACTTCCTGCAATAATGTGTCCTGTTACAAATGGCAAGTTCAGTATCCGTGTGCCAGCTGTGGAGGTAGGCATCTTCGTTTCGTTTAATGGGAGTGAAAAGGGGGGAATAGGAAAAGAGGAGGATAAGAGAGAGACTAAGGAAGAAGAGAAGGAGCTTACAGAGGTTGCATGGAGAGGAGGAAGGGAGAGACTAAGGAGGTAGGGGTGGAGCTAACGAGGGTTGGAAGAAAACCCTAAAAGTCAGACATTTCTCTGATCAGCATTGACACATTTTAAGGCTGACACCAACCCAAACAAAGATTGCTTTACCTATCCCTAGGTTAAAGTTAAATGCTCAAATTCAGCTTCAGATGTAAATGATACTCAACAACAACTTTTATTTGTTTTATTCTCGAACTTTCAGGTTCGGATATGAGTTACTTTCCGATCGGTTGTTTCATGGACAAACACATCGGGGAGAGACCGTTAGAAAAATTGGTTGCAAATTTTCGTAACGGCATTGACTGGTACCACATGAGTAAAACGATAAAGAAATGTGCTGAGGATGCTTGGAGTAAACATTACGATGTCTTCGGAGTCCAGTTCTACGGAGAATGCTGGTCGGGCGACCAAGGCTATAAAACCTACGATAAGGATGGTTTCAATCTGCAAGGTTGTTGGGAAGGAGTGGGAAAGTCAAATAATAACTATGTTTACGCCTTCACCAGTAAGTGATTTTGTTATGATCATCATCATTATTATTCTCGTCATCGTCATTATCACCGCCACCAATATTTATTCACAAATCTACTAATATCATCAAGTGTCTTGCTGTCGTTATCTTCTCTTTGTACTCAGCTCATCAGATATCAGACCCCTCTCTAATATTATAATTATAATTTGAAACAAGTGGATTTAAACTAGGGGCATTTAATGGCCATCCTATTTGTTTGTCTTTGCTTTCATAGTTCTGTATTTATCGACTGAGTCAATAATTTAAATCGACCGATGTAAAGAGTTTCAAAAGCTCTCGTTTCGAACGTTCACCCTTCGTCGTGTTCGCTCTGAAAAAAAGGCTGACGCCTGACACGTCAGAAACTCTTTAGTTACTCTTTACGGTGGCCAAGTTACACTATCAACTCAGTTCATAATACCCCCACCGACGAAGCACCACATTTTCTTTAGAAACTTGATCCCCTTCTCGCATAGTTCTGCCTCTCTCTTGGTATCACTGTTGGTGTTTACATGTGCCACTTTGAGGATTTTGCTCATATGAACTGAATATTGAAAATAATATTTATTTGAAAATATTCTCTCCCAGGCATGGTTTCCCAGCCTCGTGTTGACTGCATCTACGTAGCAAATGGACAGATTGTCCCGGATGAAAAATGCAGTGCCGCAAAGCCCTTAGCTAAAATGAAACGTTGCTCCGATGTGTGCAGGAATTAGGAGAAAAAAGGAAATAACAGTTTACCTAAAGGAGTAAGGTATAATAAATCACAATACTGTTTGGTAAATTTACTTGAGGTATAAAGAAAGAAAGAAAAACTTGGAAAAGAATGACCACAAGAGAATAAATTCTATTCTAATAATGCGATTAACTTAAAAACTTTTCTTGCAGGTCGTTAACGATGATCGAAGAATCCTAGAGGCAGCAAAAACAAATTTGATCTAGTTTCTTTATGATTGTTTCTTTAATCAAATAATATTTTTGTTAATTTTATAAAATGGGAAATAATGAATAAACTATGAGGCAAGCATATCGTTTACTTGCTCATTTTTGATGAGGAATTCTAAGATTGTACTGGATTTCCTTCACGTCGCTTCCTGATAGATCTGGAAAAAAAGTAGAGTAACTTAGTTTAGGCACCCCTCCCAGTATTAGATTCAAAACTTAAATTAGTCTCTAGTTTGTCTTCAGCCTTTAAATTTGATCATTTATATCGAATCGTCGCGATAATGCAAGAATTTTTTATAAGAATCTACTACGATGAAATACGCAGGCGACAAATGGGTCCCGATGAGATTCACCGTTAGCCGTAAAACGGTCAAAAATTTTAGTTGTTATACGTGAAAACTAACAGATTTTAAATGTTTTAGTCGCAAAAAAATTAACCGCATTTTTTATGATCACAATGGAAATATATTAACCGTTAGCCGTAAATTGACCAGAATTTTTACCACTTAACCGCGCAAAACTTCGCGCGGACAATATGACACGTGTTGGAACGTTATTCTGGTCCAGATATGTGTTTGCGGTTGAGTAAATACGTCCTTAGGTTTTGATTTTACGAAACTATTTCCTTGCCTTACTCATATATGCTTGTCGTTTGTTGGAATATAGAGAACTAGCGGTTACGCCGAGGTTGTGAAGGTTAAAAGTTGTGAAAAACTAATCATGGATAACTCGCAAACCGTTAGGAAGGCCCTTGCATTTCGACAATTGTCTCAAACAACACTTGTCCCTAGAGCTTCGGCTGCTAGGTGAGGCTCTTTTCCCAGAATAAACTTCATGGCAATAAACTAACATCATTCCGTCACCCGCCAACGTATTACCGTCTATTTATAAATCAATTCCCTTCTCATAAAAGAGGCTGATAGAAGGTTTTGACGACTGAAATAACTTATCAATGTGCTTACGGGTAATTTGGCGCCTGAGTAATCAATTACCTGCTGCTCGAGCAGTGCTTGCTAGATTGAGCCAATGAGATGCACAGTTAGAACAAACACGCCATGACTTCACGCCACTTTGTCAAAAATCAATTAATTTAGCCCCTTTTTACCCCAATGCCACTGACTCTTCTGAACCAGTGATGACGAAATCTGGAGAATTTTACTACTTCAATTCAAGAGCTTAGTAGCTCTGAAGAAATTGTCCGCAAAACGAAACAATGAATGCTGCAAAAGTTTGTTCACCGACATGCCCGGGACAAAAGATATTGTTGACAGAGTATGTTTTCCAAACGTTCTCCGCAACTGTTCATTGACTTCGTTGAAAAGAATCTTTGACTTCTTCGTTGTCATGGTTTTGGTTATGGTGTCACTAACTTTGATCTACAAACCCGCAAAGATATTTCGCCGTCACAGAAGAACATTGTCATACGAAGAACCTGTTGTAGATGTCGTACTGTCAAGCGATTTCTCGGACGATGGATTTTTTTTTATTCCATTCCACGAGAAAGAAAAATACCTGTCGTATGAGCCACCAGTTGGCAGTTGGAGTAAACAGCTTCAAGCTTTTGAGAATGCCGTCATAATATCCAAAATGCTAAACAGAACTCTTCTCGCTCAGCCTTTGGCCAGTGAACTAGAAATAAAGCGACTTTCGCGAGTCGTCCAACGAACTTTTCAGCCTGACTCAAAGGTCTTTGACATTTTGGACACAAAATTCACCGTCCCAATTTCCTCCATAGTAGACCTGAATCACTTATCCAAGCTGATCAGGGTTCGAAGTGTACCTCATCGACAGTTTATAAACAATTTTGAAAACTTGACACGGTTCGATGTCTGTCATCGCGACTCAGTAGGTTTTTGGGTCGATTTTGTGCCATCTGCAACTAATAAAAACGCTTGGAAAGTGCTCGAAGCGCAAAACTTTTCTCCTTTGTCATTCCCTGTTTCTGCAGTAGACCCTGCTTGTGATTATGGACTTGAGGTGAAAAGTGGTTCTTACCATCCCAAACCTGTTATAAGAGGGATCATCTCCGAGCTAAGCAGTGTTAAGGAGGATGTGTTATATTTTCGTGCAGGATCCATAGCAACCTCTGACATACGATTTCTGTCCAGGGGACGGACAGCACTGGCGCAAGAATGGACCGATAACTACATTCGTTTTACACGATATGTTCAGGAAAAGTTTCAAAGAATCATGGCAAAAATAAAACAGCCGTACAATGCAATGCTGATATCAAGAAACGAAGAAAGAAATATAAGCAATATTCTTCATTACAGATTAAAACAAATGGAAAAGAGGAAATTTCGTAGCATAACAAATGTTTTGTATGTAATTACTCATGTAAACAACCTGTCACATTTTGAACCGTTACAAACTCAGGGCTATGAGATATACTTATCTAACGATCTATATCCTTCAGGGATTAGCTCATTCGTACGGTACGATGTGACAGAACTCCTTGGATTAGTAATTTGTAAATATGCTAGACTATACTCAGGCTCGACGGAGCCGTACCTCATTCGACGAGGTCGCATTCATGAGGCCGAAAAGAAGGATGGTCTCCTTGTTGATCACGTAGCTGTCAGGTGGGCGGGGCACACTGTCAAGAGAAGACATCGCATCTTACCGCCTCGCAACGCGACAAGCTACGGGCAGCTGAATTTGAGAACTCATAAAGCAAATTACATTTCTTGTACAATTTGTAAATTTATGCATAATACGCTCAGACACCAAATTTGCGTTCCACTAATGAGTGAGTGTTCAAAGTTAAGACTTATTTAGAATGAGATTTTCTAATAAAGATTTGTTTGTTTAGGTTGGTAGAACTGCTACGCTTTCATTTAATGGATGATCGATATTCTCTATATTCTGTGAGATCTTATCGCGTTTGTTTATTTGAAAAATAGGACTCACTAGAGAAAATTTGCTTAATTAAGCGAGAAAATAATTGTGCAAAATTATTTGTTTATTAATAAGAATCAAGAAAACTCTCGTTACTATGTAATCCTAAAAGGATACAGAACATTTTTAAATTCGACTATGAAAAACTTGCATTCCTCTCATCCTACCCCCCCCCCCCCCCCCCAACCCCCCGCCTGTGCTTCATAGTTCAGGACACGCGCAGCCAAATTTTGAGTAGGGCAGGGGAAGGGAGGGGGGGGGGGCTAAAGACGAGCGCGTAAGCTTGACGGAGGGAAGGGAAAGCATGTCAACTACTGGTTACTTTAGCTTGATCTTCAGGCTCTATTTACATCGAATGTGATCTGATTTTCTTTGCAGTAACAAACGTTTTATGAAACTATTGTTTTCCAGGCTGACAGATTAAATTTTTCACGATTCTCATGCACGATCCATGTTGAGGATGGTCCTTGAAATAACTCCTAGGATCAATCCCGTTTTCAGTGATCTAAGATATCCAATCAGCTGCGGCGAATTTGGTCATGTGGATGTCCCAAGTGGCATCCCGTCGTTCTACACCAAAACATTTGGGCAACACGCTATGTGCACGTGACATTATTCCAGGGATACTGGTTAAGTTGAATCCAAACATCCCTTGAGATAGATCTAGCTTATTCAAAGGATAAAATGTGTGGGTCATAAACGTGTGGTATAGACCATTGGAGCATCACAAAGTGGCTAATAATGAAAATAACAAGTACTTTGATAAAACTTGGTTCTTTGAACAGATTTTACTTTCCTATCTCCGACAAACAAACTTTTTTCAGACAAAAATATCTAAGAAATGAAAAGCGGGAACAAAACACCCCATCACGGTAAAAATTAGAACGACTCTTGAAATTATGAAATAAATTAGTTCTGAGGTCGATATCCTAAAACTGTGAGCATTGTTTCTACGGTTTGGTCTCTCTCCTTCAACAAACGCAATCCCTTCGGAAGAACTTTTCATTTCCTGTGGACAGCCTTTATGGACGCCGCAGAATTCTTCGCAAGAGGGACAAATCAGTGAGCCATTAATCTTCCAGTCGTTCAGGGAGCCCAGAATTTCAAGATGTTGTCCCTTGCGATGACAAGTGTAAAACTCCCCTCCAACCTCCACCTGCAATCCTCCGTCGCAATGAAATCTGTAACATCCGCTTCCCCAATCCACCATTGTTCTTGTTAAAAATCCCTTCTTGGCCAACCACGCGCGACCTTGTTCGACGCACTTCGCGCTTGGACCGTAATGTTCCAAAGCGTAGTTATCAAGGCGGGCGGGCGCGTTCTCTGGCACTGTGCACGTTGTTTCACGTTTTGCGCCATCCGTTTCGGTTAAAGTGAATTTCTGATAGAACGGGCAGTAGTCTGCTAATGGAACAGCGCCACCGTACCACGCGGTGTCTCGAATAACCACGCTGCGCGCACTGCCAAGCTCTCCTAAGCCTGGGCTTGTTTCGCTGATTGGTAGATGATTAAAATATTGATACTCTTCTGGTATGGCCCGGCCGTACTTACGAAGGTTACACAAAGCTACCGACAGCTTACTGTGGGTACACCGCATGTGCAGAGGAGTTTTCTTGATGGCGTAGCAGAAAGGCACCGCAGGTAGCTTTTCTCGTAGGTGTTTCTCCATCCATGTTTTACAGCTCGCTTTGGTAAAAAGACAACCGAGTCCCTTTCCCCAATCGAGTTCATCCGCTAGGCTGTAGTTTGGTTTATACCAGCCTGTATCTTCCATAAGAGCAAAGGTTATCCTCGAGAAAACAGGATTTTGCGTGTAAGTACCTGTCATGGCTTCATTCTCAAATAAACGCTTTTCCCAGTGAGTGTATTCTGTTCCTATACCGCCCTGGTTTTCGATCTCGGCTCCTTCCAAACTCGGGCAGTTAAAATGCCTTCGTACTTCTCGCTTTACTCGTGGCGTCACAATCATGTGAACCTGATGTGACACGTCTCCGTGCCGCGTCGCCCATTGCTTTCGTTCTATTCTTTGAACTATTTTGGGGCTCCATTGATACAAACCGTATTTCTCGTTGTACGGAGGTAGACCGTGTTTTTCTCTCGGCGTGTATGGCACACCGTGCTCATTTCTGTAAAACGCAAAAAGTCCCGCACTGAATCCCAGAGCGTGGAATATTTCATGCTTTACAGTAGACAGCAAATTCGGGTAGTGTCTGGGATCCGTATCTAAGCGTTTAGGGCAGATATTAGCAAACCCAGCAACAGGTCTGTCGAGTGCATGCTCCTGTTGACAATAGGATGCGTACGCTACTGCATTTGCCGCATTGCAGTGGTCCGTTTGGATGCAAGACACGTACAGTATAAAATCACGTGATTCTACACCCATTCCTGACTCCCACTCCTCACCCGGGACATTGAAACACTTGACACCATCCTTATCACACACGCGACATTGATCTAGGTGGTCGGCAGGCACGTTCACAGGCCCGCACTGCGTGTTAACACAATTTAGCTTACAAAACTGAATATCGCCTGCAGAGTCTCCTTTTAGGTTTTTCAGAAAGTAAGCATTATTTTGACACGTCCGTTGTAACTTTATAGCTTGTTTAGTTGGCTTTACGCTGAAAGCTTCATGGAAATAATCTACTGCCTCTGGAATGAGTTTTCCTGTAATTAAACCGTATTTTTCCTCGTCCAAATCGCCAATACTATCGTCATATACAACTTCGAAGCGCATTTTCTGCGAAAATGCTTGTCGTTTTACAATATGTGCTGGTCCAACGTGAACATAGTGGTTCATTTCGTTTCTCTTCGGTATCCAGTGATGCGCATGCGCCACAGGTTTTATCAAGCACAGGGCATATAGAGAACAAAGGAGAATCAGATTATCAGATGATGTCCTTCTCTTGCACTGCTTCGTCCTGTGTGTTACTCCAGTTCTCGCGCTAGAGCAGTGAATGCAATCTACAATAAAGATATGCAAAAGCTTTTTAGTCTGTAGAACCCTCTGTGAAGCTGTTTCTGTTTAAATCTTGCGTGATTTTAAAGCATCATTTAATATTTATTTGTATATTGTTACCGTGCCTTAACGTAAGGAACTATTGTCTTCGAGATAGTTCTCTTTTAGATAATTACGTTTGAGTTTACCTCGAAAAAAATAATTTGCATCAAGATTACTTTAAAAATAGATGCATGAAGTCGAAAAAAATTACAAATGGAAAAGAAAACCACATGATATATCGTTTGTAAATTTAATTGATGACAATGCATAGCACAGAGCATAGATACACCATTTCATTGCTCGTAAGTCATGGCCCCTTATAAACCCAGAAAAAAAAGGATAAGAAAAAAAATCAACGAAAGTAACTATTAACAAAACTTAAACATCAATCTTATGGATAAACAAAGTATGAGCACACAAAGCTTGAATCCGTCGCTTAGCAAATTAAAGTGAACAATACGTTGTTATTACAAGTACATTTTACTGACAATAGAAATGTTGCAGTTTTTTCTTTACGTGTTTAGGTAAGCAAATCGTAAGAAATTGACTTTAATCAAAAATGAAGAATTAAGTCGACATAAAGTGCAGTAGAAGATAAAGGAATAATATTGTGATAATTTAAGACTAGACACCTGAATAAGCGAGTCAGGGCTAAAATTAATTAAGACCAGCCTGACTGATTGTTTCATAAAACCACATGTAAGCGATTGTGCAAACAACCACAAAAGCTACACAAATCACTGTAGATAACACACCTTTTTTTGCCATCATTTTCGGTGGTGATTTCGATCGTTTAAAGCTTGGAAACTTAAATGGTGTTTTGTTATTTCCATTTGAGCGATTGTTCCACTGTTTTAAGGTACATGGATACGAGCGAAGCCTTAACAGGTGGTGTCAGTGTGTCTCGATAGGTGGTCACAATGTTTCCAATCTCAGAAATGATGAAATAAATTAAATATTCTACAAATATCAATTTTCCTTTAAGGATCTCTTTGCATAAAACTTTGTAAACATAGCAATCCTACTTTCAAAGATCTCGCCAATCCACTCTCTCTTTTTGCAAATGCTTCACCAAAGGTGGGTCATTCCTATTACCGAGATGACAGCTTCTGCGTCTAAGGTCTCGGTAACCATGCAAGCTAAAACATTTCCCCATATGATCACTGTGGTCCGTCCGGACTGAATTTCAAGAACGTGTATCGTTCAACTCTAAAAGTGAGCTGAAATCTTTTATTGTGACTTTTTTATAATTTTGCTGACATCTTAGCTGAGTATCCATGAGGAAATTTTCTCAAATAATAACTGAAGCAAAATTTGTTCCTTAAGTAGACCATAATATGGTTTAATTAACAAACAAACTTTGCCTGATTACCTAGCTCGTAAAAGGGCTTTTCTTTTAACTAATTGAGGGTATTTTTTCATCTTCGACGAAGTAAGAAAGAAATAACACTCTCCACTTAACAGTGACTTCTATCAAATCGATCATTAACCATAGACATTGATGACTTTGCTCAATCGACCTTGTCTAGAGATAAGGCAAACCTGACCTGTTTCTGTCTTAGGACAATTAAAAAAACACTGGAAAGTTGGCAATCAAATGTTATGTTGAAAATTTTCTAAAAGCCCGTTAAACCCTAAATTAAAGTGTATAATTTAATCTGTATTTTTATTATTATTTTGTATGGCTTCTTGCAAAGGCTCTAAGCCTGAATAACCTCAAAACGAACAAGCTAAATAATCTACATGTATATCAACGAAAGTTCAAGCAGTTATTATCATTTCAGTCGTAATGTTCTGGAATATAAAAACCCGTGACTCTTGGATTCAAAACATCGCATTATTTGCATTGCCCCCTTTGGCATACGAATGCTATCTTAATTAACCCTTCCCCCACCCCCTCCCCCTTCCTTACTGCCCCAGGGTAATCCTCAAACGCACGTCACGCTAATTTGTAACTTCGTTTACCGCATCGCCAGCAAGGTATGCCAATTGGCTTCAGATCTGTAAATAGTCCTTGTGGGATGCGCTCAGATCCACTAAGGATGAAGCTAATGGAACGCGCCCCATATAAGTCTTTTTCTAAGGTATCACAGTCAAGTTATTTTTGCGTCACTCCCATTCCCTGGAATCCGAGGGAGAACTAGGAAAACAGTTCATCTGTGAATTGGGCTCTGCGCGCGGATAACAGAGTCTTTCAGCGAATTGTTTTGGCACGTAGGTTGCTTTTGAAGTTTATGCCCATCCTTTGTCTGATATACGAGCATAAAGCTGCTCTATTGTTGTTGTCATTATTAGTAAATGCGGTTCTATTTTCATCAAATGCGGAAAATTTTCGGAAACAAGCTTAAAGACTTTCGAGGCAATTTGAAGAAACTTCTGCAAAGTTTTCTCACATCCAATAATAAAATAATCGACAAACGTCACCTTTTTCGTAAGGATTGCTGATAGCTACCAGAAACAAAAAATTTAAAAGACGCAGCAAACTAACAACAGGAAAAATATGTCTCCAAGACTAAAAATAGCAGGTTGCAAGACAAGGACTTTCACTTATTTTGATTTCATTGGTTCAATCGATTACAGGTAGAGTCTCTGTCAACAATCGTGCTTATTCACCCATGAAAAGTACGAGGATCGTAGCATATTGACTATGTCCATAATTTCTAAAATTTAGGTACGTTACTCAACAATATGGATACCACTGAAACCTCACTGACCTTGGAATCATTCCAACCCCTTTGTATGATTACTTGGGAATCGCCATTATTGACAAATTACGATTTCCGTGGTTCGACATTGTTGAGCAGCGCAAACATATTTCTGTCATTACCTGCTTCCAAATGTCCTTGTTTTCCTCGCTACTTAATCGTTATGTTCACTTGGAAATTGATTTCACGTTGTCGTCTTCAATTCGAATCTGACTGTTAAGACATAAAGCGCGATTAACATAATGTACCATTATGAATCCAAGGGTCCAAAGAAGACCATGGTTCAAAGTTATGTTTGAGATAGAATTCGCGTTGCTCACCAATTATCGTGTTCTTTGCTTCTTTCCACGACTGTCATAGAGTAGTAGTCAAACCAGCAGGAGCAGCATCCTAAAGTGATAATAATTGTAAAAAATAAAACAAAAAGTGCAAAACAGAGATTTAGCGAGGCGCAAAAGACCATCTCTTTGCGCCGTTCTCATGTTCCCGGACTATGAGATCATGAGAACACCACCTCACATGTTTACACTGAATGATGTAATTAGGAGATTAACCCGCTCGCCCTGGGTCGTAGAAAAGCTGACTACCGCTGGTTTTAACGATCACTTGAACGCAAAAAATTAATATCAAGTTTTGCGATAGTCAAATCATTTGACTGTACCAAATGAAAGTAAAGCCCAGAAGCTGAACTTGCATGGTAACACGACACAATTTCCTCGTGGCAGAACTGATGATGCAAACTGCCTTTACAGTATCCCAAACAGTATCTAAAGAAGGTAGTGCTTAGCAGGTTTCAATTTAAAGGTGACACACAAGCGTCTCATCTACAGACTCAATCAAAACCTCTTGAGAGTTGCCTCATGGGAAGTCTTAATTATTCAATCAAGTGGTGAGATCTTTAACTTTTGCCGTCTCCTTCCAATATTGCGTAATCGTGACATTAGTGTTCAAGTTTAGACGCTAAGGTCTGATTGTATACGCAAGTGTCCAATTTTAGACACCTTCGATTTCAGACACTAAATTCTGATGTTAGACATTAGTGTCCAATTTCAGAAACATTAGCGTTCGATTTTAGAAAGAAGTGTCAAATTTTAGACACTAAATGGATTTAATAATTAGTGTCCGAGTTCAGACATTAGTGTCCGATTTTAGACAGTAGCATGCAATTTTTGATACCAGTGTCAAATTTTGGACAGAGGCGTTGGTTTTTGGACACTGATGTCCGATTTTAGACACTAGTGTCCGACTTTAAGCGATAGTTTCCGATTTTAGACACTACCATCCAATCCTAGAAATTTATGTCCGATTTTGGACGTTAGTGTCCGACTTTAGACACAAGCGTCCGATTTTAAAAAGTAGTGTCCGATTTTGGACACGACTGTCCAATTTTGGAAACATATGTCCAGTTTTTGACACTCGTGTACCAGTGTCTGCTTTTCGACCTAGTGTTCGATTGTAGACACCAATGTCACATTTGAGACAAAAAGTTTATAGTATCTGATTTTAGGCATCAATGTTCAACTGTTGTGCCATTTTCAACGCTAGTGTAGGATTTTGGAGAGTAGTATCAAATTTTGGACACCACTCCAATTTTTTACCTAAGTGTCTTATTTTAGACCATGGACACTAGTGTCCGATTTTGAAGATATTTGTCCGATTCCAAACACCAGTGTCCGATTTTAAACATAAGTGTAGAAACCAATCTACCTCCTAGCCCCAGTCCGCGCGGCTATCCATATACGTTTGACTTTCGCGCGGATCATGCAAATAGAAAAAGCGTAAGCTCGAGTTAAAAGGTAATCGCAAGTACGTTCTAATGAAGCCGTATTTCAAAATCGTCAGAAAACATTGTCAATGGCATATAAATAGAAGAGTTCGGTCGAGTCGTCAGGAAATTAAACTCCTCTTAAATTTATTGCTGGTGCATTGGTTACAATAAGTGTCTGACTTAAGATACCAGGTCCAGTTTTGGACACTTGTGTCCGACTTTGAAACATAAGTGTCTGATTTTAAACACTAGAGCTTCGGGCTAACGTTCGAAACATTAGCTTTGAAACTCTTTACAGTGACCAATTAATATTATCAACTCAGTTGATAAAACCAATTGCAAAATTATCTTGTTATACTCTCCCACCGACGCAGCATTACAGTTTCTTTAGAAACTTAACCCCTTTTGAACTCCAGTGTCCGAGTTTTGACACTAGACTCCTGTCATTTTGACACTTTTCTCGATCTTGGGTTGATATGTGTTATGTCAACCTGAGATTACAATTTAGGGCGAGAAGTTTGAAATTTTTGCATTCCGTAAACGTCATGAAGTACTTCTCTCAAAACTGGCTCATTTTTTCTTTATTTACAGCCTTTGTTTGTTGGAAGTTTACATCAGAGGATAAACTCATTTTTCATCATCCACAGTCTAAATAAAATTTGCAACACCTCAAAAATGTTTCCTCATAGATCATTGCTCGGTAAAACTCAAACAGTACCAAAAAGCATGCGGGGGGGCATTTCCCAGCGCCGTCGAAGCAGATGTGCTTTGATTGCATTTTTTCTGTAAGGACTGGTTGGTCACCGAGCCTGGTTTTTCTCACGAATTGCTGGAAAGTTACTTGTGAGAATATTACCTGTTATTATTGGTCTAACTGATTCACGAAGAACAAATTCGCCACCAGAATTAGGTGGCCAAAAGGCAACCGTCTGTGAAATGAGGTCATTGTTCGATGACTCTCCTTTGCTTGTTTCTCTTGAAAACCACAAAGCATTTCAAATGGAGAGGAAACAAACCAGGCCTGCCTATTTACCGTTGTTTACAAACCAAAATGTTCTGCTTCGTTCGTTCAGGACAGCAAACAGGTGTTACCTCGCTTGGTTTATTGCCATACTTCGATACGTGATGCGTAAACTAAAAATTTTCATCCTTAAAGATCACTATACTGTGATGGGAATGATCCTGAGAGTTAAGTTCATGTGTTGTACTTTTGTTTGTGTAATTTTCGTGACTATCATTATGATGAAATTTCGACTCAATTCTTCAAGTCAGTGGAGAAGATCTTTAGACTACGAAATAATGTCTTTATCTAAACAACGCGTGTATATCAACGGGCGATTCGTATGTGAAAACAACCAAGGAGTGAAATATTTGTCTTATCAACCTCCTGGTGGGGGATGGAATAACCAGCGAGTCGCTTTCGAAAATGCGGTTATTTTAGCCAAGCTGTTAAACAGAACTCTTATAGTTCATCCATTAGCTCCACACCAGGAAATACTTCGCTTGAAGAGAAGTCGAAAGATATCTGCTGGTTATGAAGTATACAACATGCTACCCGCAAACAAGTTGCTACCACTGTCTAAAGTCATTGACCTGAAAGAGTTGTCTAAACTACTTCCAGTCAAGGAGGTCATTTCTAGTCATCAACAGTTCGTAAAAGACTACCATCACTTAAGCTGGAGACAAGTTTGTCACAACGGTCTGGTAGGGGTTTGGGTTGATGCAATTCCCAAAAAGACGGATAAAGAAAAGTGGACTCTTCTCCAAAAGCACATAAACTCGAATTTGCCAAATCCTGCTGACCTACCCCTTTATCGTCGAATCTGCAGGGAAGAATTGAAACAGTTTGGCAATTCAAGTTTTCGACCTGTGTGGGGAATATGGGACGAACTGTCGGACAAACAGGAAGAAATGCTATATTTTTCCGAAGGATCTTTGTACAACAGGGAATTGTTATTTTTCGATAAGCATGCTGTTTTAAGCATTCATGATTGGATAATAAGATTTATTCATTTTGCGCCCGATATTCGCAAACGGGTCAAGACAGTCTTGCAAATGATAGGTCGCCCTTTCAGCGCAATTCACGTTCGAAGGACAGATCATCCTTCCAGCTCTGGCGTGAAGCAAGAATTCTGGCTAAATCGTTTAAAGGCGCGTAATGCTCTCAACTTAACTAAAACTCTTTATATAGCAACCGACGAACAAAACAAGGATTGGTTTAAGCCTTTCAGTGACGAAGGATATAATTTATTTTTTCCTGAGGATTTTCTCAATGAGCTACGCTTTGAAAATGAAGGTCCTGCTATTGTTCAAGACATACTGGGCTTGTGCGAGCAGCTAATTTGCGCTTATGCAGATCATTTTGTCGGATCATATTATTCCACGTTCACTATGTACATTAAGCGATTGAGGAGACAATTCTCGTGGAAAAATGGAATGTTGAAGAAGCCTGAAACCACCATTGTATGGATTGGATCAACTGATAACAAAAGTTAAATATAACCGTTCAAAGGGTACCGCAATTTGGGTAACGTTGGTATAGTGCTAAGGCGTTAAACGTCTATTTGCAAGAGAATGATTTCGGTACGTTATTTACATAAAGGGGCTGATTCAAAGATTATGTTGTAAAGATAATCTTGAGTTATCTAATCTAAAACTGAAATCAAAATTGGAATGTAGAGTAAAAGCCCAATGCCTCGGTATGTGTTAGACAGTGCTTTCAGAGGTTTTAAATTTTTGATAAGCATCGTTCTTATACTCTGTACATGTTAAGAAATTTACACAGTTGAGGTTAATAATATATCTTTAGCTATGTATTGAAAGTACTGCTATTTTAAACATCTTCCCACTATCAAATCTTTGATAATATGCATGATTGACTGATATTTTCAATTTACACTCTTGGGCTTTTAAATCATATGAAACCTTATCTCAGAAAAACGGCAGTTCGAGATCAATATTAACTTCTTACTAACTGAGCGCAAGGGCCGCACTGAGGAATATGGCCCGAGGTCGTTGGAGTACTAAAAGCAACCGAGAGCCAACATTCCCCAGTAGGGCTCGAGCAAGCAAGGTTAGAAGGTAATTTATCAAATGGCACTCGGACCAAACATGTTTATTTTATAAAAAAGCACTTCCGGTCTCTTGAATTTAAAGGGTTTCCGCCGTGACATGTTTTTGATGACGTGAGCAAATCGAAAAGAGAAAGCTTCCATGAGTTTGAAAAGAAATCATTTCAGCGTTAATAAATCATAACGGAGAGTTTTCTTCTTTAGCTCAGAAACCGAGATTTAGTGCAACTAGACTTAACTGGATTGGAATTGCCGAATTCTACGGCTTCAAAAAGAGGATCTTATTCGCTTTCGTCAATCGCCTAAGCGCCTTGTACTTGTACTCCGATTCGCAGCTAGTACAATTCTCGATTTTTCAAACTCGTTGTTCTTAACTGGGTTGAATGAATTTTTCCTCTCGTTTAAGCATCGCTGAAAACCGAAAGTAATGTTGCTGGCTTGCCTTACTCTTCTCTATTTTTCCTGCGTATTTTCATGAAAAAAAAAATCGACAAAGGTGGTCAAGGTCGGATGCAGTTAGGCCTTTAATTCTTTGGCTTTTCATTTCATTTGCATCTATGTAGTGGACAAGAGTGTTCATATCATTAAGCATCTTCTTGCTTGTCTCAAAGCCTTTCTGTGCGTTGATGAAATCGTAAATAGCCTCTTGGCTTTCGCCTTTGCTTCTTTCAGAGGTTTCCAGATCATAATAAAATTTGCAGGACTTGTTTCCTAGTTTTTTTTAATTTCTTACAGAGAATGAGAATGACATTTACTGGTTTCCTTTTCGCAATTTTTTAGCTACAAATTTTGATTTTGTCGGTTTTCGAGAATATAAATACACGGTTTATGACCGTTTTGGATGGCAAAATCCCGACCGATTGAGAACCAATGACAGTAAGGCCCAGGGTTACCTTGCCATATAATAATACGGTTTATAGACCACACCAAAATCTCTGAAATCAGGCAGGGACACAAACTTCAAATTCATATTAGCTGATAGTCCTGCAGTTCCCTCCAGAGTTTGGTTTTAGCTACCTTTAGCTTTACGGACCCGTCCCTCAAAAAACAAAATATTTGCATCTTGAAAGCGCATCCCTGACAGGGATGTACATGTAAGGAAGACTTTTCAACATTGAGTCTAAGTGTGATGGTGAGAACTTAGAACCAAGAGGAAAAAAGAGGCGATATATTTGGTTACAATCTCTCTTCAAAGAAGAAATTTTTCTTCAGAGTTTCATGATGTGCCGATCACACCTGCTAACATATTTCAACAAGAAATTTTTTTTAATCGCGCGCAATCCTGAAATGAAAGGAAAGTAGACCATGACGAACAGGACCACTACAAATGTTATATCGGACTTTTGTTCATGTACTGACGAACGGATAGCTTGCTTTCCTGCGGGCAAATGGGGATTAACAAAAACCGGTCCTCTCCGTTTTGTTGCTCTGTCAAAGATTATATTCTCTTTGATTTGAAAATTCAAGACAAATTGCATTGCCTAGAGTCACTTATTATGCTTAGGGTGTCCACTTGGTTGAGAACATAAACGAAAGAAAAATCCAATTTTTCCTTTTAAAAGTGTCTCCGTCCGCTTACGAGAGTGTCTGTTTGCGCCGGGGAATGTGTAAATACAGAGTTTGACTGGGAAGAAAAAAAAAGGGTATTGAAAAAGATTTGGACCATAAAAAGAGCTGTCTTCTTACGAGAGTGTCATACCTAAGTATATTTGTTATATTTATTTAAGTATCGACTTCATAACTTCCCCCAAATGTTTTGGACCATAAAAAGAGCCGTCCGCTTACCAGAGTACTCATACTATCATATTTACTTCAGTATCGACCTCATAACTCCCCCCGCCCCCCCCCCCAAAAAAAAAGGATTAGCGTCTGTTAACTTGAAAAAGCTAAGGGGAAGCATGAGTTAATCGACTTAGGTACCATATTAAATACCACATTTCTTTTCACCACTGTAAACTAAAATTTGTTATATTTATAAGAATCATTAACAAGATCTTGAAAACAAAAACTTTATTTACAAATGAAATTTACAGTGATTTATTTTCGAGCAGTTGTTTTATAATAAGGAAAACATGGACCTGTCAGCTTTATAAATCTAAGTCAAGTGTCACAATAGTAACCACAACAAACAATTGAGTACTGTAGGTGAGTGGGTAGGCATGTGACTTTTCTACTGCCTCCAATGTGAATATTAGTCCTAACCCTAGCTCGGCTGGCCGCTATATAATTATCAGCTGAACCACGCTTTTTAAATGCCATACCCATCAGTCCTTGACAATTTACAAGCCAAGCACACGACAAGTATTCTACTTTGCACTTTGGTATGAATTGAAAAGGACAAGTAGCGGCCGCTTGCTGGAGGTCCAATCCATCGTCGCACAGTTCATAGACATAACTCTGTCTGCGAGCTCGTCCTGGTTGTAAATAAAAGTAAAGAAGGTTTATTGAGCAGTCAATGATGTTCTCTTGTTCTCTTTCTCTGGGTCAGCCCTTGTTGCTTAATATGAAAAGCTCTGATGTGGGATCCATGAAAAAGGATAATCTAGTGTTATCAACTGATAAAATAAATTGGCTACCGTTAAGAACTTTAAAAAACTGACGTTTCGTGCGTTTGTCCTTCGTCAGAGCGAATGGCATGCATAAAAAAAATAATCTTAATTATTCCTACTTCTTCCCTTGAAAGGTGGGCTTTTGCTGCATAAATCTTCAAACGTTATACCCTCAAGAAAAAAACACATTCCGCGGAAGGGATAACTGTTTAAGTTCCTTGCGAGTCTCGATAAATACTGTGACGCAGATTCAGCAACGTTCAGTTTTACTTCGGTACATATGACATCATTTAATTTCCAACCTCTGATAGCCATACTGATTTCAAGGAAAATTCTGTCAGCTATGATATTCGAGAAATTTTATATTCCAGATAGAGAATATAAACTGTTTATATGCGCTTGATTCGAACGAACACAAAGGAACTTTCAAGTCGGGAAAAAGAGTCTCAGTGATAAATTATATTAGCTCTTTCACTCATAAGCTACTCAAAGGTGACCCAAAGACATGTACTTCGAGTTTAATAATTAAGCCTTGATAAAGTTTTGAAAGATTTTCATGCCCATGGTATCGCATAATTATAAAGTTTACTCACGTATAGCAGGTGGATTCATTTTTGTGACGTCAACTTCGCTCGGTATTTCTGTTACACGGAAGATCCGGGATTTGGAGCAAAGTCTTGCTGTGCTGTCACTTAGGATCGAACGGTCAGTAATTTCTTTACCAATTCTGACGGTTTCTTTATGTGTCGTGACTTCTTCGCTGGAAACCTAGAACAAACCAAAACATACCCTGATCAACGAAAAAAAGTGCAACTTACGGCGTACCGCGTAAAGCAAAACTTAAGTAGGAGTTTTTCCTCTTTTTCATAATTTAGTGTTTTTTGTTAATCTTTTGGATCATTTTGACTAACCTGATGCAAGTTCGTGGCAAGATTTCTTGGTGTAGGCTGACTGCGTGTCAGTGGAAGAAGAAAGCACAAGCCCTTGAGTGGAAAATGAATCATTGTTGCATTCTGTGGGGAGAAAAACAAGGGTTTTGATGGTTAATAAAATAGTATATGGCGACTAAGAGTCAATACTTTCAAATAATACGCATAACATCATCCCAATTGCTTAGACAAGTATGTGGAAATGAGTCTGAGTCACACGCTAGCAAAAGTTGTTTCTTTCCGTCCTCTTTCTTCGTGACTTGCGACTTCATCCCCAGCCCCAGTCAACCGGCTAAATTCTCCCAAGTTGTTCTCATCACATGACAACAATAATGTTCCCAACCGATTGGAAGCAAGTTTGCAGTGTTGTGAAATGAAATTCATTCAATCTCAAGGAAAGTAAGAGACAACGCTCCGAGACTCAGGACACTGTTGCTTAAGGAAGTCTAATTACTTACCATTTTAAAGTCAAACATTATATCAGACTTTTCAATATTTCTGTGGGCTGGAACCTTAAACAATTCCGTTTGTTCCTCCTCGTCAATTCTAAGCGTCTCGTTGAAGTCTTCTCCAGATTCATGAATATGGAGACGATATTCCTCGACATCCACGAGCTGATCATGATGAAAATCAAGACAACATAATTTAGAACTGAACGCAGTACAATTCAGCAAAAAGCCTCAGAGGTAAATTAATCGAACCAGTGTTTTGTCATGGGCAGAAATAATTGAGATATTTGCTTCGAAGGGTTGCCACTTTAAAAACATTTCTGTAAAGTTTTATGATTGAACAAGTTACCTTTTTGTAAACAGGTGAGGCTTGAGATGAATAGACAAGGAAGCACAGGACCAGAAGGGCAGACAGACATGAAGACATCCTGTCAAACCATTAAGTGTCACCAAGAAATAAGTAAAGACTTCTTGAATACGTTCAAGTATTCTACAACT